TGCTGCTGCTGATGTTGTTGTTGTTGTTGCTGTTGTTAATGGTGTGTTGTTGTGTTGCTGTTGTGTTGTTGTTGATGTTGTTGTAATGTTGTTGTTGCTGCTGTTGTTTATGGTATGTTGTTGTTGTGTTGTTGTTCTTGCTGTTGTTGTTGTATTGTTGTTGTTGATGTTGCTGTTGTTGCTGTTGTTGTTGTTGCTGATGTGATGTTGTTGTTTATGTGTTGTGTTGTTGCTGATGTGATGTTGTTGTTGCAGATGTGATGTTGTTGCAACAAAAATTTTTCTATAAACATCATCATTGACGTCGTCAATATCACCATAATTATCACCATCATCGTCGTTATCACCGTCAAATTTACTACTTTAACCATCACCACTCTCATACTCATCATCGTCAACTTCATTCTTCCAACAAATGCTTCTACACCAACCTAATGATGATGACGATGATGATGACGATGATGATGATGACGATGATGACGATGATGACGATGATGATGATGACGATGATGACGATGATGATGATGACGATGATGATGATGACGATGATGATGATGACGATGATGATGATGACGATGATGACGATGATGACGATGATGATGACGATGACGATGATGATGACGATGATGATGACGATGACGATGATGATGACGATGACGATGACGATGACGATGACGATGACGATGATGACGATGATGATGACGATGACGATGATGATGACGATGACGATGATGATGACGATGACGATGATGATGACGATGATGATGACTTACGAATGCACTCACTGAATGTTTGCTTTTCTTGTGTGCTGTGTAACCCATTTTTTTTTAAACGGACTCATTTCAGTATAGGCAAGCCCAATTTACTAATACTCAGAAACAAACATTGACTCCCAAAAATTCATACAAACTTTACAAAAATACATTCTCACGAATACAAACATATACAAGCGTACAGGCATACAAAATATACATAACAAACAAAAAACAAACGCGCACACATTCACACACACATTCACACACACATACACATACACACACATTCACAAACACACATTCACACACACATTCACACTATATATATATTCTTTATCATGCATCATATTACATACATAATATTGCTTAATGTAATGTAGACAGACACACATGCACAAATAGAAACGCACACTTTATAAACAACACACTTTAGACACACACAGATACACTCACTCATACACACACACACACACACATACACACACACACACCACAAACTCAATACTATTATGTATTGTTTTTGTTATAACAATTAATATAATTAAAGGAGTGAGTAATGAAATTGTTCTGACCACCTTGTTTTTTTAGCTAGTATTCTTTCGTTCGTTCGTTCTTTCTGTTGTTTGTTCGTTGGTTTGTTTGTAGGCTTGTTGGTTTGTTTGTTCATGGTTTGTTTGTAGGTTCGTTGGTTTGTTTGTAGGTTCTTTTGTTTGTTTGTTCATTCATGGTTTGTTTGTAGGTTCGTTGGTTTGTTTGTTTATGGTTTGTTTGTAGGTTTGTTGTTTGTTTGTTCATGGTTTGTTTGTTTGTAAGTTTTTTGGTTTGTTTGTTCATTCTTTCGTTTGATGGCTGGGTTTATTTAGCCTTGTTGTAATATGATAAGAAAGACAAAAAATGATGACAAGGGTGTTGTGTTTTTTTTTACTATAAATGTGATTATTGTTGTTATTATTATTATTATTATTATTATTGTTTTTATTGTTATACCTTTTCTACGTTTATGACGGTTTTGTGGCTGTTTACAGCATTTCAAAACTCCAAACGTAGCAGATCAGATTGGCAATTAATGACAACGTATCCATCCATCCATCCATCCATCCATCCATCCATCCATCCATCTATCGTTCGGGCAATGTACTTGTTGAAAACATCAAGAGTGACGTCATCGGATCGGTGTTGTTGTGTTTGCTCTGATGACGTCATGTTATTCCAAACGCTTTTACTAGTTCTGAATGACATTTTTTATTGTCGTTTGAAAATGGGAAAAAATAATACAAAATAAAAAAAGCTAAGTATGAAATAGATACAACAAGTTTATGTACTCGTGATCGATGTTATTACAATTGATGTTGCTGCAATTATTGTGTTAAGGTATTTTTACTAAATAATTTAAATACCGCAAAAATAAATATGAAATAGAAAAGAAATTATGCAAAATAGAGAAAAACTAAAAAATGTTTTTGCTGTGGGCAATTGTTCTGACAGATCAAAAAAATGATTTTTTTTTCATTGCGTGATGTGTTTATTTCTTCTTGAAACAATTATTTTTATACCAGCGTTAATATTTTTCTGCCAAACTTGGTTGCTTGTTTCATTGTTGAACTTTCAATGCCATTGTTTTGCTTTTTATATTTTTTTGGAGGCATTATTTGGGGCATTTTTGTATTAAACACATTTTATTTTTAAAAATTTTCATTTATTTTCTAGAGATATATGGTACAAAATTTGAACAGACTATTTATTGCATATTTTACCAAAAAATAAAAATTGGATGGTATTTGTTTTGCTGTGAAATATGTTGTAAATTATTTTCCTGTGTGAAAGTGATACGATTTGATTGGCGGTTATGTTTCTTCTTTAATTCTTCTTTAAATTTTTAAAAATTTTAATGGCTGTTTGTTGTTTGTCTCATTATTAAAACATTTTCTAAAAAATTTTTCAGATATTTTTCACTTCAAAATGATCTCGGTTTGGAATTTTCCCATTGTAAGATAATCATAAAAATACTATACCGAAAGATTTTTTTATGTCTGACAGACGCACTAGCAATTGTGTCGACAGATGTCATCCAATCATCTCAACTTGTGCACTTGCATGCAAAACATTTATAAACTCTAGTACACACAAACACACCCACACATCCATACATCCATACAATACATACATACAAACACACACATACAGACACACACACATACATAAACATACAAACAAACACGGCACTTTCCATTTGGTCATTTGTTTGTTTGCTCATGTGACACTCCATTTAACACGTATGGATGAAAAAAATATATTTACGCACTGCACACAAAAAGATGCAAATTAGATACATAAACAAACAAAAAACCAGCACACACACACACATATACACGCACACACGCACACTTTGTTTTGCGCATGGCTATTGAACATCTGGACTTTTACTGTCTTTGGTCCAGTGATCACAAAGAAGTGTAAACATTGGAATATATATTTATGATCTTTGGTTGCGCTTACGTGTCGGCGTTCGTTTGTTTACGTTTTGTAATTGATGCTGATTCTAATTTTTGTTCTTTGTTGTTTTAGCTATTTTAAAAATAAATTACAATGTTTAGAAATATTATACTTTCTTCATTATCGTCTTCGTCATCATCACCGCCTTCAATATCATTATCATTATCTTTTTCACCTCCCACCCACCACCATCAACAAAAACAATAACGACCATCCATACTCATATAAGCGTCACCATGGCGACAGCTGTGACGTCATCTCTATGACAACCGTGAAAATGAAATGTGAAGAAAAAAGTAAATAAACAATTGTTTCATTACGTGCGTGTGTGTTTGCATAAATAGGTATATTATTTGTGTGTGTGTGTGTATGTATATGTGTATGTATATGTGTACGTGTGTGTATTTGCTATTGATGTATTTATTTTGTATGCAAATGTACAATACGCTAAGGGATATATGTAGCTTTTTTGTATATGCTATTTTCTCTTGTTGTTATATTGGTAGAGTTTGAAATGTAATGTTTTGTATTGTTTGTATACTTTTGTCTGATTAAATTGTATACAATGATATGATATTGTTTTGTATTGTGTTATTTTGGGTTGTATTGTTTTGTATTGTGTTGTATTGTATAGTGTGGTGTTTTTTGTATTGTATTGTATACTAAAGTTAGTATTAAATATAATTTCTATTACGTGATACATTTTTTGCATTGTTTAAATACCTCTGGATGTTTGTTTCTATTGTATTTATGCACCTGTTATTCATCTGCTGTAACCGTTATAACATACATCCACGGAACATTATTTCTTTTATGTATAACAATATTATAATGTATAATACATGCGTGTTTGTGCGTACGTGTGTGTGTGTGTGTGTGTGTGTGTGTGTGTGCTTTACTGCTAGGGAGAGAGTCGGAAATTTCTATGCTACATCAACAACAGCAGCAACGACGCCAACAAAGAAAGAACATCATAAACATAAACATAGACAACAAAATGTACACAAACGACAACATAAACAATAGAATAAACAACAACAAAAATAAATAAACAACATTAAACAACAAAAAATAAATAATCGGCCACTGAAAGAAAAACACATAAACGTTTTCATTCTAAGCAACAAGATAAAAAACATAAAAAGTATTCGTGAATATTTTATTTTTTTCTCCATTAATTCATTCATTCGCTCGTTCGTCTTTTTGTTTGTTCGTTCGTTCATTCATTCACTAATTAACTCACTCATTCATTCATTCATTCAATTCATTCATTTGTTTTTTTCTTTCTTTTTCATTTCTTTTTTTAATCACTTGGACAAGTGGATTTAATCCAGCAATTAAATGTTATCTCTATCTCTCCTCTCAGTGCTTCAAACCATCCAACTTCTTCATCTTCTTCACTCACTCTTTTATATTTATTCACATTCTTTCTCTGTTTTTTTTTACCTTTTTTATTGCTTCTGTCTGTCTTTCTCTCTCTCTCTCTCTCTCTCTCTTTCTCTCTCTCTCTCTCTCTCTCTCTCTCACTTTCTCCTTGTGTGTTCTTTTTTTGTTATAATTTTATTTGAACTTTTTTAATTTGTTAATTTGTAAATTTTTGTTTCTATTTAAATTTTCCTTGCACAATCCTCCGTGCCATCATAAAATTTTTATCTGCGTTTCATTGCCTGGTAAATCACATTTTTGTTTATTCGTGAAATTTTTCATTGAATTTCTTCTGAAAATCTTTGTCTTAAGCAACATATTTTTTCGAAAAAAAAAACTTTAGCAAAAAATCAAAAAACGAAAAACAACCCAAAAAAGATTAACAATAGTTGAGCAATTAGATGCATCTCTTTACAGAAACCAACCTATAAGAATTATTACAGAAACACAATAACATCCATATAGCAAAATGAACCCCAACAACAGCAAAGTCATCGTGATGATCAGCGGCAACAACAACAACATGATCAACTACAACACCACCACCTCTAAAACAACAGCATATTTAAACGCTTAGGCAATTGTGCTCGAACCAGACAACCGCACTATTCCTGCCTAACCTTTTACCCACTGAGCTACACAGTAAATCAGAATAGCGGGCAAACAAACCAAGAGTACCAGTCTAAACTTTTATGGCCATCTATCGGAATAAAACTGCAACTCATAAAACTCAGGGGCTTGCTTTTATTACATTTGAACAGTTCCTGCGTTTGTGATAGCCTGTTTTATTGTTATTATTATTGGTATTATTCTTGTTATTGTTGTTATTGTTGTTACTATTGTTGTTATTGTTTTTGTTATGCTGTTGTCGTTAATGCCATTATTGATAAAGTTATAAATACACATCTGTGATCACCATTAGAATTGCTTCATTCATTCATTCTCAATTGTGTATATAACAAACAAATATTTTTGTATTGCGTTTTTATGTTTTTGTTTGTATTTATGTGTGTGTGTGTTTACAAGTGTGTGTGTGTGTGTGTGTGTGTGTTTGTTTGTATATATGTGTGCGTTTGTTTGTTTGTATGTATGTGTGTGTTTGTTTGTATGTGTTTGTTTGTATGTATATGTGTTTGTATGGATAAATGTACTGGAAATTTGATAGGCATTCCATGGCTTATAGAATAAATGAACCGAAATGATGAATAGAGGAAGAAAGAATGTGAGTGAATGAATGAGTGAATAAATGAGTGAGTGAATGAATGAGTTAATTAAATTTTAGTGAGTTAATTGGTTAATAGATGAATGAAATAATAAAATGATAATCTTAAAATATTATTGGTTGGGGGAAAAGTTGCGTGAAATAATCAAATGTTTCAACGAGCCGGAAAAACGTTATCTAAAAAAATGAAGTAATGAGCGAAAAAACGAACGAATTAGGAAACGAACAAATATTGAATGAAATAACAAATGAATGAATGAATTCATTAATGAACGAACGAACGAACTAACGAACGAACTAACGAACGATCTAAAGATAGAACAAATGATTACTATCAGGTAAATGAATAATGGACTGTTAAATGGATGGATGGATAGATGAACAAATGGATAAATGAAAGAATGAACGATGGAACGAAAAAAGAAATGAATGGATGAATGGAAAGATGGATGAATTGATGAATGAATGGACCCGGCTCATGTCTGCCTTGCTTCCAGCACATAAATAACTAACATACATGTATGCAGTTGCTTGCAAGGCTAACAACAACAACAATAACAAAAATAAACATATAATAAGTGTAATAATAATTATAATTAATAATAACAATAACTATATTATTATTATTAACAATAATTATAACCTATTTGTTATATTCGTTGTTAGAGGTGCACAAACATCTTGAGAGTTAAATGTGAAGAAAAAACATGAATGAATGAGTGAATGGAATGAATGAAAGAACGAATAAATGAGTAAATAAATGACTGAATAAACGAACAAATAAATGAATAAAAATTAATTAAATATAAAGTTAATGGGAAGCGAGCGCGCAATGAAAAACAAGAAATTCCTCGTTTTATCTTAATGGTGGTCTCTTTGACATATGGATGGATGGATGGATGGATGGATGGATGGATGGATGGGTGGATGGGTGGATGGATGGATGGGTGGGTGGGTGGATGGATGGATGGGTGGATGGGTGGATGGGTGGATGGGTGGATGGATGGATGGATGGATGGATGGATGGATGGATGGATGGATGGATGGTTAAGTAAATGAAAAATGAATAAAATGTGTAGATAGATTGATAAATGAATGAATGAATGAATGAACGAACGAACGAATGCATGAATGAATGAATGAATGAATGAGATAACAAACAATTAAATAATTTGACGAACAAGTGGAGATGAATGAATGGATGTCGTGATGATAAATGGTTAGATAATTCTTTATCAAATAACCTGGAACGATAGATGGAAGGGTGGATGGTTGGTTAGTTGGATAGATGGTTAAATCGGTGAATGAATGAATGAATAAATCAATGAATGAATAAATGACAGGAAATTGAAAAACAAAGAGCAATTAAATTGAATTTATGAAGAAACAATTTGGTTATGTTTATTCAAAATGATGCAATAAAGGATCGTTTTTGAGCTAAGATGGAACGATTGAACAAATGAATGAATGAATGAATAAACGGACGAACGATCGAATGAATAAATGAACAAGTGAATGAAAGAATGAACAAGTGCCCGGTGGAGCGAATGATGAATGGGTGTGATGAAAACATAGTCTAGTGTCTTGAATGCTTCTCCATGTCTATACCCGACACTCTAATAATCATGGTGATGGTGGGGATGATGATGATGTTGTTGGTAGCGGTGATGATGATGATAATGATGATGGTGGCAGTGATGATGATGTTGGTTGGTGGCGGTGATGATAAGGATGATGATGATGAGGAAGAAGAAGATGATAAAGATGAAGAAGATGATGATGATGACGACGCCGTTATGGTTGCACGACTCTAATTAATGAGGCTTTCAGGATCGAACTTCCTCGGGGAAGAATGTTTATATTACAAAATGGTGAAAAACTAACAAGGAACAAAAATAAAAATAACAAAAATAACAACAACAATAATAACAACAACAACACTAACAACAACAACACTAACGAACAACAACAGCAATAAAAATTAAAAAAACGAAAGCAGTGATGACAGCCATTTAAAAGGCAGTACATCATATACAACGAAGCGTGTGTTTGTAAATACGTTACAGCCGAGATGCATAAATTTAAACATATAAACTAACTAGACAAAAAAGGCACAGACACACACACACAGACACAGGAACAAAAACGCACACACACACACACACGCGCACATGCATAACACACAAACACACATATATACATACAAAGAGAGGCGCACAACATATACATGCAAACATACATACATACATAGTATACACATACAACAACACGTCAACGTACACACATGCATACATACAAATCCTCTTTATACCAACATAAACATACATTGCTATGTAAAATGTAAATATTCATATGAGCATGAATCAATGAAACACACACACACACACACACAATTTTTTTCATTTTGAATTAATATTATAATTGATATTAAGCAAAATTTAATTCAATTTAAATTAGATGAAAATTTTTTCAAAGACCTAATTTTATTTTTTTAAATTAAATATGCAGGAATCGCCAGCAAGACCACCACTAAAACGCTCACCACAACCACACCAGCTACTACAACCACCACCACAAACAACGACGACGACGACGATGCGATACCACCACCAAGCTTCACGATCGACATCTACCCAGTGACTGCATACGTCATCAAGAACGAACCGATGACGTTGTACTGTGACGTCATCGTCAGCAGTAACGGCCGCCACGACAGTACTGGTCATAACTTGCGCGGCGGCAAAAACTCAGAATTTCAAGATAACAAAGATAATAAAAACGATAGCAAGAGTAATAATAATAATAACAATGTAAATATTTGGTATGATAATAATAATAAAAATAATTATAAGATTGATGATTATAGTGTTGTCAACTCGTCGCGATATGTTGTCACGTGGTATAAAGATGGAGTGAGGCTCTTTCAACAACCACAACAGTTGCCACAGCCGCCACAGCCACAACAACCACAACAACCGCAACAACTGCTACTACGACCAAAAAAACCTCAACAATTTCACGGAAACGAATCGTTCAAATCATTATTAGCTTCAAACGAAACTATGTCATCATTGGTGACAACGACACTGGCAACAACGTCATCGTCACCAACCGCTGCAGAAGCAACAGCAGTAGCAGTAGCAACAACAACAACAACATCAGAAGGTCGCCGAGTACAATTGTCTGACGGTTCATTATTTTTTCTCAACGTTAATATTGGGTACGTTGTTGTTATTGGGTTGATGGTTATGTTGTCGTTGTTGTTGTTATTGTTATAATTGTTATTGTTTTATTCGTTGGAATATTTCAAAATTTGGTATTCTATTGTTTCATTTTGCGTCTCATTCAACTTGTTTTTATTTCATTAAACTTCAACAATTTACTTTTAAAGTAATTTAATTTTTTATGTGAATAAATAAATTTTCAAATTGTTGTCAAAACTGATTTAAAATAAACAACAACATCCCCCAAAAAACTTTAACAACAACAACAAACACAAACAAACGGCTACAAACAAGCGAACGAACAAACAAACAAACAACAACGTACATACTGACAGACCAATACGAATAAAGAGAGATATTTAGATAGATAAATAGACGGACAGAAAGATAAGATGTTGTTTGACGATGACTACAATTATGACGTATGCAAGATGACGTCACACAATAAAAATATATTAATTATTATCTGACGCACCCCATAACGCACCTTGTTTGCTCGTGTGGACGGAAATACATGTTGACGTTCACGCATGCACGCACGCACGCAAATACACATACAAACGTACGTACACATACAAACAAACATACACATATAAACATACAAACAAACAAACAAACATACACGTACAAGCATACAAACAAACATACAAATACATGCAGCATACATATACGCTTATGAACAAATGTTATTTTTGTGTATTCATACATACATGTACACACATAAACCATACACAGTACATACATACAAACAAACATACAAACAAACATACAAACATATAAACACACAAACACATACATACAAATATACAAACAAACAAACATACATATTCATATTTGGACATAAATTTATTTAATGATTGCATGATGCAATGATAAGACTAATTTATGACCACCTGTGAGATAACTTCATCATCACCATCACGTCGTTATCATCGTCATCATCGACATCATCATCGTGAACGAATGAACGAACGAACGAATGGATAGACTGACGGACGTGTTTAAACGTGTGGACAGATAGATGCATGGATGAATGAATGAATGGGTGGGTGAATGGATGGATGTGTGAATGGGTGGATGTGTGAATGGATGAGTGGCTGGATGGATGAATTGATATAGGGACCGACAGATAGGTGGATTAATGATTAAATGTAATTATTTTTTAGTTTTATTTATCTATTTATTTTACAAAAACAGATGGATGGTGGTCTAGAGACCACATTTAATTATAACACATAAATTTTATGCTGCTATTGTTATCATTATCATTTTATTATTATTATTATTATTATTATTATAGTTATTATTAGTAGTAGTAGTATTTTTATTATCATCATTATTATTAATATTTTTGATACTGTTTTTTGTCTAAAAAATTATCTGTTTGGTTTTTATTGTTTGTTTTTATTATCCTCTATACTCATCTATGTAGCATGTGTACGTATGTATACGTATGTATATATGTATAACACATACATACACACATATGCACACGCGCATATATATGCCCACATGTGTGTGTGTATGTGTGTGTGTGTGTGGATGTGTGTGTGTATGTATGTGTATATGTTTTGTGAGTGTGTGTTATTATAAGTTTATATTTACATTACATCCTGGGCTTATCAGTCTGTTGGTTTTTTTTACAACAGGTCCAATGTAAGAAACAACATAAAAATCGGTGGCAACAACAACATAAATAGCTACAACATCATAAACAACAACAACAACAACAATAATAACGACAACAACAACAAAAACAACGAGTATGAAGATAGCGATCTTGGATATTACCATTGCACCGTGACAGATACAACAACTAATGTAACAGTCGTCAGTTCTCCGGCATCAATCAAACTGGCCAGTACGTTTGTATTTGTATATTTTTTTGTATTTTTATATTTCTGTTTGTTTTGTATTTGTATTTGTTTTTATTGTATTTTATGTTGCTGTTTACATGTGGAACAAATTTGAAGTTATTACATACAGAGAATGACTGTCTACGTCTTCTCTCTTTATCTTTATCTTATTTTCACTTTCTGTTTCTCACTTTCTCTCTCTCTCTTTGTTGTCCTTTTTCTGTTTTTTTTCTTTTTTAGGTCTGTTTTTTGTTTTTCTTTCACTCTCTTTCTCTTCCTCTTTCTATCTCTTCCTCTCTCTTCTTCTCTCTTCTCTCTCTCTCTCTCTCTCTTTTTCTCCCTCTCTCATTCGGTATATATGTATTACATATATGTGATATGTGTTACATACTTATACAAAAATGTACGCACAGACACAGAGAGAGAGAGAGAGAGAGAGAGAGAGAGAGAGAGAGAGAGAGAGAGAGAGACGGATATACATACGTATTAATGGTTGGGATGGATAATTTATGACCTCAATATATCATGTAAAGTTTTGTTCACTTTATTTATTCTCATTGCAATGTTGTGTACATACGTATGATGCTCGTCATACACATGTGCGTACATAAATATACATATATACTTGGAGAGAGAGAAAGAGAGAGAGAGAAAAAGAGAGAGAGTGAGAGAGAGAGAAATAGACAGAAGGACATATGTATACACATTTATGTTTGGCCGGGGTCATAACGGTGAATAATGTGATGATGGAAAAAAAATGATGATGATGATGACGATGACGATGAAGAAGAAGTAGAGGATGGTGATGATGAGTGATAATGTTAATCGTGGTGATGGTGATGGTGGTAATTGCCATGATGGTGTTGATAATGATTGTGATAATGATGGTGATGATGATGACGATGTTGACGACAATGAAGATAGTGATAATAGTGAGAGTGATGATGACGACGACGACGATGAAGTACCAAAAACACTTCCACTGATTGCAATATAAAGAGCAGTATATAATAATAATAATAATATTATTTGCGAATCGTTTCATAGATACTGTTTTAATGTCATTCTTATTATATTTTCTACCTAATGATAAGTCTGACGAATAAAAATAAGTCCTACATTTTTGTTCTTCTTTTTCTTATTATTATTATTATTAGTAGTTGTTGTAGTAATAGTAGTAGTAGTAGTAGAAGTAGTAGTAGTAGTAGTGGCAGCAGCTGTAGTAGTAGCAGCAGAAGCTGTTCAGTTGAAACTGAAACATAAATAACTGTAGTATTAGTAGTTGTGCTACTAGAGGTTGTGTTGTTATTATTATTACTATATATTATTATTATTATTTATTATTAATATTTTTTATTATTATTATTATCATTACAATTGTAAATTTATTAAATGTTTGCTTAATTTTTCAAATTACATACATGACATACCGTTGTTGTTATCAAGTTTGGCAAATAATTTTTTATTTTTCTCCTCCTACTCCCACTCTATCTTCATTCATTCTTTGCTCAATCAATCACTCATTCATTCATTTACTCGTTCAATTATTCGTTTACCCACTCACTCATTCACTCGTTTGCTTAATCATTCAGTCATTTACCCGCTATGTTATCTTTTCATCACTCGCTTTCTTACTTTCCCTCATTCATTGTTCCATTCGTTCATTCATTGATTCCCTGATTAATTAATTAATTAATTAATTAATTAATTAATTAATTAATTAATTAATTAATTCATTCATTCATTCATTTATTCATTCATTCATTCACTCATCTTTTCTTTAAATTTTCTTCTTCTTACTTTTGTTTTGTAATTTTTCCATTGTTTTTTTAATTTTCACTCCAACTTCATTATTTGTGCCTTTCTTGGTGAATAATTTATGTAGTAAATACACGTTGATATTTTTTTTGCAGCACACACTGTGCCTATGGTTGAAATAAATCATTTGTTCTGGTTTGTTCGTTCGTTCGTTTGTTCGTTTGTTCGTTCGTTCGTTTGTTTGTTCGTTCGTTTGTTGTTTGTTTGTTAGTTTGTTAGTTAGTTAGTTAGTTTGTTTGTTTGTTTGTATGTTTGTTTGTTTGTATCTGTGGGTTGTTTGTATGTTTGTTTTAAGTATTTTAGTTGTATAGATTGTATGTTAGTCTAGTTCGTATTTGAGTGTTGTTTGTATGAGTTGTATTGTTTGGTTATCGTTTGTCAAGCGAGGTTCCCATTATTTATAATAGTGATGAATGTCTTCTCAAATATTTTTCTTCAAGTCATTTTTCACTTATATTCATGTACATATATTCATACAAGTCTCTACAATGTATGTGTGTGCACTTGTACGTGTGTGTGAATAAGTTTGTATATGTATGTTTGTGTGCGTGCGTATGTTTGCGTGTACGTTCTCAAATATATAATCAACAAACTTGTATATATTTGTCTTTGAACATAACAAATATATGTAGAACAGTTATAATTTACAATGATCAATAACGTATTTCAAAGTAAACAATAATAAACACACATAAACAAACTTATACAAACATATACAAACACATACAAACATATACAAACTTGTACAAACACAAAAATATACAAACGTACACATACAAACCTAGAAAAACATATACAGAAACATACAACCATATAAAGAGATCTACAAATTTATATATAAACAACAAATTTATTAAAACACATACAAATATATACAAACACATACAAAAACATGTTCAAATGTGTGCAAACACATAAAAAAACATATTCAAATGTATGTAAATACATACAAAAACACATACAGATGGATATAAAATGATGTAGAAGCAGGAAAAGCATTGATTGATGATGTGATGATTGGTTGTTGGATTGAAGTTTTCAATTTTATACTGCCTTTCTTTCATTTTCCTTTTATTTACATCCTTTTCCATGCCGGCCCATTTTATTGTTTTGTGTGTGTGTCTGCTACAGAGATACAAAGTTTTGTTTGTTTTGTGTGTGTTTGTTTGTGTCTTTGTATGTTTGCGTTAAAATTTTGTTTGTTGCTGGTTCGTTTGTTTGAATATTCTTGGGATTTTGTATGCGTCTTTGTATGCTTGTACAATTTTACGTTTGTGGTTGTGTGTTTGTAGTTGTTTCTGTAGTTTGTATGTTGTTTTTGTATGTTTGAATACTTCTGTTTGTTGTTTTATGTTTATTCTCGTATGTTTTACGCTCGTTGTTCACATGCTTGTTTGAAAATAATGTACTTTAAATAAACAATAATGGAAAAACCATAACAAGAAGAAAAAATGAACACATACATAAATCAGACAATGAGTTTACATAACAAGGAAGGATAATTTATCGATTCGCAAATGTTGCGTTTGACTGCCCGTTAGCTAAGATGGCCTTTCTGTCTGTCTTTTGTAGACTTCTGGTTTGTCTGTTGTTGTTGTCTGTCTGTCTGTTTGTCTTTATTTTTGTTTATATGTTTGTTCGCTTGTCTTTCTGGTACTGACTGTTGAATGTTTTTGCTGTTGGCTCGTTTGCTACGATGCGTTTTTAGTGCAAGCATAATAAATTTTGTATTTGGATAAACTGTGGAAAGAATGCAAGAAGGGAGAGAAGGAAGAAAAACAGTGGAAAAAAGTGAGAGAGAGAGAGAGAGAAAATGAGAGAGAGAAAGAACAAAAATCAAAATGACTAAAGAAAAAATCCTTAAGCAATTTAAAAGATTTAATGAAAAGTTAATGAGTTAGTATCTGCATTTTCCACTGAACAATACAATTGTGTATGTGTACATAATATTCTCACAGAACAAACAGTTCGTATATGTGTTTGTGCGTGTGCGTGTGTGTGTGCTTGTGTAATGTGTGTGTGCGTGTAAGTGTGCGTGTGTGCGTGTGTGTGTGCGTGTTACATGATGCGTTCTGTTGATGAAAAGTCAGCAAAAAGTTGGTTATCAGAGCGCTGCGAAATAAAAATTTGATCAAAAAATTTTTGAAAAATTTCTTCTTGAATCTTAGAAAGAACTTTTATGCTTTGTATATTGCAAGTTGCCTTTATTTTATACCTGTATATTGTATATATCATGTATTTTGTTGAATCTATGTTATCTATATCTATGTTATCTATATCTGTGTTATCTATATCTATGTCGTGCATTTTTTTGTTATCCATATCTATGCTATTTATTTCTATGTTTTGTAAATCTGTGTTAAATGCACTAAATTGAGTTACTCGTTCGATTTTCAATCTGGTTCACTTTTTTCTATGACGTAGTGCTGATAATGATGGTGGTGGTTGGAATGATGACGATGACGACGATGATGATGATGAATACGATAATAACATTGCTGGGGACGTTGAGGAGATAACTTTTCACCATTTAAATGTATATTTATATATATTTACACGTATATTTTTGTAAAAAATTTCTGAAAATTTCTCATTCAATTAACGAACGAACCACTCAACCATTCGATCTAGCAATTAGCGATCCCTTCCAACCACAAACAGCAACCGATCACTACCAGCAACAACCACAACTACTAAAATTAGAAGCCGGCGAAGATGCGTTCATAGCTTGCAGAGCACCCGAAGGCACACCAACACCGAAAATCAAGTGGTTAAAAAATGACCGGCCGTTATTAACTGACAACGACAACTACTACAACAACATCAACAACGACGACTACAACAACATCAGCAACGACTACAACAACATCAACAATTACTACAACAACATTAACAACTACTACAACAACATTAACCACGACTACAACAACAACGGCATTAACAACAACGAAATTAACAACTACAGCAACAACAAAAATCGTTTCTTGATAACCGAAAGTGGTCTGACGATATTAAGTGTTACTAATGATGATGTCGGAGCCTATAGGTGTGTTGCTTATAACGAGGCGGGCGAACTAAAAAGTGTTGTTGTTCATCTTGATGTTAATTATGGTGAGTGGGATTTGTTGTCGTTGTTGTTGTTTGTTGTTGTTTGTTTGTTTGTTGTTGTTGTTGTGTTTAGTTGTTTACTTTACGTCTGTTAAAGAAGATGTTGTTTTAAAAATAGTTAGAGTGTTTTTATTCATCCCAATCACCACTGTCATCACCACAACCACAATTAGCGTCGACAGCGGCGACAATGACGACGACGACGACTCGTCTGCCACGACGTGTAGCGCGCGACACGGTCATGCAGGGAAAGGACGTCATATTTCATTGCCAGGTCACCAGTGACTCGGCGCCATCTTGGAAAAAATTGGATGGGGAAATCCCAATGGAGAGGTTTGTATGGTGAAAAAATAATTACATTCATTCATTTACTCATCTATCCACTCATTCATTCATTCATTCGTTCTTTCGTTCGTTCATTCATCCATTTATCCATCCATTCATCCGTCCATCCATCCGTTCAACTATTTATTTTCACATGATATGATATCTATCTCAACTTACGTCATTATGACGTGGCGAACCGTGAAATAAGATGATGATAACAAAAAATAAACATCGCGAAAAACATGATAAGGAATAATAACATGAACATCTGCAGCTGTATAATAACACTAACAATAACAAATATAACCACAAAGGCGATGGCGAAAGCACAAAAAAGTGCAAATCAAAAATTGCACATAAAAACATTTTTCAATCCATCCATCTGTTGCATCCATCATCCATCCATTCATTATTTTATCCGCCATCAATCTGTTTATCTGTAGCATTCATTCATTCGTTCGTTCGTTCGTTCATTCATTCATTTGTTCGTTTTTTCTTTCGTTCATTCGTTCATTCATTCATCTGTGTTTGTTGGCTGTCTGGACTAACTAACAAGAAAAACATATCATGCAACTATCAAAACACCTGCAAACTTTCGAAGTATGCGTGCACATGTACCCTTTGTGTGTTCGCGTGTGTGTTTGTTTGTGTGTGTGTTTGTGTGTGTGTGTGTGTGTGTGTGTGTGTACGTTTTGTTTGTTCTTACTTACGGTTATACACATATGTACGTAAAAACGCATTCACACAAATATGCATTCACTCTGAAAAAGCGTGCGTACATAGATAATTATGCATTCTCGAATACATATCATACATACGTACGTACGTACAAATATATATATATAGATATGCATGTATAAATACGCACACAAGTGTATATACCCTTTGTAAATACGCAAATATACACACGCAAAAATACCTGCAAACAAAGGTGTACATCGCATTGAATGAGGCATCGTATGCAACCTGTTCGCTACCCTTCAAAATTTTTTTCAAAGTGCATCTAAACAAAAATAAACACGTACACACGCATGCAAATACATACACACGCACGCACACACAACCACTCGTTTTTTATTACTCTTTTTCTTTCTGTTCATCAAAATTTGTATTTTTTGTCTGTTTATCATCTTCGCGTTATCATCTTTATCATCGTCCGTTATGGTATTTCAATTTTTATACTCACCATTGTAAGAGAACCTCCATCGCTATCTTCATCATCATTGGCGTCATCACAATCCTTATCATTGTATCATTATGAACATCATCATCGTCGTCATTATTTTCATCTCAAATATCGTCATTTTCATTATTAGCTTTATCACCATAACCTCACCATCATCGTCGTCGTCATCACATCACCGCTATTGTCATCATCGTCATCACCATCATCATCGTCATCAGATTACCACCACCGTCGTCATCACCATAATCAGATCACCATCATCACGTCACCATCATCAGATCACCATCATCACGTCACCATCATTAGATCTCAGCTAACATCGGATCACAGTTTGAAACTGTTGAACGTGCAGCCAGGCGACGAAGGCACGTACATCTGCACCGTGCACACCCCCTCTGGACTTAGGAAAGAGACCAGAGCAGTTCTCGTTGTTAACAGTTGGTCATGATGTGACGTCATAATGATGTCATGATGTGACGTCATGATGATGCCATGAAGTGATGTAATGATGATGATGACGATTATATCATATAACAATACCATCCTCACCATCTTTATTACCATTTCCATCATCATCATTACTATCATCATCATCGTCGTCGTCGTCATCATCATCAATACCGCCATCATCATCATCATTTCATCAGCTCCACCATCAGTTCAAGTGCCCCATCGAGATTTCGTGGTGAACCCTGGCAAAAGAGTGGTCATTGATTGCATGGTTGCCGGTAGTCCCACCCCGGAAGTCACGTGGTTTAGATCGTCCAATTATGTTCGTTCATGCTGCTGTTGATGTTTTTGTTGACGTTGACGTTGTTGTTGTTTTTGTTGACGTTGTTGTTTTTGTTGATGTTTTGTCCGATGTTGTTGTTTTCATTGTTGTCGTTACATTTTTACATTGTTTACATAAACTTTGTTCTAATGATAATTTTTGCAATTCTGTTACAAATGTTTTTTCCATTCAAATGGTTTTCAAACAATGGTTTTTTGAGCTGACATTCGTTTTTTAAAAGTCCATTCCAACTACTTTTTTAATTTTCAATAAACAATGAGCGTCCTTTCAGGAACTTAGACAGCAAACAATTTGGCGTACAATACAATCGATACATTTTTGTATGTCATACTCTGTAATGTTTGTTTGTTTTTGTATGTTTTAGTTGAATGTTTAGTCATTTTTACTACGTTTTTGAACAGAAGATGTAAACATAAACTCGAACTTAAACATAAACCTCATCGAAAAATGAACATACGAATATGAAACGAGTGCAAATTGAAAAAAATGTGAAATGACAATTCTTTATGTGAACTTTGTATGCACTGACGATGACAATGTCTATCTATCTATCCTATTTATTCATCCATCTATCTATCCATCTATCTATTCATCCATTTATCCATCCAGCCAGCCAGCCATCTATCCATCCATCCATGCTATTGTTTTGTCTGTGCGTGTGTGTCTGCTTTTGTAACTGTCTGTATTCGCGTGTGCATGTTTGTTTGTTTATATGTGTGTATGTGTATATGAGTGTGTGTGTGTTTCATCTTTTTTATGTTAGTTCGTTTTTAGTTCAAAATATTTTAGGACGTCTTTGTCACAATGAAATCATTCTTTGCTATTGTACTATTTCTGCTACTACTGATACTACAACACTGCTACTACTATGATACTGCTATAATATTACTGGGATACAACTAGGGAACAACTATGATTTTACTTGTGTATTATTGATTAACAATGGTTACTGATATTGTTACAACTTTTACTAAAAACGTTTCTTGTTATGGTTGCCCTTTATTACGCGAGAATTTTCGCTACCATGCCGTAAAATATTACAAAATACTACCATCTGCAATGTTACTTAGTATAAATAGCTTTAATATCATTTCAGTTACAAAAGTTGAACTTTAAAATTTTCAACTAAAAATTTGAACCTTCCCGCAAACAGCAGCCCATCATCTCGTCAACGATGACGTCAACCGCGCCCGACAACAACAACAACAACAACATTAAAAACATCAACAACAAAATCAGGATAAACAACGGAAACGCAAACAACAACAACAACAGTAAGTATAGAGTGTTGGATACTGGCTCATTGATTATAGACAGTGTGTCAGTTGAAGATGCAGATGAATATGTATGCAGGGCCTCATCAAAGGTTGGCAGAGCAGAAGCCAGGGTCACTCTGCAGGTCAAAGGTCAATCTTTTTGTTGCTAGTGTTGTTGTTTTTTGTGATGTTTTTGCGAATTGTTGTAGTTGTTGTTGGTTGTTGACAATTGTTTGTTTGTTTGTTTTGTTCATTCGTTTGTTTGTTTATCTTTAATTATTTTTTGGTCCAACAGTTTTTATTTTGTTTGTGTTTTTTGTATTAGGGTAAATTTTCAATTAAAAAAACGAAATTTAACTTTTTTGATTTCAAACAAACTTTTATGTACACTAGCAACGTAGAGCTCAATAATTTGTTAAGCAACTTTGCGTTTCTAAAATCAAAAAATTCAACACACACAAACAAGCAGAGAACAATCAAACAAAACTAATCACCATAAAAAAACAATACAAAAAACAATAGAATAAAAACAATAAAGAAAAACAAAAAACCTCAATTACGTTTAGATATGGACAACCTCCTGCCACCAATCATCATCCACGGCCCTCAGAACCAAACCCTACCCCAGGGTGAAACAGTCACCCTCACTTGCACCATCAACCACCAAAGCCCCAGCGATGACGTCACCAATTTTGATGACGAAAAAGATGCTGGTTATGATAATGATGAGGGTGGAGATGAAAATGATGATAACGATGAGGCAAAGATTAGATGGTTGAAGAACAATGCCCCGATGAAAATTGACGGTGTGAGAGTTTCGAAGAGAAGCAATGGAGAACTCGTCATCAACGGTTCGTCTTGGTTGATCATATTTTTCATAATTTACAATCTTTGAAAATCATTTGCTGATTGTTATTTTTAACTTTTTAAAAGTTCACCCCACTAATTACTTAATTTAAAAAAAGTGAATTGAAAACATTCAAAGTTATTTATGGTTGAAATTAAAATTAAGTCGGAGTAACTTTTAATCTGAAAGAAATATTTACATTTTTTAAATGAGAAGGTTTTCTTCAATAGGCGGGTAACTCAATAATTATTTATATCTGCAATATTTAACAATTCTTTGGATGATGACGTCAATTTTTGGATATTGACTTGTCTTCTAGGTCTTTGATTGTGATTGTTTTTGCTATTGATTAATGGGGGCTGTTTATGTTTTTGTTGTTGTTGTTGTTGATGTCTATGTTGTCGTTGTTTATGTTGTTGTTGCTATTTACTATTATAAATTTAGGAATTTAGAATTTTTTAACAAACATTTCAACCTGAAATCCAAATGTCAATCAAATTGGCTGTTCTCACAAACATATCGTGAGAAACATGCATCATTTATCTTTTTGTAGAGCAGTAAGAAGCATATATGCAAGAATATGATCGTTGTTTATTTAAATCATTTTATTAATACCACATGCAATGTGTGTGTGTGTGTTTGTGTGTGTGTGTCTCTATGTGTGTGTGTGTGTGTTTGTGTGTGTGAGTTGTTGACACCTCTAAGAAGTTCTCCAGAACAATCAATCAAGGTGTACAACCAATCGTAACATGATTTGAGATCTGAGACAATCTGACACTGATCTGACAACAGATCTGAGACAATCGGACACTGGAACGTATACCTGCAGCGTCATCAGCGTCTCAGGTGAGACATCATGGTCGGCCCATCTCTCCGTCCAGTCGAGTTCTGACCCGAACGTCCTCTTTAGAAGGTCACCTACGATTTCTACATTCCCAGGGGCTCCGACCACACCGCTTGTTAATGAGGTTTGTTACTGTTTACTGTGCTGGCAACTGTAATGTTGTTGATGAATGTATTTTTTTTTATTACCGCCCATCGCCAGGTTCGGCAGACGTCAGTGAGGCTGTCGTGGAAGTTGAACGCCAGGAGAGGCTCATCAGAGGTCGAGGGTAGCATCGTGGAGGTCCACTGCGTAGAGTGCTCTACCAAGGTACCCATGATGATGATGATGATGATGAGGATGATGATGATGATGAGGATGATGATGATGATGATGATGATGATGATGATGATGATGATGATGATGATGATGATGATGATGATGATGATGCTGATGATGATGATCCTGAGGATGAGGAGGATGATGATGATCCTGAGGATGAGGAGGATGATAATGATGATGAGAATGAAGATGAGGATGGTGGTAGAGCTGTGTAATAACGATTATCAAATGGTGGAGCAAATGATGCGACGTAAAATTTCTTTATTTAATTTCTACATTCATCATCATCGCCATCTTAACTACTACCATCATCGTCACTATCATCATCACCACCAATGTCACCACCGCCACCATCACCACCACCATCTTCACCACTCACCACCCTCCTCAACGAACAGACCTGGACCCAGCGTATCTACCCCGGCAAATCTTTGACAGCCACCATAAACAATCTGTCCCCAGACACCACCTACTACTTTCTCGTCAGGAGCTGGAACTCGCACGGGATTGGTGCACCAAGTGCTGTTTCCTCTTCCGTTCGTACGAAGGGTACGCGTGTAATGTTTCACTCTTTGTTTCGATATAATTAGTTTCGTTTCGTTTCGTATGTTTACGTGTATGAAGGGTGCATGTGTACTTTGCACTCTTTCTGGTTGTGTGTCTGTGTGCGTGTTTTTATGTATGTGAAAGTGGAAATGGTTTTATGTATGTGAAAGTGGAAATGGTTTTTTGCTGGTGCATGCATGCACGTGTTAATCCACCTGCCAGCAAACTAATTTAATAACTTTTATTAACTTTTTCCACTTGGTTTATATATTTTCTTCATTTCATGATACGCTTTGCATGTCCTCACAAATTCTGCGCGTCTAACAGTTTCTGACTCTTTAAAATAAAAAAATAAAATATTTTATTAATTTTAATAATAAATAATTAAATTGATAGCTACAAACTATAGAACAACTGCTGGAGATGTATCAATAATTGTTATCACATAAACGGCAATGGTTAATGATGATAATGATAATAAACCGCCAACAGGAAGCAAAATATCACCCAGCATCTCATTGGCTGACATCAAAATGATTCTAGCCAGTCAGCAGTTAGTACGGCCAATGAGTGCCCAATCACTGAGCTCGACAAGCATTCAAGTTGAATGGGGCTCCTTTGATGAATACAAGGACATCATTGATGAGTTTGTGGTTCGCTACCAAGATATTGACAGGTTGATGGGCGGAGTTTGTTTGTGTGTGTGTGAGTGTGTGTGTGCGTGTGTGTGTGGGCGTGTGGGTTTGTCCTTACTTGTGTGTGTGTGTACGTTCAAGCGTAGATATGGTTTATTTAATTGTAAATAGTAACAATCAAATTGTATGTTCCATATGTAAAAACATAAGGTCAATTTAAATTTCTATCTATAGAAACAGTGCCATTCAATCAAGAAGAGCTTACCATCACGTAAACCAGATGACCTTGAATGGCCTTGAAAAGTTCACCCTGTACGAGGTCAATGTACTTCCGGTTTACATGGGTCACGAGGGAATTCCCACTACAGCCAGGGTCAAAACGTCTGAAGATGGTCAGTTTGGGTTTTTGTGACATTTTATATTAGTGGCCATGGTGATGATGTTTATTTAATAGTGATGATAATGATGAAGATGATGATGATATTGATGATGATGGTGACGATGATGATTATGGCGATGGTTATGATTATAGATTAACGATTTAAGTTTTCTCTTCATTTCATCACTAATCACTTCATTTCAAGTTTTAATTGTTCACATTATAGCCACCACCATCATCATCCCCGTCATTCACACCACCACCACCACACCACACCACTCAGCACCTTCCGTGGCACCATCGAATGTGCAAGTCACCTGGCACAACAACGATTCTCTACTCATCACCTGGGACCCACCACCTACTCTCACCCATAACGGGCCTTTGAGGGGGTATAAGGTTCGCACTACCCCACCACCACCTTCACACTACCACCACCTTCATCATCATCATCGTATTATCGTCATCACTAACTTTGTCACCATTTTTGCCTCATCATTATTTTATTATCATCACCATGTTACGTTGTGTAATGTAATGTTTTTCAATTTGAGTTACAAATCTCCCGCCAGGTTTACGTCACGAACAACAACACGCGACTCGTGCGCGCGACACAAGTCGACGAGAATGTCGAGTCTTTCATGATTGGCAACGTCATCCGAGACCACTACTACACCGTCAGAGTTACATGCTTCAACAGGGTCGGAGAGAGTCCGTCTAGTCTGGATGCCGTTGTTGCTGGTTTGTTGCTGGTTGCTGTTGCTGGTTTATTGTTGCTGCGCAACACGTGTCTACATCTTTCTGTCTTTTATTGATACATTTCACTTTTGTTAGTTTTACAAGGTTGATTCTTTTCCATGACTTAATTCAATGTAACAACGGTACAAACAAACATAAACAAACGAACTAACAAATCACATGATGCAGGCCACTTGCAACCTCTTCCGTTTCCACCGACAAACAGCAACAATGTAGTGAACGAATCCTGGTTTGTTGTTGTCGTCATCGTCGTCATGGGAACGCTGCTGTGGGGTGTGTTGTGTTTGCTGAGTGTCTGCATGTTCAGGAGACACAAGAAGAACAAGAAGAAGAAGGTGCTGCAGGATGATGCTGAAACTGCCCTCAGAGGTTTGTTTGTTGGTTTGTTTGTTTGTTTGTTCGTTCATTCGTTTGTTTGTTTGTTGAATTTTAACTTTAAGAAGATGTCTTTTTAAAGAAAAACTTCAAATTTTTAAGTGAGAATTTTTAAAATTGAATTTCTTTTTATGTCGTAGGCGGGACACTACCGAACATGACAAGTGGCAACAGCCAGAGGTGACTTCTCCGCTCCTTTGTATTTAGTAGTTCGTTAAAACACTAATTAATTAAATCATAATACGAGGCTGTTATTTGTGAGCAATAACTACACAACATCTTTACACGGTGTACCACATTATCGCATATCATTCCTGCATACACCATCGTACAACATCATGTACAGCAGTGGTACGGTACACGCATCAAATCATAATCGCATCATCATCTTCATCATTATCAACATCATCATCTTCTTCACCATCATCGTCATCCTCCCACCAACACTGAATAGAGTGCCGGCGAAATCTTCATCAACGACAACAGCAAGCGGAAGTCAGTTCCCACTTTTAAACAACAATCAGCTGATTATGGACTGCCAGACGCGACTGAACAGGTGCTGCTACGACAACAGCCACTCGCCCACTGACTCCAAGGACGACTGCCACGTCATCAACGAAAATCAAGGTCACACCTATCAGACACGTAAGTTATGGTTATGATGATGACTATGATGATGATGATGACGATGATGATGTAGTTATAATTATCATTGTCTTTCGTACTTAAATTTTTGACGTGAGTGGGTTGGAATGTTATCATTATCCATCTTACATAGGCGTGAACTGTTTGTTTTTCAAGTAGGTATAAAGCGCTTTATAAATGCCGCATTTTCCTTTTTTGTTATTATTATTCTTACCATCACCACCATCATGACCAGTTGACGCCCACCAGAGCGTGTACCCTCACACGTGGAATGCATTCGGCAGCGTGATCGTCCCCATGCCAGCCACGAACACCACACCACACCTCGACCACCAACAGCAACAGTCAATCAATCAAATTGGGTATTTCCCATCTGGAGAAATCCCAAATCCAGCGGCGTACATGATTCGCTGCCCGCCAGCCAATAGCAGCGGAGGTAGCAGTGTCGTCAACCAATCAGAAACGATTATCGAGGCTAACGAAGATGACCATGACCTTGGTTACAACGTGGCTGGACGATGTGGAGCCGGAAGTCATTGTGGTAGCAACAGCAGCTACGGTGGTCATAACGAAAGCGGAAGTGCTGGAAAGTACTACACGAGAGAAGAGGCGGGAAAGAAGTTTCACTTTCACAACAATAAAAATAATAATAATAATTATGGTAATAATAATAATTTTGACAATTGTAATAAATATTCTAGTCCTCACCATTCATCCGCAGGTAGTGTTTATTTGTTCGTTTATTCGTTCATTCATTTTGTATTCAATCATTCATTTGTTCGTTCATTAGTTCATTTATTTTGTATTTATTCATTCATTCATTTATTCGTTCGTTCGTTCGTTCATTTATTCGTTCATTTATTTTTTCATTCACTCATTATTAATAATTTAAAGTAATAAATGTGTTATCAGTTGAGGCAAATCAAACCATTTGCTATTAAAACTGTGACGTAACCATGGAATAATTGGTAAAATTTCATTATAAATTATGTATTATTATCATTATTATTATGTATTATTATTCATTATTATCATGTATCATTATTATTATGTATTATTATTCATTATTATCATGTATCATTATTATTATGTATTATTATTATCATGTATCATTATTATCATGTATCATTATTATCATGTATCATTATTATTAAGTATTATTATTATTTCAACTGATTAAACTAAAACGTTAATAGGCAGTTCGCTAGCTTCAGCCAATCACGAATCGAACCAGCCCTTGCTCTACTGTTACAACGGAGAGTTAGATAACATTGGTCCGACCATGGCAAGTTCAAGGTCGTCCGTTGTAATTATTTATAATTAGTATTTTCAAGGTCGTCCATTGTAATTAATATTTTCAAGGTCACCTGTTTTAGTTAGGATATTTATAAGTAATTAGGCTATTGTGATTGTAATTGGTGATGGTTCATCGAGTTATAATGACGATGTTACGAACGATACGGGCCATGTTCAATAATAATAATAGCAATAATATTTATTCATAATAATAATAATGATGTTGATGATGATGATTTTAATGATGATGATTGTTGTTGACGATAAAAACAGGTACATAATGAACGGCGAACCAAACCACAACAACAACAACATCTGCAACAACCACAACAACAACATCTGCAACAACATCAACAACAGTAACTACTACGATCAAGTTCCTAACGATAATGTCATTAACAATCCTTACAACAACAACAACAAAAAGCTCCACCTCCTACAACAACACTGCAACACGCCAGAATCTTTTATATCGGATACAGACTGCGATGGTGAAGGTCATTCATTCACTCATTCGTTCATTCATTCACTTATTCGTTCATGCATTCATTCACTCATTCGTTCAATCATTCATTCATTTATTATGTCGTTGTCGTTTAATAATACAACAACAACAGCACACGTTTAGACGACATTTTCCCCGAGATCGGGGGTTGCCGTTTGGCTACCTATGATGAAACCGAAATACCCCTCGACGCCATCCACATGTCGTTTAATAATCATGTTCATTAATTTTGCAATCAACAATCACCACAATGTATCAATCAACAAAGCTAAAATAACCGCATCACTACACTATCAAAGCACCACCAACCACCACAACCACAAACAGACGCGCCACCAACCACTACATACCACCAGAAACAGACGCGCCACCAACCACTACAAACCACCACAACCACAAACAGACGCGCCACGGATCATCTCCATCGACGACGCCAGTACAACCAGTTCAACTTCAACAAAGTCAGACAACGATGTTGTTGTCGTTGGTGTTGCTGATCAAAATGTTGCCAAACAACTGCAGCAACAACAACAACAGCAGCAGCAGCTTAAATACCAAAAACCACAAATAGGCTTCATGACGGCGCTTAACTATAGTGAGTGATTGGTATTTTTATCGCAGGTCATTCATTCATCTGTTCAACCATTCGCTCGTATATTCGTTCCATCAATTCATCATTTATTCATCCATCTAATCGTTTTTTCATTTGATAATTCATTCAACATTCATTTATCTACTCATTCATTCATTCATTCATTCATTCAGTCATTCATTCAATCATTCATTCAGTCATTCATTCAGTCATTCATTCAGTCACTAATTCATCATTTCCTAGACAGTAAACAGCAAATAGCATCCAACAACAGCAGCAGCATCAACAACAACAATGGCTTCTGTCCAACTGTAAAAGTACCAACTACAAAATTATTACAACAATTGAAGTTAAATAAATAACTATAATATAATTTTATAATAAAATAAATAAATAACCAAAATATTATTTTATGATGAAATAGTATAAACCATAACTGACGCTTAATTGCTCAATTGGGCAAATATTTTGTGCGTCTCTACTATTACAATAATATTAATAATAAAATAATTAGTTTAATTATGATTGATATTATTATTATTAAATATTGTTCGCAATTTTCTTCAACAGAATACTTCCATATAACCAACCAACCAACCAGCCGGTCGATCGATCAATCAATCAACCACTGTCCTATTGAAAACACCTAGCTACACACTATATTGATATTGAAATCAATCAATCAATCACATTTATTCATTCACTCATTCATTCCATCGTACGGTCGATTGATCAATCACTCATTCATTCAATCCTTCATTAAACATTTTAGTCCAGTCAATCAACTATTTTTTAATTCTTCGGTCAAATCAGTTAATTGAATTAATTTATTAATATTTAAACTTCCAATCAAAAACCAGTCCCATCAATGTTAAATATATCAATAATATTAATTAATTAATCAATCAAATTTTTTTAAACTTTCTGTTGCTTTTCAGTCATTCGATATTCATTCATTCATCCATTCATTCATTTATCCATCAATTCATCCATTCATTCACCTAAACGTACAGTACTTGTTTTCAAAAAAAACTACGGTATTATGCATTATTAAATGACTTTTTTTCATTAAAAAACATTGAAAATTTCATTTTAAATTAAATTCACTTTTTACGAGGAAAAATTATCTTTATATTTTCTATTTTTTTCCAATTAGTAATAATTATTTATCGCTTTGAAACGATTTTGTACAATAAAAACAACGCAGAGATAATGTATTTGTATAAACAAAGTTATTGTATGTATATATATATATATATATATATATATATATATATATATATATATATATATATATATATAAGCACACACCACACACACACGTACAAACACACACAAACATCCACATGCGAGCATACCTATATACACATTCATTTATACCATATATGTATAAATACATGCCTGTGTGAATATCGGTTTATGTGTGCTTGTAATAGAAAATATATTTGTACATGTGTGTGTTACAGTGTTGGTATGCATGCATGTATTGATAAGTGTGTGCATATGTATGTGCATGTCAGTGTGTGTGTGCGTGTGTGTGAATATTTGTATGTTATGTATGTGTATTTGTGTATAGGATCAATTTTGATGTACGTGCTCGTTGTATTCGTAAGTTTTTGAATTGTAACTAAAATAATAAAAGCTTTTTCCTCGCTGCATTATGTTAGTGTATTTACAAGTAGAGAAGTTTTTGAAACTATTATGTGTGTGGCTTGTATATGTGTAGTGTGTATATGTGTGAGTGGGCGTGTTTGTGTGTGTCGACTTTGATTATGCCTTATATATGGTGAAAAAGTGATTGAAAATTAGATCACAAATTAAACTTAGCTATTAAACAACTGTTAGTATTATTATTACTATTTTGTTGTTATTATTATTACTATTCTTGCTTAAATTATTACAAAATGTTACAAAAATTCAAGAAACATTATGTCGCCATTACTACAAGTTACAACAATTTGCTACTGCATTGATGTCATTTTTGTCTGTGTTGTTGTCACGATTTTAATTGTTACTGTTGTTGTTACTTATTGTTGTCGTCGTTATTGTTCTTATCAGGTTGTTTTGATTTGTAATACTTTATACACTTCTGAAAACAAGCTACATAAAATAAATTTCATGAAAAAAAAGCCATCGTTTAATCGATCACTCACTCAATTAATCCATCACTCAATTAATCCATCACTCAATCAATTCATCACTCAATCAATCCATCCCTCAATCTATAAATCACTCAATCAATTCATCACTCAATCAATTCACTCAATTAATCACTCAGTCCATCAATCAATCACTCAATCAATCACACTTATTTTTCAAGCCCCATTTCCGCGGTACTCTAACCCTCAATAAATTTCACAAACAGATGGGTCTTGAACTTAAGTGACGGAGAAGTAGTTAGAGAAGGAGGTGGTAGGGGCTTCCAGAGAAAGGGGCCAAAAAAAGCAAACGTTCGATGGTGGAAGTTCCAAAAAATACTGGCGGCAGCGTTAATTACTACTGATTATTACTAATTAAAGTCCTAGTAAAAGTAACGATACACGGAATATATAACGGATCATATTTATGACATTTCGTATGTATCGAAATATAGATATATCGAAACCTAACACGGTTCGTGAGATTTTTATTTCAAACATTTAACCATCGGCGATATCACCATCAATAATGTTGTCATCCTCTTTGCCAAGATTGCCATCATTATCATTACCGACATTTTTGACGTCATCATCATCGTCATCGTCAACATTTTCATCATTATCATCATCATCGCCATGGATCTTTTCGTCATCACCATCGCAATCTTTTTTTTCCGGTTTAGCCTGGACCTCCACTTTCTTGTGTCCTGGAATTAGAAGAAAATAACGAAATATTTAATTGCTAAAAAGGATACAAGTCAAACATACAAATACAAAAAAACGTACAAAACCATACGAACAAACGTTCAAACAAAACACACAAACAAGGATACATACCCACAAACCAAACACACAAAACACAGACAAACAAACAAAACGAAATCATACAAACACACATACAAACCGTGATGCGTCAGTTCAGCTCCACACAATCTCAAATAGTGACCTCGATCAGCTTTCGGAAGGAAGGATCGACATGAAACCTTGCCCTTCCAACCGCATAAAATTAGTCGACAGTTCGGTCCATCTGTGCTGATTGTGGATTGGACAGTTGAATCAATCAATCAATCAATCAAATCAATCAACCATCAGTCAACCAGCTATCCACACAATCAATCAATCTTCCAGTCAATCAGTTAGTCATTCAATCAATCAATCAATCAACTAACTCTGGCGACGGTTCATACAAGAAAACACAGCCTCCCTGATCTGCAAACATGAAGAAAGATAAAACACGATGCAAGTATTTTTATCCACCCAACAACGATGATGATGATAATAAACAAAAATTATATCTAATTTAATATGGAAATAATACAAATAATAACAATTAATAATAATAATTAATAATAAATTTTATTAAAAATAATATATAATAATAACCTAATGACTGCATTTGGTCATGAGCAAGTTTAGAGAACCTATTGATGTAAGGGTTCTCTGAGCTGAGCAAGGTGACAACGTCTGCCCTCGTGACCTTTACCACCCTCTTCGTTATGTAGGGGTACAAGAGGTGCAAGCCCTGAATGAATAGATTAATGAATGGATGAATGAACGAAATGAATGAATCTATCGATCGATCGACCGGATTTAATTAAATGTATGAATGAATAAGTTACGTACATAGTTGCTTTAATAAATATATTAGATACGTACATCTTCTATGCCAGTATACCTCATTGAGTGTACACAAACTTTACAAACAACTGCATACAAAATAACTGCATTCAAAACATCTGAATACAAAATAACTACATACAAAACAGCTGCATACAAAGCAGCTAAATACGAAACAACTGTATACAAAACAGCTGAATACAAAACAACTGCATACAAAACAGCTGAATACAAAACAACTGCATACAAAACAACTGCATACAACAGCTGCATACAAACAAACCCACATCTTGGACCAGTCTGAACTCACACTCCACATCCTTCGATACACTCCTACTCAAAATTTTCACCCCGAAGTTTATGAACTGAAATATAAAAAAGATCGATGATAATAATAATAAAAATAAACAAATAAAAATTATACCGATAATAACCAACATCATCATCATTCCTATCATCATCATCATTCCTATCATCATCATCATTCCTATCATCATTATCAGGATCGTATTAATATCTAGGTCATCGACCTTGAACTTGTCCTCGTTCTTCTGAACCAGTTGTTTGATGACAGAAGACACAAAATAGATGTTCCTCTTCTTGCCGGTGTCACATCTCACCATCAGCTGATCGAATGGAAAATCATCGGAAATGCCATAAAACTCGCTAGATGGAATAAAAATAAGTTGGGAATTCCAAAGTTATTAGTTTCATTTTTGATATTTTTTTTTAAAAATTGCATTCCCCCAAAAAAAAAACCTCTTCATAATAAGTAACAACTTTGACATCGAATAGCGGACACCGTTATCATGATCATCACATTGATGATGCTGATGATGATGAAAATCGTCATCATCATCAGCATCACCTCCACCACCATCATCATCAACAGCCATGATACAAAGGTGTTTGAAAAAGTTCATAGAAACTTTTGTCTATTCAGCTTTTTCGCAAAAATAAAACCAACTTAAAATTTTTGCAATCGATGACGTCACAATGACATCGTCGTCACATCATCATCACCACTACCACCATTACTAACATGATGGGCTTCCACATTGGATCGTTTTGCTTCAGAAAAATGAACGGATCCTCTTTGTAGCCGAAGTGCTTCTGCTTCTTAGATGCTCTTGACATTAACATAATTTATTAATAAATTTATTCATTTATTCATATATTAATTCATTAATTTATTACAACTTATTACACACGCATACAAACAGACACACACAGAAGGGCGTCTACCTATCATGTTCAGTTGTATTCTTTCTTTTCTTGCTCTTTCCGTCAGCAGCGTTCGTCTCCACTGATGAAGTTTTACGTGTTATTCAATCACTAGGTCATCATCACATCACCATTCTTATCGTCACGTCATCCTTATTATCAACATAGCATTTGTTATCAGTCCAACTAACAGTGATCATCATCGTCGTCGTCATTATTACGTCATAGTCGTCATCATTATCATCTTTATTACCAATACGTGATGATAATGATGATGAAGTAATTATTACTTTTGAAATGAGCTAATGGTAAAACAGCAAACTATTTGAGTTGATCTGCAAACAAAATATAAAAATAATGAAAATGATGAACCTTCATTATCACCACCATCATCATCTTTTTCATCCTCATTGTTACCATCATTATCATTACGACTCTTTTCATCATCATTATCAGCAACACCAAGCGACGTTAATGATGATGACGATGATGTTGATGACGATAACGACGATGCATTTTTTCTCAACAATGCCACAAAGAACCCGCCGGTGTCTTGCTTGTGGGGAAGAATCCGCATGCTGATGATGGTGATGATAATGATGGTGATGATAATGATGGTGATGATAATGATGGTGATGATAATGGTGGTGATGATAATGGTGGTGATGATAATGATGATGATGGTGATAATGATGGTGATGATAATAATGATGATGGTGATGATGATGATGGTGATAAAGATAGTGATAATAATGCTGATGACAGTGATGATGATGATAATGGTGATGACGATGATGTTAATAATAATGGTGATAATGATGGTGATGATGATGATGACAATGGTAACGATAATGATGACCGCAACAAAAATGGGGCTTCTAATGACGAAGATGATGTTTTTAATCAGAATGGCAGGAAGATGAGAATGATGGTAATGATGGTTTCCAAACTGACCACTTGTGCAAACTGAACTGCACCACTTCCTCCTCGGAGGGAGGGAATAGGGTAGGCACGAGTTGGGTGTGAAGTCTCTGGGGTACCTCCGCATAGCTACTGTACCATTCTTCGGTTTTTGTCATGACCTATTTAAAGTTAGTGTACGTGTGTTTGTGTGTATGTGTGTGTTTTTCTGTGTTTGTTTGTGTATGTGTGTGTACAACACGTTCGTATGTGTATGTATGAGCATAGGAGATGCACAACAGATGACAAACAAACAACTGGCAACAAAGTCGAACAGCCAGCCAACCTTCCAGCAACTTCTACCAGGCTCTGACAGCAAGCCAGGCAGACGCTCCTTTATATCCACTAATTCTACGGCGCCTGAAGGAATGGAAACTTCAAGGATAGATCAACAACGACACACAGCGAGAACGTTAACAACAACCACTTCAGTAAGGACAATAAATTCGACACTTTTACATTCCTAAGTAGAGAAAACAACAGCCATAGCAGCAGCAATAACCACAGCAACACCAACGACAACAGCATCAGCAACAACAACAACAACAACGATTGCAACAATTCTTGCAATAGCGTCATCAAAGACATCCAACTCTACCCTTCATAGTTCTCAGTATATGCGCCACAACGGCTTCATTCTCGACGGGATTCAGCGAGCAGGTCGAGTAGACAATCAGGCCACCCTCACTCAACATCTCCATCCCTCTCCTCAATATTCTCCTCTGTAAACTGGAGAGATGATGACGGTGATGTCAGTGATGATGACGACGACGACAATGATGGTGATGATGAAGATGAACGTAACAATAGCAAACCTGCCCCAGTTATATAAGCTATAAATAGTAACACATGACCTTTTTACATAATTTAAAATTAATGAACTCAATAATAATTAATAGCAAACAGCACATTGAACGCCAACACATGAAACTATCACCTAACGATAGCAACGATAATAACCCAAAAATAGCAACACAAATAGGAAACAATTACACGATCTATTTATAGCAAAGCGTGACCTACTTATGCAGACCGTGGGCCGATCCAGGGTTCCACCTGTGCCAGGCGTCCACATTCTTTCTCAGGGTTCCGTCGCCACTGTAATGATGATGACGACGACGAAGATGATGACGATGATGACGAAGATGATGACGACAACGACGACGATAACAACACACAATAATAACGATAACTTGTTGACACAACAACCGCGATTAACTGATAGTTTATAAAGTTTAATTGTTTTTTTTTTATCACTGAAATCTGATCTGTGGTAAATAACCTGCATGGGACGTCACAGAGGATCCTATCAAACTTGACAACCTCATCCGTCGTGGGCTGTCGTCGGTTGAACATTTGTATCAATGAAATTGCAGTCAAAATTGAAAAAAAAATATTCGAAACCAGTGAATCAACTAAATCAATTAAAATAAAGAATATTAACAACCAAAAATATCGACCAATAAACTGACAAACTATTTATTAACTGATCCAAATGTGAACCAATCAAACAGCAAATTATTGATTCAGTCAATCAAATCAATCAACAAAGCACACTACATTACTAACCACCAAATCAAATCAACCAGCTAACCAGTCAACCAGCCAATCAAATGAAACATTAAACTAGCCAATCAGATCAAACTATTATCCAAACAACCAGCCAATCAAATCAACCAGCCAACCAAATCAAACATTTAACCAGCCAACCAGCCAATCAAATAAATCGGCCAACACACATGAAAAAAGTTAGGCATGTTAGTAGCGTCCATATTGGTGACAGCAAAATTGGCACTGAGCAGCCTGTTGATCTGGTGGACCATCAGGTAGCATCTCTTGTTATCGCAATCGTTCGCTATAACGAAGCCACCTTGAATATTTTGGAATTTATATAATTTATAATTTGTTTCAGTTATTAAATTACGTCATCATCAATCGAAGAATAAATTAATCGCAGTAAGTTAGAAAAAATAGTAGAAAATGTCCGTCTATAAACTTGAAAATGATAGGTATATTTCCTTTCAAATAAATTAAATGAATGAATGAATGAATGAATGAATGAAAAAAAAATCAATAAACTAGTAACTCTCAATCAAAAAATCAATCAACCAACCAACCAGTTAACAATCAATCAATCAATTAACCAACCAACCAGTTAACTGTCAATCATATCAATCAATCAACCAGTTAACCATCAATCAATCAATCAACCAGTTAAATATTAACCAACCAACCAATCAAACAACCAGCCTGCCAGCTAGCCAATCCACAAACTAACAACAACAACAACCACAAATAACCAGCATGCACACATGCAAAGAACTAACTAACTAACTAGATTCGTGCTTATTGCTCCCATCATCATCCTCATCAGAGTGGAGGAACTCGATGAGTTGGGCTGTTTTCGAGCCGGGAGCTGCACACATATCCAACACCTGATGACGTAAACATTATGATGATGATAACGATGATGATGATGATGATGGAGGATGATGATGATGATAGTGATAACCATGATGATAATGATGATGATGACGACGATGAAAATGCTGATGATGATGATGGAGGATGATGATAGTGATAACCATGGTGATGATGATGACGACGATGAAGATGCTGACGATAAAGATGATGATGATAAAGATGACGATGATAGTGATGATGATTAGCACAAACTTTAGAATGTGGTGTGACTTGAAGGACCAATGGAGGAATCATGCTGACTGCTTCTTGCCTACTTATGTAGCCCTGTCAAACAGTCATCATCACCATTATCATTATTTGTATCATCGTTTGTATCATCATTTGTATCATCATTATCATTACTATCATAAGTATTATCATCATCTATATCATCTATAATAATCTTACTCATCTTTGCACTCAGTTTCATTATCATCAACACAACCACATTCATCATCACCATCGCCACCATCATCGCCACCATCATCATCATCACCATCACCACTATCATCGCCACCATCATCATCATCACCATCACCACTATCATCATCATCATCATCATCACCGTCAGCATCATCACTGAGTTAACAATCATCACCATCCCCACTATCATCATCATCATCACCGTCAGCATCATCACTGAGTTAACAATCATCACCATCATCATCATAATCATAATCACCACCACCATCATCATCATCACTAACACTTTCAGTTTCTTGAATGAGAAACTGATGCAACCTCTTCAGTCGACCATCCTGTCTGATGTCCTTTCTAGCCAAGTCCAACTGCCATGCCAACTCATCTGGATACCTGATAATGATGATGGTGGTGGTGATGTGGTAGGGCTAGTAGTGATGAGGGTGGTGTGGTGGTGGTAGTGATGATGTGGTAGTGGTGGTGGTAGTGATGATGCGGTAGTGATGGTGTTGGTAGTGATGATGTGGTAGTGATGGTGTTGGTAGTGATGATGGTGGTAGTGGTGATGAGATAATAATAGTGATTATGATTGTTGTGACCAAAAATGATGGTACAAAAAATGTGACAGATTGTGAGGATGATGATGACGACGACGATGATGGATGATAAGAATGATAAGTTATAGAGATTGAAATTATATAAACCAACCATCATATCTCAACCAACCAACCAACCAACCAACCAACTAACCAACCAATTAAGCATATAGTCAACCAACTCACCAACCAACCAGCCAACAAACCAACCAACCAACCAGCTAACCAACCAATTAACCATATAGTCAACCAACTCACCAACCATCCAGCCAGCAAACCAAACGACCAACTAACCAACCAACCATTCTAAACATTTTGGCATTGTATCTCTTTCTTTGTTGACTACATCACAATCAGGATCACAGCCAACATTTTCGACATCATAATTGTCTTTTTTAATGTTGTTGTTATCTGTGTTGTTGTTGGGTTGGCTAGAGGTGGGCTTTGTTGCTTCAATAGTGTTGATGCTGTTGCTGTTGTTGCTGGTGTCATTATTGTTGCTGCTGTTTATCTTTTCTTGCAGTTTAACATGGAGAAGATTGTTTAAATAATCCTTCTTAACAATCGATAGCATATCCTTTGCATGGCTACAACAATTAATCAATATTAATTAATTATGTAAATCAATATTAATTATGTTAATTAACATTAATTATGTTAATTAATTATAAAATATAATTATATATAATATATAACATGAGGTGGTGTGAACCTTTTGAACCCAGTAACTCTGAAAGTGCAGGGTAAAGGTCGCAATAATGCCTCCATAAAATCATTCCACTCCTCTTCTGGCACTATACATTGACCCTGTCAAAAGTAATTTTAAAGTATTTTTTGATATTTGCTAGTTTAACAATTACTTTTTAATTAGTAACTCATTTTCTTTTGTTATTTTTACTGTTCAATTATTTATTATGGTCTAAATATTTATATTATTTTTGAAAAAAATATGGTTTGTAATATTTCTTATACTTTGTAGTAACTTTCAAATAATTTGCTTTCTTTGGCCTGAAGTATATACCCTTTGGAATTCGTATAACTACCTCTACGATCCACATAACTGCCATCTTCCCTTGTCCTCTAAAAAATTTTTAAGATAATGATAAATAAACTAAATATAATATTTATTTTAAATTTAAATCAAAACTCTAAATTAATTAAATCTAATTAAATTAAAAATAAATTAAAATAAGAAATCACCTTCCCACCACGCGAATTTTTTTTGTTTCTACCCATGACAACAAGATTTTTTATCAAGTGATTTTAAATTATTGATTTAAATTTTATATCGATTTACAAAAATATCTTTTTAAACTTAAATTAAAATATTAAACTGAAAAAATTAACTTTAAAATTAAAGTTTAAAATAAATAAACTCAACGGATCCACACTTAACAACAATTTTTTAAATCAAACAATACTTTAAAAAATGCCAGATTTACGCAAATTAATTTAATGAATTTTATTTTATTTCAAATCTCTGAACGCAAAAAATACACGCACACGAGAAAAAACCACTTGTTTTGATTGATTTATTATCGCTACTAGCATAGACATAAAAAACCGTATACAGAAATTAATCGTAACATAGAATCATATATTTCTAACAAATTACATTTAAAAAATCACATCAAACAGCATTTTTGAATTAACTTTAGAGACATTTTCTATCAAAATTTTTCCAAAAATCTTTAAAAAACTATACCTTACTAATTCATTCATCACTTCACAATATTTCAATGGTTTTTCAATAATATAACGTTTCAATCAAAAAAGTTACAATGATATATGTACTAAAATGTCTCAAATCATGAATTTATCCAACAGTTCGGTTAATTTAATTTAACGAGAACATTTAAACCGTACAAATATTACGTAGGCTAACTATTTCTTGAATAAATGCAAAATCAAGTATAAATTTTTTCAAAGTCCAGTACTGTTTTGTGTTACATGTTTTGTATGTGTGTGTGTGTGGTGTGTGTGTGTATGTACGTACGTATGCGATGTGTGTATATGTGTGTACATGTATGCCGGTGAAAATGCAACTAAAATGGGATGGACAACAAAATCTACCATTCCATTATAGATTTCAAAATGTCATATCTAGTGATCTACCGGCAATTAAGTGCATACGAGATAGTGAAAATTATGTGTTGCATGTAATGTTATGTGTTGTGTGTTACGTGTGGCATATGTTTGTATTGTATATTTGTGTTGTATGTTACGTGTAGCATATGTTTGTATTGTATATTTGTGGTGTATGTAATGTGTGGTATATGTTTGTATTGTATATTTGTGATGTATGTTGTGTGGCATATGTTTGTATTGTATGTCTTTGTTGTACGTTACGTGTGGTATATGTTTGTATTGTTTATTTGTGATGTATGTTATGTGTGGCACATTTGTATTGTATATTTGTGTTGTATGTTTATATTTTGTATATTCAAAAAGTTAAAAAAACTACGCAATATATACAGATAAGAACATTGAAATACAACATAATTTATATCCTGAAAAGAGAAAAACCGAAAGCAATTCAAACGGACGTTGATGACTAACTTTTTTGTTAAAAAACTCATTTCGATGAAATTTGTTGATGAATCATAAACATCAAGTCAATATGTGTAAATGCCACACACACACACACACACACACCACACCACACCACACCAAACACACACACCACACCAAACACACACACACCACACCAAACACACACACCGACAGACACTGATTCTCTCTTAAACACGTCAATTAATTTAAACTCTTTGAATGATAAACAACAAATGTTTAACAATGGTTGTAAGCAAGCATTTGTGTCTGATTAACTCTTAAATTGATAAAATAAATTATTATAACCATATAATTACGATAATTATATCAATAACTACATAACTAAAATAACCATACAACAATTGCAACGACAGATCAAACGTATATTATTAACCAGACAGAGAGAATTAAAAAAAATATTAATATTAACATAATTAACATAAAAAATTCAAATATTCAAATTCACTGCCAGTGTCAAGATTCGCGAACGAATGTAAATTTAAAATACACACAGGGCTTAACACGCGATAAAAAAAAAGCTTCTGAGATGAAGAAGAAAAAACGCATTCGAATGAAATATCAATACAAGTTGAGTGTCACTGTTTCTCCGCGCAAAATAAAATAAATAGTAATCAATAAATCTCTAACTCATTTCATCACCATCTTACCACTAAAATCATCATTATCATCATGGTCATTATTATTATAGTTATATGATCAATGTTATATTAATATAGTTATATGATCAATCAAGAGTTATATATCAAATCACATAATAACCACATTGTAACGTAACAATTGATTGTAAATTCATTTTTGAAATAAGATAGAAAAAAAACATGATTAAATGAACTACTATATACATTATTGGTTACAACTGTTCGGTGTGATTATGTTTACGGAAGACTGTGTTAAATATTGCCTAGATATGTTGTGTTAATATCATCGGTCTGTATACACGCACGCACACACACACACACACACACACACACGAACTTACTCACACACACAAACACACACAATAATCAGATTTTTTTTAACGGTACACTGATCAGATGTTAAATATTTACAAAAGGCATAGAATAATAACAACAAAGAAGCTTGACTGAATGAACGAATTGAATGAAATGTTTTAATGAAACAATGATCTTCTATCCACTGTTCCACTATACTTGCACACCATAATACATATATATTGCATATTATAACATTTAACAAAACTTCATTCAGTAGCTACCATTCAATCACTTAAATTTATATAGCGCCATCTTCAATCTCAAATGATAGCTGGATGAGTCTGCTTTTGAACCGGCTAATTGAGTAATAACAAGCCTCACGATGCCTCTATACTAATAGCCAATTTGATTATAAATACTATTTAGTTCGTTATTAATACTAAAAATAATATAAATAGCATTTTACTGCAGCCACCAATGATATCAACAGTATTAACGGTATCACTGAAGTAGCAAAAGTAGTAATTTATTATTAAGAAATGTTCATCTAAGAAGTTTTACCGAAAAAAATGACACTAGAAAGATTTCAATTGAAATGGTTGTCATCAAAATATGTCTCATCTTCATCTTCCTCTTCATTCATTCCGAGGGAATATTTTATCTTATCCATGGCCTCTCTTAAACTTCTCTGGTGGTGATCGTCTTGGAACCATCGCTGCCTGGCAGCAGTGTATTTAGAAGCACCTCTACTGTCGTCGTCGTTGTTGTTGTTGTTGGTGATGGGTTTCAGCTTGGCTCTTTGTAAGTTAAGCTGGTTGGTTGAGACTTGGAAGAAGGCAGACGGTGAAGGCGCTGAGAAAATGATAACGTGGTCATATGATGATGATGAGGATGATGAGAACTACAGAAAAATGATGATGGAGATGGCGAAAAATGATGATGGAGATAATTGAGAAATGATGATGGTGAAGCGACGAAGATGATGATGGCAGTGATTACAACACCAACAAAAAATTTTGCAATGCGGGCTGAACCAACCTTTTCGTTCACTGGTGTCAGGTTTCAGAGTCTTCAATTTCATCTTGGCTTCATGTAGCATGTTCACATTCATCATGAAAGGCTCCTAAAGAAACCAATCATAAAATGTTATTTCCAACAACAGATGATAATAAAAATATATAAATAATATTAATTATTATTATAATTAATAATAATAATATGTATTATTAAAATATTTTAAATTTGAGTAAGAAAAAGCGAACCAGGACTTTTTTGTCATTTTTCTCAAGATTTGCAATTTTCTTGATGTTGACATTTTCTTTATGGTGAACAGCAAAGCTCAATAAAGTTGTTGCTGTTGTTGTTGTTTTTGATGTCGTCACTGATGACGTCACTGGAAACATCAGTGGTAGCGGTGGTGGCGGCGGCGGCGGTGATAATGGTAGTGATGATAATTGCGACGACGATGACTTTGTTGGTCGTATAGAAAAGTCTGGAACATTTGTTAATGTGATGAAACTACTCTGGGTGCTTTTGTCTGACATTTTGTCGTTGTTATCACAAATTACATTACGGAGTTTATAATTTGTGTTGTCGTTGGTAATATTTTTGTTGGTGAGAATACTTTTGAAGTTTGTTGTTTCGATGTTGTTTTTGTTGTTGTTGTCAACAGAATTGAGATTCTTATTTAGTTGAGCATTCTTGGCTGCCAATCTTTTCAACGTGGCCAATGATAATTTTTTTTGAGAATGGACACGAAGTTGTGGATGCTGTAGGGGCTGCAGCAATTGATGCTGCTGTTGAAGTTGTTGTTTGTGAACGTTACACAGTATTTGCATTTGTTGTCGTTGTTGTTTCAGGCAGTGAGGATGATTTAGCGGTTGTAGGTGGCTGGTGATGTCTGGTATGTGTGGTGATGTTGCTTCAAGGCACAACTGTGGCTGTTTGCATAGTGGAGTTGTTGTCGTCACTTGCTGTGTTGCTGTTGTTGTTGCCATTTGTTGCATTGTTGTTGTTGTCAATTGTTGCGTCATTGATTTTGTTTTCGATGCTGACAATGGAGGTGAAAACTTCTAAAAAAAAATTTCAAAATTTGGAAGTTATAAAAGTGTAAGAATAAAATAAATAATTTGACAAAAAAAAATATTTTGATTTTTTTAGAAATTTAAACTTTTTTTTAAAAGGTTGAATTTTGCCTTTAAAAGAAAAATGTATCCAGTCTAGCATTGCATTGCATTGACCGAATTCGACTGTAAAGAGATCCATGTTCAAAAACCTCGATGAATCTTACAGGAAGTTGAGCGCTCCCGCCTACAGCGCTATATAAATACTAATTACAATAATAACAACAACTTTTATTGTTACAATTCAAAAACTGGTTGAAACCTCTTTATAATTCTTCAACCTATCCAACGTTTTCCTTCTTTCATTCCTCCTGAATTCCTTCTTTGTCTCCGTCAGAAAATCATCACCCAGCTTATCATACACGTTGGGAGTGCTGGCGCTGTTGCTAGAAGACTTGTTAATGCAAGCCAGCATGCCAACCAATTTGGCCTACGTGTTATTTGTATTCATTCTTTATTAAACCGTTTCGCCAAGAGCATTGCCACTCACAAATCAATCCTCACCTAGCCTTAAATACTCTTATGCCACAGCAAATGATGTTCATTAAGTAGCGTAGTCACACACAAACACACACTCACACAAAACATGCACACACTCACAGAAACACACACTTCTACAAAACATACAGACACTCACATCGAACATACACTCCTACAAAGCATAAACACATAAGTGTTTTAGTTTTGAAAAGGCAGAATTCAAATCGAGTCAGTGTGTGCAATTATAACTACGCAACTGACAACACGAATAATAAATTAATTAATTAACAAATTAATTAATTACTTATTACAAATAAACATAGCCAAATAATACTAATAATAAATAGATAAATTTACTTTATCGCCGCCGTACAGCAAAGTCTGCCTCTCCAACTTCAACATCTTACTTTCCTGCATGTTTTTAAACCTCGTCAGAGATTTCTAGATAGGAGGAAAAAATATTTGAAAGAACGAAAAAAAAATTGTATAAAGTCCAAAGCAAATGGGTTTAAATTTTTATTATCATGAAATCCAACAGCCACTACCTTCTTAAGCCTCAGCCTGGCAATAATTTTTCCCAGGCGAGATATCTCTTCATTCAACGTCCTCAACTTTATTTCATCCTCATCTTTCTCCTCCTCTTCCTTTTTATCTCCCTTAGCACCACAATCATTACCGCGATCAACAGAGTCACGAGGCTGGATGGAATTTACGCGATCATTACCAGCAACGTCACTGGCTATACCATAATCATCATCACAGTCATTAATGGCGTCTTCTATTAGTCTGACCAAATCTAGGTCAACTGCGTCTTCGAATTCATCGTCGTCGTCGGAGTTATTATTATTTTTATTTCTTGCGGCCTCTGAAATGAAAGTTTCATGCGTTTGAATATTTTGAAATTTCATTTGCATGTGTACATATCTTTAAATGGATGTCTAAAACGCGAAAAGTACTGTCAAAATTATTTTCGTATACGTGTTGATCAAACACCATAACCTCATAACATGTATGTACAGCGCATACATCGTATATCACACCGTGTACACAGTACATGTGCATAATTTGTATCACATTGAAAGCAATTATCATTACATTCAAGAAATCTGAATATTAATGTGAAATAATTGCTTCTACACAAAAGTTTTCAACGTTATAATTAATGTACCATATAAAATGGTTATAGGTATTGATATATATCTATCGATAGACATTAAATAGATACAGATATAAAACAGAAATAGTGTACAAACTTTGAGCTTCTAATTGCACTTTTAATCTTTTCTTAATTTCAGTTTTGCCGGCCATAATTTCTTTATTGATGCTGATTTCAAAGTCTAAAAGTTTCATGTCAAGTTTGTGTAACTCATGTGACGTTGGTGTGTTTGAGTTGTTGTTGTTTGTGTTGTTGTTCAAGTTACCAGCATCCAGTTTGTTTTGGCTCATTGACATATATTCCATCTGTTTTGAGAAAACATTCCATCCAAAAATAAACTAAAAACGAGACAGACAGGCAAAAGATATTAAGAAGTTTATTGATAAACAACAAGTGAAGGTAAACAGTAAATAGAAAAAGCACGCATGATGATGACAACACGCACTAATACAGTAACTTGTTGAAACAACATTATATTTAAATCACATTACAGGTTATACATTACATCACATTCAGGATCACATTACATTAAATGAATATCAACTTAGACTCAACACAGAAGCAAGCCACTATTGTCTCCTTACAACATTTTTCTTCAGACAACATATAAAAAACGACATCTATCTATGTACCACTAAATTGTAAGCTATCAATTAACAACGTAGTTGTAAGTAGTAATAAAAGTAATTAAGTAGTAATAATAAGTAAAGTGATTACCTGTTTAGTTAGATAATCATATTTGGTCTTCAAGAGTAATTTCTCATTCAGCATCAACTGAACTTTGTCTCTGGATAAATCATCTTGAAGCCTAAATATGCCGACATGAAAATGATCATGAGATGATATGATGATGGAAACCAATTAACATCAACTAATTAATTAATTGATTAATTAGCCAATTAACTAATTAATTAAATCAAACCTGTAAAGTCTTTCAGACACATGCTGTAGAAATGTTTGCATGCCAAATGATTTTTTATCATCATGTAGTCTTTTAAGACAATCTAAATATGTGCACATGTGATAATGAATATATGCGTTGGTATGTGTGCGTGTGCGTTTGTGTGTTTGTGTTATTGTGTACAGTTTGTATTTTATTATGGGTGTGTTGTTAAGCCATAAAAAGTTAGCAAGAATTCAGCAAACCATTTATTTGACTAGGACAAAAAATCATCGTTAAGAATTCATTTTAAATCACATGTACAAGTCACTTTAAATTTTGAGATATTTTTAAATCTTGAATTGAAGAAGAATGAAAGAACCTGAGTGACAGTTGATGACTCTGATGTAATATTCAATATTTAATTTGTAGATTTCAACATCAGCTTTGTACCTGACCTCTTCGTTCTCTCTCAAACACCTCACTAACTCATCTAGAGATGTTGTATCAAGATGATGAGGCTGACTAGATGCAATAGAGAGATCTACATTGTTGTTGTTGTTGTGGTATTGACTTTCATTTAAAATTTTGTGCTCTCCGCAGCTGGTCAAAGATTTCAGTTTACTGAACATCAACCTGACCTTATCATTTGCAGTGCCCCTGATTTTGTAGGAAGGTATCTTGAAGAGATAGTACAAGCGAGACAAGGCCTGCTGCCACTGGGCAACCAATTCATCTTCAATTTTGTACAAGTTGCTCATCTCAACCATCGATGCAACTGACTTTCTGTTACTTAATTTCAAAGCTAATCTCTCCCAGATCAGTGAAACGAGATGAAGTTGTGCATTGATGCAATCTTTATCGCTGCCTGCGAAGCACTTATTCCAGTCAAGAGTTTCGTTGAACAAAATGTGATCAAATATTTTTGAGTCTATTGTCCTATGGAGAAGAAGCAAGTACTGTTCAATTTTTTCACACCCATCTCTGATCAATTCATTGTTTTTGCTGTAATAATTAAAGAACCAACTGCCATCATTGTGCAGCCTGGTCAGTAACTCATCGATGTGTGGTGATTTTGAGTCAATTTCACAAAATCTGTTGTAGACATCTTCTAACTCGTTTCCTCTCAACGTGACTGATTTTGATTGTTCGAGTAGAAGGTCATTTTTTGTAATTGTAAACATGTTCTTCTCACTCTGCACACTGAAAACAACATTTCTGTTGGGGTTCGGGTTGGAGAAGGTGTCCTCACTAACGACGATCCAATCTACTGCCACACAATCTTCATCAAAATCCACATCCATAGATAAGAAGATAGGATAGAGAGAGGAAGAAGACAAAGACAGCCAGTAAACTTTTCCTTTTAATCTTTTATTATTTTAAATTAAATTCAATTGTTTTAACTTTTAATTAATTAACAGTGCAACATTCAATCTTTCCAACTGCAAAAAACTGATGGTAATGGCGTTTCTGGCTCCCAACCTTCCTCTTCTTCATTCAGTTGTTTACTAATTATAATGACGGATTTGTTTATTGTTCAACTCCAAACAAAAACAAAAACTTTTGTTTTTACGCTGCTGACTGTTGTTCGTAATTGTAGGTAGACGGTAGACTTTATTGCTTCGTTCCGACAAGATAAACTTTTAAATGTTAAAAAGCATGAAAAATGGCTACAATTTGGTTGAATTTGCAATTTAATCAGACGATAAATATAGAAGTTAATCGCGATCTTTGACAAATTAAAGGTCTACCTTGTTGCAAGATTACATCAAGTCATCTGTTCATCAAAACAAAAGCAGCTGTAGGCACGAGTACAAAGATAATTTTTTGAAAAAAAAATAATATATTTTTTATTACTTCAAAATAATTTATTGTTAATTATAGTTATTTAATATAGTTATTAATTGTTATTATATATTGTTTTAAAATGTAATAAAATTAATTTTTAATTTTAATTCATGGGCCAGTTGCTAGGCAGTGCTTGTTTTGTAAGCAAAAAAATGGCGTTAATAACTTTTTACCAGATTCCTAAAACGATAAAATATAAATCAAATGTTTGCTCGTGTGCAACTTTTATCACTGTTTTATTATTTTTATTGACGTTCATTCCCCCACTGATCATTGTTCTGCTCACCGAAAGTAGCATTAAAATTATTTTTTTTTAATTTAAAAATGTTATCAATTTTCTCATTTTTTGATTTCAAATTTCTCTTGACTATACAAATTTAATTTTAATACAAATGTATATAGCTTATAATTAATTTAAAATACTAATCACACTAGTAATTATATTATATTATTCTATTCCAAAGATTTCCTCAATGGAATAAACACAGGCTATGAGAGGCCAATTGTATATTTCAATTCCAAACTTCTCTGCTACCTAAAAACCGACCAACATGGCAACTACATAACGTGGAGTACTTTTCCCAATCATCAGTTTATTGAAGCCTCACAGTTGAGAGTCCCCAACGCCACAGTCTGTGATTTTTCTAAATTTAACTGTACTCCTATCTAAATTTTCAAAAATAACTAATTAAAACAATTAAAATTTAAAAATTACAATTAACAATTACAATGATCATTTAAATTTTAAAGATTATATATATTGTAAATTTTAACAATTATTTATCTTGATGATCACCTAAACATTTTAAATATATTTTTATAATTATGCAGTTGTAATATTTACTTTTATCATAATTTTAAAAATTTGAAAGTTCTCAGAGAACCGAGCAAGTTATCAGTTCCAACTCAACATCAGTTTTCCATTGAACGGCTCTGAAACAATCAATCAATTTGATCTTATGCTATTTTTCAACTACAGCCTATCAGTAAATATTTCTGAATATTTATATTTTATTGTTCATATTTCTAATTATTTATATTTATTCTTATTTTATTATTTATTGTTCTAAGTAATTATATTTTATTGTTCATATTTCTGAGTATTTGTAGTTTTTTATTTTTAGGTATTTTTATTCCTATATTATTTAATAATTATTTTCATTATAACAGTCAGTGACCACATTTAAAATGGAATCAATGGGACATATTGGTTTCGTAGTACCTCCGCATTGTAATAATTTAGAATTAATTGGTCGCTTGGTGCTTCTGCAAAACGTTCCTATCACGTTTAACGATACTTTATATGAAGTTTGTTGCGTGTGTGTTTGTGCGTGTGTGTTTGTGCGTGCGTGCGTGTGTGTTTGTGCGTGTGTGTCAGATGTGTAATCTAATTCAATATACCTTAAAACTTGCATATCTTAGATTTTATTTCATACACAGGCGCCTGTAATAAACCAATCCAGTTTATCATCAAAGACCTATCAAGTTGTGAACGTACTGAAACATTATAACAGAAGAAAAGGTTGCAATGTTCATTAATTAATTAATTAATTATTTAATTCATTCATTCATTCACTCACTTATTCATCTATCCATCCATCCATTCCTTCATCCATTCATTTGCAGTACGAACTCAGCTAACCAATCAACAGGCTGTATGGAGAAAGGATGCTGATGAGCCCAACAAATCAACATTCACCGTCAAGCTCATCATCAGTTACGACGCCGCGTTCAATTTCTAGTTTGTTATCATTTCTACTAATTATAACTATTCAATAACAATAACAATAATAATAATAATATTTAATAATAATAATAATACGAGCGTAGCGTACGATGAACTTGTGATCTGTTTGAATTCAAAAACGGTCACTGCAGCTCACGAGACGGGCATATTAGCGCTAGTCTATCTAGTCGTTATACCAAATACAGTGACTAAAAAAAATACAAAATTAAATAATTATATTAGTCTATATATAAATGTATAAATTATTTTTCACCCAAAAGTTATTATCAAACAATCTGGGAGCAGTTGAAATGGTTTTGGGTCGTGTACCTAGCAATTTTAATACCTTTTTACTGGGTATTTGGTTACATCAGGCGTCTCATATTCACCAATCACATGGTGATAACGTGGGTGGCCAAGGGAGAAAATTTTCGTTACGGAACTAGGATGAAAGATGAGGGATATACATGATGATTGGACGTGATTGGATGCGTTTGTGTGTGTGTGTATTTATGCCTGCCCCTCTTGATATGCGTGTTTAACTTTTTGTGTTGTATTCTGTTGTTGTGAGTTTGTTTTGTATTACTGAGTGTTTCGTTTATTGTGTATGTGTGTGTGTTTGTGTGTATGTGGTGTGTGTGTGTGTGTGTGCGCGCGTGTGCTATTCGTTTTTGCTTTCATTATTATCACGGTTATTGCGTTGTTAACATGTAACACTGTGATGAGCCAAGTTACCAAAGAGTCTTAATAACGTTTATTACTTTCTTATTTTTCGTGTCTGTGTTTTCGTTTCGTCTTCCTCCGTCATCAACAACAACGACGACGTCATAATCAAGCCATCTCTGACGTTTTTTCCTTATTTAAAAATCTACTCACAATTTTTTCTCTTGTTTTAATTTGTTTTATATTTCAATCGATGAATGTTTTAAAAATAAAATTCAGGATAAAGATGCAAATATTTTGTTCGACATTTTGTGTGACAGATCATATGATAATAGATGATGATTGATTGGTAGGTTGGGTGATTGATTGGTTGGTTGATTGATTGATTAACGAAAGCGAAAAAAACAGAAAACGAGGAACACATACAAAACTGGAACGAGAGAATAGCTTCCCTAACCTAACTATGTCCACTAAATTAGCTCGCCCATGCTCAATACGTTCAAATTACCCTAGAAAGTTTTACAATTACGAAGTAAAAAAGAGAAAGAAAGAAATGGTAAATCATGAAACAAACATTACAATGACAGAGAACATGGTGTGTATGTGTTGTGGAATAGTTGGCGGAAATGACATCATTTTATTATGAATCAACAAACTCCTCATTTAAAAGGATGCGTAACTAAATAGCTAATACAATAGAAAAGATGTCATTGTTTGGTTTGAAGATTAAATTTTGTTAAACTTAGTTAAGCTTTTATGATGCTGATGATGATTCTGATGATGGTGGTGATGATATTGACTAGGATGACGACGACGATGGGAAAAAATGATGACGACGATGGGAATAATGGCGACGACGATGATGACGATGGTATTAATGATGTTTTGTTTGCATTAATACCGACTAGTGAAAGGGAAGAATAGCAATTGCACATGTGATGTCTGCATATTTTCAATTTTTTTAGGAAAAGTACATTAAAAACAACCATCAGATTTCCATAGTACGAAACTTGAACGAATAATAGAGTGAAAAAAATTAATAACTTATGAAATGGAGAGCTACGTTAAATCGCTGTGAACCAGTTGGAGACAAAAAATTAAAAACAATAACATAACAAAATACCATCGGAAGACAGTAATTTAGAAAAAACTAAAATGCCAAAAAAAAGAAAATTAGGATTCTAAAAATATTTGCAAAATGTTGGATGGTCGGTCGAAACTGCACTGTTGACGAAAGGAATCTCGTTCACTCCAAATATTTTTGTGTTGGTAAATCAGAATTAGGATTTCAAATAAAAAATCATAAATTCGTTTTATTTACTGAAAATTTATTTAAAAATCTTCCAAAATGTTTACGCTTAAAACAATTTGTAAGGTTCAGTTGAATAATGATATTAAAGCAGCAAGAAAATAATGATGTAAAATGATGAAAATAATGTAATAAAAATGAAGATGACGATAGATAGACAGATAAACAGAGAGACAGATAGATAAATACTGTATATATTGAAGATACTGCTTTATAGATTGTCTTCATGTAATCTACTATTGCCAGCAATGCCATTAGCTTCGTTGTTGTACTGAATTTGGGTAACGTTTAATCGAAATAATCAATGGTTTAAAATTGAAATTATGAAAATTTTAAACAAGTTGTAAAGTATTTTAGAGATGGTTGCGAAAGTTTTTTTCGTATGTTTACTAACGCCGTGTGGTGACAAACTGCTTTCCTGTTTTGACGTAAAATAACATTTTAGAAAGTTTACAGCAATTATTTTATTTTACAGCAATTATTTTACAGCAATTATTGACAACATATTTTCTATTGAAAATTTCTTTTAATAGAATGCAAACTACAAAGAGAATGATATAGATGAAACCTCTCCAAGTTTATGATCATAATAAACAAAAGTAGAAACATGCCCCTAAAAGTTTTAAAAAATGGCAGTCATAAATTTTCCTACTTACAATCAAAGGGGTGGCCACAAGGTTCCTCTTGAAGGAGGCCATTGGGTCGCCGAGAATGTTCGGAGGACGAAAACCGGGCAGGAATCTTTTGATTTGGTTAATTTACCAAAGTTGGTCAATTTATCAAAATTGTTAACGATTTTTGATGTCGATAGATTTTATTTATAGTAGGTAGGGTCCTCGATTTTTTTTTATCTTGTTGAGCCTCTCAAACTCAAATTATAAAACATCAAATAATTCCAAGTTGTCACTCCAACACATTTTTTAATTTGAATAAGAGGTTTTTAATGAAAATTACCACAAACTAACCCTCTGAAAAGAATATCGGAAGCCCTTCTGATTGACTTCGAAGAGTTCCTTCGAGTGTAATAATATTTCGCAATAATAAATTATGAAAACGAGAACAAACGTTCGGCTAAACCTTTTAAGAAATGTGTTTGTTGTTTGTTTTCTATAATTTATTTCGTATTCAAAAATATCGACAACATACTCGTATTATTTGCTAAATACACATACGATAGGTGATGATCTCTTTGCAATGGATCAGGGTCACTACAGCCGCAGTGCCAGGCATCTTAACCATTGCACTGTGCACATTGCATTGCTCAGTGTTAGCCGGATGTTTGCTATTTGAAATGAATTTTCAAAAAAGACACAAACCCGAAATAGGCAGGATTCATAGAGGAGCCATCCGGCTGCACGACGAATGGTCCTTCCTCGTTCGGAGTCATAGCCGAACCCAACTGCCTCCTATCAGTTTTTCGTTCCATTACGTTCATTTCAATCAATGGCAGTAGTTACAATCAGCGCAGTTTTGAGTGGAAGAACAAAATTGCAGAAAAATTTAAAAAAATGATACATCATCTAAAGTTTACAACAGCTGTCAAAATGAACTCACAAGACGTTCTGATCTGTCGATCGCCTGCAGTAACAAAATATAATGAGTAATTCTGTATTTATAAAAAAAACTGCTCAATACGTTTTGTTAAAAATTTAAATTAAATATTATTTTTGATCATTGAATGATTTTTTAAATTTTTCTCCAAACCCGCTCGTGAAACTTCTCCAAGATCCCGAGGTGAGCAGAACGACTCCAGTGAAGAATATTCCGGTCAGTCCGATGGAAACCAGCAAAAATACCATTCCATCTCTAAAAATTCCGTAGTTAACGTTCAATCTATTATTTATTTTGTTATCAAACTGGCTGATAAGAAGAGCATGTAATGAAGTTTACACTTTTGTTTTATGCCTGATTATATATTTAATGTTTAATTATTATTGAAAGTTCAACCAAATTATGAGCCACAAATAAGTTTCAAATTAATTGGAAAAAATCAATTGCGAAAATATGAGAGACGAACAGCCCATTGAAGCAGATGCCAGACACGCCGTCAAGGTAATCCTTGTGCAGGTTGGTGCACTCGACCAGAGCGTTGATGTGCATGAGAAGTTGGAATGTCGAGTCCATGCCTTTGAATATTTTCTTCATTTTGTCTCGCACCACTTCTTTCTTGCGTTCAATCAGTCAATCAATCAATTAATCACTCACTCACTCAATCAACCAACCAACCAATCAATCTACCAAAGTTTTCAAATTATTAGAGAATTATTAGAATAATTGAAAACCATGTGTTAAATTAACTTCATATTTAGCTATAATAAAATTTGAATGCATCTAGTAAATAACATTTCTCAATGTAGAGCAATTACATGAACGCATAAATTGTGATAAATGATGATACACTGTTAAACCTTGAATCTTAATAGAACTTACGCGATAAACACAAATGGGCAGATGTTAAAGCTAGAAATGAAATAAAATTTAAACCTCACCTCTTTCGAATTTGGCAGAATTTTGAGTAGTGACATGTGAACCTTGGCTAGAGAAATATTAGCCTCTCTAGCGTTGTCGTACGTTGACGGTATCGTCTGCGTGTGTGAAGTACTCAAGATGTTTTCCATCAAATTTTTATCGCTACGTACATCATAAAATGATTCAAAAATTTTATAAAAAAAACTTATTGTTAATTATGAGAAACTGATTAATCCATCGTCACTAGACCTGACTAGCTAGTAAGTGGCGGATAAACGTGTAGATGAAAATTTTGGATAAAATGTAGGCGAAACGAGGAAAAGTTTCATAACCAACGTTTTTGAATGGATTATCAACAAACTGGTGGTCACATTTCATGTAATATTTGATGATTTCTGTAAAAATTGATTGATGTTGGTCAATCAATTTTTGTATACATTACATCCAAATTACAATTTATTGTTGTAAATTTACCTCTGTCTGACTTTTCTTCCGTCATTTGTTCCAGGTAAGCCAGTGGAGCAATGCAGAAATCAGCGGTTCCCTGTTTTGGAGGTTAGTGATAGTATATTTTGTTGTTCCCTTTTATTGTCGATTTCATTAAGTTTCAGTTGGATTGATTTATGAAAAAAATTTAGTGAATGAATGAATGAATGAATGAATGAATGAATGAATGAATGAATGAATGAATGAATGAATGAATATTATCAAACTCTAACAATGATGACTCCAAGATGCAAGCCCGCAGCCAGCCAGCAGAGAATCAAACTTACAATACTCAAAATTCCAAACCTGGAAAGTTGGTCGGTCGGTTAGTCGGTACGAGTAAACAATAATAAATTAGTTTAATTTAAGAAATTGTACTCAAAATATTTTTAATTGAATCAGCTGCAACGTCAAAATTTACAGACCAACACAAACAACTCAAGCAGGAAACTAACGCGAGCATTAAGTACTTGGAGCCCTTGCCAACTGCGAACAGAAGTATAACGAACAGTACCATCATCCAACTGAACAGCAAGACCATGGCCAGCCATCTTGGCGGGTGCAAATCATACGAAAATTTTTAATCAGTCATTTCAAGTTTTTTCCATTTCCACTAATTACTAATTATTTCAAGTCAAATAAAACATAACAAATATAAAAACGAAATAATGAAAAAAAGTTTACAAAATTTAAAACCTTTTAAACAACATAAATGAACATCACGAGACCTATAAAAGCCGTATCTGCCAGCGTAATGCACCAGTTCAATGGTCGAGTCGATACGTTTGACCTTGAACCCGATGTCAAGGACACTTGAAATTATGGAGGTCACGTGTCTGACGCTCCTGTCCAGGTGCTGGTTGATTTCTGTGCGCAGACTGTGGCTGCGTGGAATGTTCGATCGGAGGTCATTGGCCAGGGAGATGACCGAGTGGTTCAGGTTGACCTCCATCCATTTTATCTGGGTCGGTTTTTAATGGGGTCAGGTTAGTTGTTTTTGGGTCAAACCAATTTTTAATTTAACCGGAGCAGTTTTGTTCCTATATTTTTATGTGATCTACCGTTGTCGTTGTTGAAGTTTTAAATGAATTGACGCAAAAATCAACACATGAATGAATGAATGAATGAACGAACGAATGAATACATTATAAGTTAATGTACGTGATGTAACAAAAATATATTTTTTTGAATAATAATAAGAATATTTATTAAAAAAAATTATTATTAACGTTTTGATTTTTATTATCATTCTTATTATTTTCATTCAGAGCACGTAACAGCGTGACGAAACCTGCAATGCATGACTGATCAGGGAAATTATTCCATTGTTCTTTCGCGTTATATATATGTGTGTGTGTGTGTGCATGTGTGTGTGTGCGTGTGTGTGTGCGTGTGTGTGTAATTAATAAGTATATGGACCTGATTTTACGACGTTCATAAAATAAGCAAAGATGGCTACAAAGGAATTATTCCACAACTGTAATGCTTGCATTTTTAGTTAAATTGTATCTACGTTGCGCGTGAATGAATACATTTATGAAGGTGTATAAGTGAATATTGAAAAATATTTTTCCACTATATGTTAAGGTTTTATGTAGAATGTGTGCATTCATATAATAAGCCATGGAATTGATATGCGACGGAGTCACACGGACAAGCAGACAGACAGACAATTAGACAAGTCTAATTAATAGACAGACAGACAGACAATTATATATGCTTAATTAGGTATATATAATTATACAAACAGACAGACCATCAGATACATATAATTAATAGACAGACAGACCATTAGGCAAGTATACATATAAACAGATAGACAGACACCTGAGCTCTTGTCTGAGATGTTGTAAATTGGATGCCCTTAGCAGCATCGATGAAATGTTGCAGGCCTTTGTGTGTCTCCTCGTTGCCGTAGAATCCAGCTCCAACCGCTCCGCTATTTCATTATTTTCCGCAGCCAACGACGTCATAATTTTTTTAAATGGTAATTTTTTCACGTCATTATTATAATAAAATTATTGAGATTGCCAACTTCGGTATTAATGGAATTAATGCAATTGAAATATATCAGAAAAAGCGATTCGAAAAATAGACTAGCGTCAATATTACAAATTAATTTGCCCCGCCCCTCCGCCTCTTTCCCCCTCAAATCAAACCCCACCCACACCACACCACCCTACCAGGACAGCAGAGCTAAGACAGCAATGCTCCATTTGAGACAGACACCGGCCTTCTGCACGTCACTCTGGCAGCAGTGGTAGCAGAAGTACATGACGACCACCAGCATCGTCAGAAACATCCACACCAGAGGTACTATGCTCCAAAACAAGATTGCCTGTGTCAACGCGGTTGTTAGGTAGTTGTCGGATTGATTGATTGATGAATGGATGGATGGATGGACGGACGGACGGACGGACGGACGGACGGACGGACGGACGGACGGACGGATGGATGGACGGATGGATGGATGGATGGATGGATGGATGAATTGGTTGATTGATGTATTGTTAGGCGGAAGAATGAATCAAACAATTAAAAATCAATTTTGAAAATAATTGGAATGCAAAACTGATTTAAGAAATCAAACTTCACGATAGCGGTATAGATCCGGGTTGAAGGATGAGTTGACTCGCTGGAAGGTAAGATCAAGATGGGGCAGTGTGTGAAGTTTCAGGGCCAGTTGAGATGGGCTGTAATCCTTACTTGCACCGCTGCTGTCAATCACTGTACTCATGGGAGGAGCTACAATTGGTTTCGCCATTTTTTTTCATAGCCGGATTGATTTTCTATAAAATTCAAGTTTTGTGAATTTGGCAAGTATTAAACTTTAGCATAAATTGAAAAACGCAGTACAAATATTGCCAAAAAATCATTTTCAAATTTTTAGACACTCTGATTGTAAACTTACATTGACAATTAACATTTGATTTTTTGAATTATTGCGTTAGAAATATTAATTTTCCAGCATCATCGTCGCTGCCTAACGTTTTACGTGTACCATACGTACGTGCGTACGTATGTACCTCTATATTTTGTGATGATATAAGCATGTAGGTATACGTAAGTGTGCGAAACAGAACTATGACGGGCTGAATTAGACATAATGCCGTTTATATAGCATACCTTCATCTTCTATATACTAATCAACTGATCAATCAATCAATGAAATACTAAATTTCACTGATAGCAACAGCAATAGTAATATGCAAAAATACTATTTAATGCTAGGGCGAAAGTTACAGATGACAAGCTCATCTGATCTGCAAAGCAGGCTTTTTACCTGTGAAATTTTTCAATGGTTAAACTCAATAATACTCGATAAAAATTATAATTTAATTGGAAAATTTTGAAATCAAAATTTAATAAAAAAATAATCATATATTTTTGTGGTTAATAAAAGAATTATTAAAAGAATAATAAAAAATAGACCGCCAGAATCATTTGGCTGGAAAATAAAAAATTGGTCATTAGCAAATAAAAGCCGAAAGGAAACACGTGGGTTTACTTTTTGCACGTAATTCGCGCAAATTTTGAAAAATCTTGTGTGTTTATTGGTGAAATATTGATTTTTCTTAGTTCAAAAAATTAATTAAAAATATAATTTGACTGAAAAATGATTACTCCGTTCGTCGAAGGGTGGGACTTCGTGCAAGTTCTCGGGGAGGGTGCCTATGGAGAGTTGGTTGAATTTGATTTCTTTGATAAGAGTTTGATTTTGATTATTGATTTTGATATTGTGAATTAACTTGTCTTAACAATAAATTTCAATTTAAAATATTTAATTTATTAATTTTTATTTTTTTTATTTATATATTTTATTTTGATTGAATTTTAATTAATTTATTAAGAAAATTATCAAATTATCTTTATTTTTATATCATTTTTGTTTAGTCGCAATCAAATCAATTAGATTGAAATCAAATTCCTAAATAAAATTATTTAGTTATAATAATAATAATATAATTATATATATATTTATATATAATAATATAATTAATAATAAAATAAATCTGCTAAAATAATCGAAAATTTATTTTATTGGAAGGGTTAAGTTGGCTGTGAATCGAGAGACGAAGGAAGCAGTTGCAGTGAAGATTGTGAACCTACTCAAATCTGAAAATGTCGAAAATAATATAAAAAAAGAGGCTAGATTTTTTTTCAAATTCATAATTAATACAAAACTAATACAATATAGCACAAAAGCAATACAATAAGCAATACAATACAATGCCAAATACAAAACATACAACACTAGATCTGCATAAACAAGATGCTAAACCATCGAAACATCATAAAGTTTTATGGCCATCGAAGGGACAACAACAAAGAATATTTATTTCTGGAGTATGCATGCGGAGGCGAACTCTTCGATAGGATTGGTCAGTTAATTACTTAATTAGTTAATTAACATATGCACCAATTAACTTGTTCACTAATTAGCATATTAGCAATAAATTATAATATTTTTATTATAAAAGAACCTGATGTTGGCATGCCTCAACATGTTGCTCAGAAATATTTCAGGGAACTAATAGCTGGAGTGGTCAGTCAGTTATCATATTATTATGCATATAAATAATTATTTTTTTATTAATAATTATAAATAATAATTACATAAATAATTCACTAATTACATTTTAATCTGATTGCCGCAAAGCCTGCGTCAGACGCCTCAACTATTACACCATCTCACTATTCAGTTACAAATTAATTAATTCTGATAAATTATTATGAATTATTATTTATAATTTATTATTTTGTATGATTAGGAGTATTTGCATAGCAGAGGTGTGGCCCATAGAGATATCAAACCTGAAAATCTCCTTCTTGATGCTGATGGTTATTTTACATTCATTCATTTATCCATCCATTCCTTTATTCATTCATTCATTCATAAATTCATTCATTCATCTATTGATCGATTGATTCATTAATTTTTTTCAAATTAAACTTTTGGACATTTATTCTTTCTTCAAGACTAACTAACAAACCATTGAAAAACAAAAATGTGGAAAAAACAAACCCTCACACACACGCAAATAAACTCACACAACACACAAACTCACAAACTCACACACATACCCAGCAGACCCACGTTCACAGACAAACACACACACGAATAACCCACACACATACACAAACAGACGTCTTGAAATTATCGGATTTCGGGCTGGCCACACTGTACCGTCACAACGACAAGCAACGAGTTCTCGACACCTGCTGCGGTACCGTACCGTACCTTGCCCCTGAGGTAGTTGCCAGGAAGCAGTACTACGGGGAGCCGGTCGACGTTTGGTCGTGTGGCATCGTACTTGTTGCCCTATTAGCCGGGGGTGGGTTGGTTGGTTGGCTGGCTGGTTGACTGGTTGATTGATTGATTGGTTGAATGGATCGTTAATTAATGGTAGGTTGGGTGGCTGGCTGGTTTGATTGTTTTGGTTGGTTGGTTTGTTGATTAGAGAAAAAATTTGAATCACTTAATTTTATTGCTTTTTCAATCGAATTCATTGTCATCACTCAATCACTGATTCCCGAAAACAGAACTTCCGTGGGACGAGCCCGGATACTTCTGCAAGGAGTACCAGGATTGGAAGGACTGCAAGGTCATGCTCAATCCTTGGTGCAAGATCGATAACCTTGCTCTATGTTGGTGCTGGGATGTGATTGATTGAGTGGTTGGTTGGGTGATTGATTGGTCGATCATTTAGTTGATTGGTTGGTTGAATGGTTGATTGATTGATTAATTGATTGATTGTTGGTCAATATTTATTTAATTATTTTGAATAAACAGTTTCACAATATTTATTAAAATAAATTAATTTAGAAATTTTTTCAAATTTCATTAAAAGCTCTGATCAGAAGGATATTGATTGAAAATCCAGAGAAAAGGATGAAGCTGGATGGGATTAAAAACCATCCATGGTTCCTTAAAAATTTCAAAAAAGGTGCTTGTGTGTTTGTGTTTGATTGTGTGTTTGTGTGTGCGTGTGTGTGTGTGTGTGTGTAATTGTAAATTCTGTTAAACTATTTTCTAACTTTTACATATTATTCATATTTAAGATTCACTGAAAAGATTGGGTAGCCCGAATTTCGAAAACCAAAGATCAAAGAAACACTGCTATGACAAGTGACTGATTGATTGACTGATTGATTGGTTTATTTATTGATTGACTGATTGATTGACTGATCAATCAATAAATCAAAAGATCTGACTCACTGGCAATGTCCCAACCAAACTCCGAGGTAAGTTTTCAAGGATTTAGCCAGGAGGAGGGCGACGAGATGGGCGGCCGAAAACAGGGAAGTGTTGAGTTTGAAGGAAAGGGAATCAGTTTCTCGCAGCCACACAAGCTGGAGAACTTGTTACTGGGCACTCAAATGCTCTCCACCCCAGGAACATCTCAGGTTTTGTTTCTGGGTTTTTTTTCTGAAGAGTAAAATTAAATTATTTATTTTTCAAGACGCCTTAATTGCTTGCCATGGTGAATTAGAAATGACATGTTCTGATTGATTGATTGATTGATGAGTTTATTGATTGATGGGTAGATGGATGGATAGATGATTGACTGATTGATTGAACACTCCCCAAACAGACCTTGATACCTAGATTAGTAAGACGAATGACTCGATTTTTCGTAACCACAAACGTCGAAGACACCATCAACCACCTTGTGCAAGTCCTGAAACTCGATAAGTGTCGCGTCATGAAGAACTCGACGCTGCAGGTTGGATGGGGGTTTTTTCAATTTCTAATTTAACTATTATTAGCTAATATTGAATCAACACCAATCAATCAATCAACCAATTAATCAATCAACTATTCAACCAATCAACCAATTAATCAATCAATGTTAATAGATGTAATTATTCAGTTAATCAGTTATGTCCTATTTTTTTTATTTCAATTAGATTCAATCCTTATAATTTTTCAATCGGTTCTTCCACAGCAACACTAACATTACAACAACAACAACATTACCACAACAACAACAACATTGCAGCAACAATAACAGTAATAATAATAATTTCTTTCCCCCGTCCCCAATCAGCAGTTAACAGCTCTGACGGTTGACAAAAGGCGAGCCCCTCTAGTCTTCAAAGCATGCGTCCTCGATATGGCAGGCAGTGTTCTTGTCGATTTCAGACTTTCTAAGGTTCTGCTGTGCTGTTGGTTTGTCGTTTTTGTTTGTTCGTTGATTGATTTGTTTGTTTGTTTGTTTGTTCGCTAATGTTATTGATGTAACTATTTCCTGTAACAAAATGAAAAATGCGGTGATTGTGTTGTAAGTTTGTATTGCTACTGAAGGAATTGCGAATGAATAAATGAGTGAGTGAGTGAATGAATGAATTTATAAGCAAATGAATGAATGAACAAATAAATAATTTTTCAATTCACCAAACCACGTGACAGGGGGACGGCATAGAGTTCAAAAAATATTTCTTAAGGGCTCGCGATCGTCTTCACGGTGTCATCAACAAAAAGGTCCAATTTTCTATGTGGACACAACTCGGCCTCGTCGTGCCAACTGTTGAGAACTGCCCAGCTAACAATGCAAACCAACAAAATGAAAGCGAAACTGCCCTAGAAAACCCACAAAATCAAAGTGAAACTGCCATAAATGGTGGAGAAAAAGATGGCGGCCAAGACGTCGAAAAAAAATTTTTGAACAATGTTGAGGGAGAAGCTGCTGCTGCTGCTGTTGATGATGATGAGGAGGAAGATGATGATGGGTCATTCAGCAACAAAGAAAACATCGAATCCGCGAATAATGGCTCTCTTCACGACGCCGAAAAAACGTTTCCTACAAATTTCAAAAGAACGACAACAATCTGAGGAGTAAGCATTTTGGGATGTTGTCGACCCAACAATCCTGTACTTGCGTTTTTGTATATAATGAGTTATCAGTCAGCTAAATATTTTGCCATTTTATTGTTGTAGCAATTTTCAAAATTATATTTGATGAATATTTGTAAGAATTACTCTACATTAAATTTCTATTCCCTTGCTTTTTATTGTGAATTTTTTGTCGATATCATGATTTGTAAGTTGTGTGTGGTGTGGTGTGTGTTGTCAAACTAGGAATTGTTTGTTCCATAATGAAATAATGATTAATTATATGTCCTTTCAGTTATTAATTTCTATATTAACTTATCGGCGTCGGTCTTTTGATGAATTGGAACAAAAAATTTTAATAAAATATGAAAAAATCGATTTTTTTTGCAGCCAGATTTATTGAAGAACATCTTTCCAAATGCCTCATCATTTGAATCAAAACGTACAACAGTGCTAAAACTTATCCAACAAACCGTTCAAATTATCTAAAATAAGAGAATTAATCAATTAACATCAATAAATAATTCTTAATTAATAAATAGGACTTAATAATATATAATGTATAATAAGGCATTTAATTGAGTTAATATTAAGAATTGCGTCTTAATGGCCATATTTTGTGTACGAGTGTTTATCGTACTTAATAATTATAAGCATTTTTGCCTAATAAATTCATACTAATGACTTTATTCATAATATGCATATAAAATGAGTAACAACAACACGTCTAAAATGTGTACCATATAAACAACGTTTAAGTACAAGCCATTCACGAAACGATACAATACAAAATTAGACAAGTTTTAAAAATATCCTTAAATTATACAAAGGCCTAACATTAATTATCAATTAATCAGTTAATTAATTAATTACAATCTATTAACATGACAAAATAATAATCAAAACAGTTTGATGTTGTAGTAACGCTAAAAGGCGGAAACTGAACAAAATAAGAAATGTGATGAAATTCGAAGCTTAGTGTGAAGCAAAGGTATGACCAACATCGTCTCATCTTATAAAAAATATCCCATTTATTACCATATGATGGTCACGTAAATGTACGACCACACACTTTACAACTTACATATTTTTGAATACGTTGTCAATCATTCATCAATATATATATATTTTTTTAAATAAAATAAATTAACAAATAGATGAACATCTCTGTTCATTTATACGTAACGATAATATAAGTTGATAAGGCAAGTTGCACGTATGATCAAAAATTATCTGTAAAAAATACACTAAGTTCTCCACTCTCACTCAGGTCAATAAAATTTTGAAAAATATTCAAAAATATATATATATTCTGAGATAAGATCCCATATACTACAAGTAATTTCAGATGAAAAATAAATGCTATTAGCATTTAAAATGCGATGAGAGTCATATACATTGGCTGTAACATAAACACACACACACATACACACAGACAAACACTCACACACACTCACACACACACACATACATATATATATATATATATATATATATATATATATATATATATATAGATTGCATCACTTGGAGATCCCATAAAATAAGGTCAAATTATTTTAAGTCGAATCATTTTTTTAATAAAATGTAATGAGTATTTTTCTCATCTTTTCAATGAAGGATGAATAAACGTGCAAATAGTTATAGAAAGCTATTACAATATTATATATGGCTCGCATACATTTAAAAAAGTTATCTCTCTCTTTCTCTCTCTCTCTCCATATATATTTATACCTTTTAAGATGATATATTCAGATAAACGTATCACAGAGCTTAAAGAATGGGCAGAAATAAAATAAAAACAAAGAACTAAAATTAATTTTTAAAAAACAAGTTCAATAAACATCAATTGAAAAATTATTCAATAAAACTAAATGCGCAAGTGATAATTTCGGGTATTAAATCTTTAATATATATATATATATATATCTAGTGATAAAAATAGAATAAAATAATTATTGCTAAAAATAGAAATGTGATATAAAAATAGAAACACGTCCAACACTATAAATAGAAATGGGATAAAAATAGGATATGAAATTTTTTGATCAAACTGAAAAACTTTAAATTCAAATTAAAACTAACAAACACTTGAAAAATAGCTATAGTATCTTGACTACATGAAAATTTTTGGGAAAAAATAACGAAACAAAACGAAAAAAAAAATTCTTTTTCACACCAGTATGGATGTTTATGTTACACATGTGTTTGTTGGTGGGTGAATTTATATGCGTGTATCGTATGTGTGTGTGGTGTATGTGTGTGTGCTGAATAAATAAAATTTAATATAAATATAGCAAGAGATGTTTTGAATGTGAGATTTTTTATATCTATCTCCATCATCTTCATCATTTTTTCATATTTCCTCATCATTTTCGTCACCATCTTCTTTTCATCGACGCCATCTTTTTCATCGTCAGAATCATCATCATCATCAGAATCAGCATCTTACTGCTGCAGGCCAGTGATGTGCTGAATGCCACAGCTATCAAGAACGGCGTTAGTCACGTTGTCCATTGCTGTCGTTGATGCCATCTGTTGGGTTTTTGTGCTTGGGTTCACGTTACTGCTGTTAATGTTATTGTTGTTGTCCTTTACCTCAATGCTATTTCTTCTGTGGGTTTTCGTGCTGTTGTTGTTGTTGTCAGATAATAAAATGTTATGCTTGTTACCGTCGTTGATGCTGGTAGCATCGTTGATGTTATTTACATTGTTGTTATTGATCAGTTTGGACGTTCTAAAAATAATTTGACTGCTGTTGTTGTTGTTTGTGTTATTAGCTAGGTTGTTGTTGTTGCTAGCAATGTTGTTGACACTGTTGTTAATGTTGTAGTTTGTGATGTTGGCCTTGTTACCCTTAAGAGATGAAGTTGTAGTGATTGTAATTCTCAAAGGGGATGATGTTGATGGGACATTGGAGAAAAGTTGCACATTTTTATCGGCAACATTGTGGCCAATAGTTTTGCTGCTGCTGCTGTTGTTGTAACTTTTTTGATGTGAGTCGTTGTTTGTGTTGTGGTTGTTAGAAGTAGAGTTAATTTTATCTCGAAATTCTACACAGCGAATCGAGTGTTCGATATTTTGTTGATGACGATGATGATTCTGTAGCTGAGGTTGAAAATGCTTTTGTTGTCGCTGATGATGTTGTTGCTGTTGATGATGTTGTAAACTTGGTAGAAGAGCTTCACTCAACTTTGCAGCTGGCGGCTGCTGTTTGAGTTGCTGCTGCATTGTTTTTCCCTCTAACTGAGTGTGACCTTTCGGTTTGAGATCTTCAGATGATTTAAAATTCTCTTGATGATACAGATGTTGTTTTTGTTGTTTATGTTGCTGGTGATTATGTTGATGATGCTGATGTTGTCTGAGTGGCAGCAATTTGTGTTGTTGTTGCTGCTGTTGTTGTTGTTGAATCTTCACCTGTGGTTCTTTTGAGCTCTTTGATGAAGAATATTTCAACCGATCAATCTTCTCATTGTTCAGTGGTTTTCCATTATTACACAGCAAAGATGTTTTCGTTGTTGCTGTCGTTGTTAATGATGTCGTCAGTGTTGTTGTTATTGATGATGTAGTTGCTTTATTACTCAGTGGAGATGATGTCGATGATGACGGTGATGAGAATTTTCGTCCTAGTGGTGACGATGTCGTTGTCAATGGTGGTAATGGCGGTGAATGGACGATGGCGTCGCTGCTGGTGGTAGTGGTGGCGGCAGCAGTATTAGCCACACTCGCGACATTTTTCTGACAGGTCGCAATGTGATCAAGGTAGATCCTCGATAAAACTCTTTCTCCACACCAGAAACATTTAACTGTGGCATGATCAATCATAATAAAATTTTTTTATATCAGAAAAAGTTACAAAAGAAACATGACATTATATGAAATAGCAGCAACTGATAACCACAGTTGCAACAACAGTAGTAGCGACAACAACAACAGCAACAAAACCAACAGTAACATAATCAACAACTTCATCCATTAGGAACAATACAAAAATCCAAATCCAAATAATAATGCAGTAAATTAAAAAAATAAACAAACAAACGAACACACAAACAAACATGCAGATGGACAAACCAAAGAATGAACGTAAAATCTCAACAGCAAACAAAACCAAACAAAACACACATTTACCATGGGCTGCCTTGAATGAACAGTGTCTAACATCATTATCAGGATCATCGACAACATTCTTAGCATTATTACCAGCACCACAAATTTCATCGTTATTATCGTTATCATCATCATAATCACTACTATCGCTGTCAACTTTAAATTTGAATGTTTTGTCAGAAACATTATAGGAGAATATATAATTACTATTACAATCCTTATTGACATTCATATTATTATTATTATTATTATTACAACTCCTTATAAATACAGTATTCTTAGTATGTGATACTTTACTACTTCCTAGCTTAGTAAATGATGGTATAGTACTTGGTGGTGAAGTATTTACATAACTGGCAAAAGTTTTGTTACCTGGAGCTGTTTTGTTGTTGTTCATAGATGTTATCGTAGCAATACTTATACTACTACTGGATGTAGCAGTAGTAGAAGTAGCAGTAGCAGCAGTAGTAGTAGAAGCATTGGTTTTATTATTATCAGAGAATTTTTGATAATTTTTTTCATTCAGTTTAGTCTTTGTTGAATTATTAACAAGTTTGTTGATTTTATTTCTATTAGCCTTGTTGTTATTGTTGTAATTTAATTTGTTGATGTTATTAACATTGTTGTTGATGATGTTTTTATTGTAGAGTTTATCATTCCTCTTTGCCAAAAATGTCTTCTTACAAGCAACCTCATGTGACATCTGCAACCGTTAATTAACTCAATTAGTTATTAATTAAACAATCAAGTAATTAATTAATCAGTCAACAATTAATTTACAGGTTTGTTACTTTTTGAAAAATAACACTTCCAAATCATTCTAATTTTCAACCATTTTCATAAATCTCATTAGTTTGAAAACTCTACATTTGAAATAATTTTTAAAAGATAACTGACCAGCTCAAATGTGGTCATTTTAACACTGCAGTATATGCAAGGGAATGAGATTTTACCATCCAAAACATTCACAGGATCTGTTTTTTGTAAATTTTGATTAAAAAGATAAAAATTAACTTTTAGAAAATGTTTTTCAGCGAAAAAGTGAACAAGGCGTGTTATAATCGTTAACCTCTTAATCCACCAAAATTTCTTCTACTTTTGACATCTTCACCAACGACACCATTGCTAGTAGCATCATCATCTCTTTGGTTACTCGCTTTATGATGGTGGTTAATATTATGGTGATTGTTAATGATAATTTTCTTCTCAAATAGTTTTGTCACTTTGTCATCATCCGAATCTCCGCCACGTTTATCACTGTTCAATGCTTCATTGAATAACTGGTCCCACTCTTCATTCCTACCCAACCACTCCCTAAACTTCTCACCATCATCTCCAATGTTACTCTCTCCAAAGTTATTACCATCTCTCACTGGAGCTGATGTATGCTTTGGTCTTTGCTGGTCATTACGGCCTTTATTTGTGTTATTATTACTCTTATTATTATTACTCTTATTATTATTATATTCATTATTATTATTACCATTAGTAGTAGTTGTAGACGCAGTGGCTGTAGAAGTGGTACCTGTGGAAGTAGCAGTGGTAGTAAATGTTTTTGTTGATGCAGGTGTGAATTTACTGTTGTTAGTTTTACAATCTCCATCTCCAGGTGTTTCATCCTTTGCGCATTTCCTCGACGTCCTACTCGAGCCTGATTCTGGTCGAGGTCGAAATCCATGCTGCGTGTGTAGTAGTTTGATAATTTTAGGTAAGGATCTGAAGTAAACCAAACTTTTAAAACAAAAAAAATTAGTTTAAATCAAAAACTCTTATTAATATAAAATAATTAAAAGAGACTCAAGATTCAGAATATTTATTAATAACTACTTCAAATGGGAAACTATGCTTCCAGAAATCATCACCCCCTTCATCATCGTCGTCGTCCTCATCATCGCCATCATCACCGGCTCTAGCATTATTATTTCTGTTGCCAGCATAATCATCAGCCTCACCATCTTTGAACCACTTATTTCCAGTATTATAAAACACCCTTCCATGCCAACCCTGACCTTTAACCCCGCCGCCAAATTTCGACCGACGACCATTCAAATTACAACGATCACCATGAAAATTTTGATAGAACTGTGAAAAGTTATCCCCATCTCTCTTGGAAAACTTTTTAAAACCCATTTCACACAGCTTCCTATACTCGTACTCTCTGGAAAGGTAGTGTAGAAATTGTAGAGGACCGACATTCTTGGGGCATTGATTAGAGAAAGTGTTACTGAAATAATACCTCGATTTATCAGCAGCACCACCCAAGTCAAAAAAACTGTGAAATGGATGACGATGGTAATGATGGTGGGGGTGGTCACCATTGGTGTCAGTGTTGCATGAGGAACCAGATGAGCTGGGTGTGGCTTCTGTTCTGTACATTCTAAATGGTGATGGTGTGTCCTTTTCAGAAGCTGTAGCTGATGAATTATAAAATTTTTTTGGTTTTTAATTTAAAAATTTAGTCTATTTAAAATTCTGAAGTTTTCACTTACTGAATAAAAAAATGCATCAAGTACAAAATCATAACAATCGTCATCAGAATTAACAACCATCAACTTAACTCACGCACACATACATTTTTATGATTTATGATTAACATTTTATCAAAATGTTCGAGACCACCACCACCACCATCACCATCATCATCCTCCTTGTTGCTATATTCATAATTAATTATCATCCCTTGAAAAAACGCCATCTACACTTTGATTTTTGTAATCATTCCCAAAATCTTCATTCCCTCTTGCCTATTAAACTTTACCACCATCTGAAGAAACCCGGACCAAACATTTTGAAAGGCATACATACACCATCCCCCCATCAAGGGTAGAAAAATTCTAACCTCTGCCAGGGTAAAAAGTTCTGCCAAACTTTTCACTCATCCTTTCTTTACTGTTGTCATTGTGGTTGCTGCCACAAAAGCAAATGAAGCTGCAGCAGTTGTAGCAGAAGCCACTGTTGGAATCGGGGTTGAATGAGTAACTTGCAAAACTATCTCTCTCCTTACTGTTGAATGCATCACTGCTCTTGAACTTGCTATGTGGGGATTCAAACTGTTGCCTGAAAAAGTATCTCCTGCCTGAATTTTCACTGAAAGAAAATAAAAATTTGTGATATAATTTAGATGAAAAAAATAAATTGTATGTAACTGTATGAAAAATTTGAAAAATGCATTAATAAAAACTATACAATTCTTACTAAGGATTTTTACTGTTTGTTTGATAGAATATATCACCACTGTCATCATCTTCCTTCATCTCGTCATCATCATTGTAGTCACTATAGAAAAATTTGTTGATATTACTTTTGAATGACCGTTGAGTAGGATTATCTGACTTGTACTCTCTGAAAACTCTCTCATTGTCGTGAGCCTTTTTTTTGATTGGATCTTTCAATATGTCATACGCTGCTCCTATTTCCTAATTTTTTAAAAATGTCATTCATAAATTTATTTTCTTATCATATGACTGCACTAATGACTAATGATTTATGTTTTATAATTAAAAAATTAAATGTCAATTTATTTTGAGCTGTTTTTAAAGTGAATCAGTCTGTTCACGTGAAAATGGTTAAATCATCCACAAAAATAATTTCAACATCTTTTTTAACTTAAAAATATTTTTAATAAATAATTTATTTATAAAAATATTATAAAAAAATTATAAAAAAAATAAGAACCAATTTGAATTAATAACTTTAAACTTTTCCTCTGCCCCTTTTGATTTATTTTTATCAGGATGATACTTCTTCGCCATGTCTCTGTAAGCCTTCTTTATCTGATCCTCGGTGGCCTTCGATCCCAATCCCAGCACTACGTAAGGATCCAATCCGGTCATTTCGCCGCAAATCACTTTTCAATTCGGAAGTAAAATATAATTTTTATAAAACGCTCACCAAACTCTCATTACGTCAACATTAAATAAAATTCTAGTTTTATACTTTTTTTAAATTTTTCCTAGAAATTAATTTAAATTCGGACAAAAACGAAAAAAACAATGAAACCAAAGACTATAGATAAGTGATTATCAAAAAATATGACATTTGAAATATATACTTAGAATATCATATCACACATTCATTAGCCTACACTGAACATATAGTTCAGTGATTCATTATTTCAATTTATACAACATATACTTAGAATGTCATACATTAACAGTGGATTTTTTTGTATTAGATTTGTACGAATCATAAAGCATCAAGCATTTGAATATAGAATAATTTTTAAAATTTGCACGTATAAGTCTCAGTCTAAATTATTTCCTATGTATTTATCAGATATATTAATTGAACATAAACGCCCCGGTTTACGACCGTCTTCTTGTTCTCACTTCTTCTTGACTCGTGTTAAACACTCTTTTACCAAATCTGCTTTTGCTTTTTCTGGCCCTTTTCTCTGGAACTCTCTACCTACCTATTTCTCTGACTACTTCTCCATCACTTACGAAGTTCAGAGCGGATCTCAAGACCCATCTGTTTTCAAAATTCATTGAAGAGCGCCGTTGAACATCGCGGAAATAGCGCTTTACAAGCTAATTGATTGATTGGTTGGTTGGCTGGCTGGCCTGGCTGGCTGGCTGGCTGGCTGACTGACTGACTGACTGACTGACTGACTGACTGACTGACTGACTGACTGACTGACTGACTGACTGACTGACTGACTGACTGACTGACTGACTGACTGACTGACTGACTGACTGACTGACTGACTGACTGACTGACTGACTGACTGACTGACTGACTGACTGACTGACTGACTGACTGACTGACTGACTGACTGACTGACTGACTGATTTGTCGTCCATATTGTTTTTTTCGGCCTTTTCCTCTGGAACTTTCAACCGTATGGATGATTATATATATCCATTATATTATATATATATATATATATATATATTATATACCATGGATGATTATATATATCCATGCTTTCTACTTCCTTCTCTCACTACTTCTCCATGACTTAAGAAGCTCAGAGCGGTTGAAAAATTCGTTGAGGAGCGCTGTTGTACATCGCGGAAATAGCACTTAAGTTCGTCTCTATTACATCACATTTTATTGTCATTTAAGAAAGTATAGTGTTTTTCAAGGTTATCTGTTGAAGGCCTGCCGCCTTTTAGTCGATTGTCCATAAGGTTCTTCTTTTCTCTTTCCTGTTAAGAATCCAGTTTGTTATAAGTCCAAGCGCTATAGATCAATTCCTACGACAAAATGTTGTGATTAAAACAACTACTAATTTGGCATTTATAACATATTAAAAAAATCATTCAACGTTGGAAAATATCTTGCAATTAATTAATTTAATGATCGTCCTTTGGCTACTATTCTCTCAACCAGGTAGGTATATGTGTATTTGTAGAATTATGACTACTGAATGTGTGTGTCTGCCTGTTTGTTTACACGCGTGTTTGTGTGTGTTTGCGTGTGAGAATAAGTAGGCAATTCAACTAAAACCAGTTAACAAGGAGTCCTAATTAAACGGAGATGTCAGAGCGAGGCGGGTAACCGACCTGTACGCAGCTATGATGACGAAGAAGAGAAAATGCAGGTAACATCGTGTCATATGTGTGTTAATGGTTATATCTATCTATATCCTCTGTGCGTGTCTGGATATCTAAATCTTGTAAGATATATCTATATCCTATGGCTATTAATATTCATATAAATATTGTAATATTGTATTAATCATCGCGCCTATCTGAGTGTTCGTGATCGAAGCGGTGAATACGAAATGAAATTTCAATTGAAAATAAAACAATGACATTCTTATTCCACCTTTTGTTGTTCTATCATAAGCTCCGCCCTCCTAATTAATATTCATGAGCTTATAATTAAGCTCACCTGTTTGAAAATTTATAAACATCGTTCATCTATTTATTGTGAACATTCAGTCGATAATAATACTAATAAACAGTTATTATTATTATTATTGTTGTTATTATTATTATTATTACTATAAGCATTACTAATAACAATGATAAACAATTAAACATATTATATTGGATGTATTGTATTCAATAGTCATCTCATATACACATGTGTGTGTATGTGAATATATATATATATATATATATATATATATACATATATATATATATGATTATATATATATATATACATATATAAGTACGCACATATATATAATTATGAATAAGCTTGCTCATCACGATAATTGTGTTATAAACTACACAGTACTTCAACATGTTCACACACGTTTAACTTTCATATTATATATAAATTAATGCTGATACTTTGCTCACAAACACACTCATATATACAATACACACAAACACAAAAACACACACACACACACACACACACACACACATATATATATATATATATGCGTAAGTATATATGTGTATGTATAAAACTCTTATTATTATTGTTGTTAAATATTGTCTATGCATATGGGTCTCATGTATACATTTAAGATTGATTGAAAATTGACTGAGTTTTTTTCATAATAATTTTTTTTAAATCCTAAAGGCAATTCATGATTTATTGATAAAAAATTTAATTATTAATAATATATTATTAATAACATAATTGATAAAAAAGTATATTGGTAACATTACAATTTGTTATATAAACTTAAAAATTTTAATTAAGGTAAACTCCTCACAATCATCACATTCTATTTTATTTTAATTTTATTTTAATAGATTTATTTTAATTTTATTTTAATAGAACAGATAGGTAGATAGATAGGTAGATAGATAGATACTAACTAAATAGATAGATTGATAGCCAATTTTTTTTATTTATCAAATATTGTTATTCGTCATATAGGATCACACCATCATCGTAAAGAAAAAACCGTGGATTATGAACACGTTTACTTGGATTTTACTTTGACAAGTAAAATTTTTTGTATTATTAAAAAACTATATAATAGAATAATATTGTGATTCATAAATTATTTATTTATTATTATTTATAATTAAAATTCATTATATTTTTACTCTATTTAGCTACTAAAAAACTAAAAAGAAACGAGATTTTTTTTTAATTCTGCTTATCAGTGTTACAATTACAGTAACAGACATTCTAGTATTTTTAAAAATGATTTTTTTTGTATGAATTTCTTTAAAATATGGAGTTATGTGATTTCGTTAAATTGAACAAACAAACAAATAAATATTAATAATTTTATGCTTTTCAGATTATAAAAAACATCAAAGATCCAATCATCTAAAAACTAGTACTAGAAATTATCCAGTCCAAACCATCTTATTTCAATGTAGGTTGAAACAAAATTGACTTCATGTATTTCAAAATACTTTTCAACTGTGTTTAATACTGCATTTAATATTTTAACCTCTATATCATCTTTTCTAACCTAAGAAAATTGCACAATGAATATGTCAAATGTTTGCTTATTATCAAGAAAAAAAATTCTCACAGATATGATTAGATTGGTAATGTTTATTTGCTTATTGCACTTTAATTAAACACCAGTCACATCACTAATCATTACCATCATTTTGTATACATGGTATATATCATATCATATATATCACATATAATATCGTATCTATCATATCATCATATATGTCACATATCATATATATCTCGTAATCTATCAACTAAATGCCCTAAAATTTGATGATGACAAAACTCTTAATTTTTCTATTTTATATTTACTACACATTCTTCTAAGGCCTATACAGGCCACACTACTAATTGCAGGATATAGAATTTTAGAGGCTTTTCATCAAGCATCTAATTAGCTTAGTCTCTATCTGCAAACACATTTATAAATGAAGATTAAGGAGAGTTAATTTATTATTATTTATATTATTATTTTCATTATTTTTATTATTATTATTATCATTATTATACGCTGGACATTGCTATTCGACGATCATATTAAATGTGATGTGATAGGCTGGGATCTGTTTGCGCACGAACTCGGCCGATCTCGATTCTCAATTTTTTATTATACAAGATAAATTTTTTTCTTCTTTGACGGCATATGTGGCCTGCAACATTTAAAATTCAGCTTTTGTAATGTCGTTTTTTTTAAATGTCGAGTTTCGTTTCAATTAATTCTTTCGTGATCATATGAATATTCTTATTGAATGTTTCATTTTGAAACAATTATGTCTTTAAATGAGGGATTTCTAATCTGGAAGTTTCAATTTGAAAACTTTAAAAGTATCAATAGCACACACACAGACACACACACAGACACACACACAGCGTATGTTTTTTTGTATTTTTTCTTTTCCTTCAGGTTTGAAACAAATCACTGACAATTAACTAACATTCACCTCTCTTCATCACCATGAATTGGAAATTTTGGCAGAAGAACAAGAAAGGTAGGCATCTGGAAAGTTTATTCATAAGTTTAATTTAAAATTTTTTTCACTTGCATAATGCTGAAATTCAAATGTTTCGCTAGATGATGATGATGTCTGTCCGTTTGTTTGCTGGCACTTGACTAATGTTTCCGATGGATGATTGGTTCACTGGTGGACTAAATAGTTGTTTGATCCTTTAAATAATTAATAAATAAGTTAATCAAATACTTTTTTAATTAATCAATTAATAACTCAAATAATTAATTATTTAATTAATTAATTAATAGAGACCGGCCCTCGGAAAGTAAAGGCCAATAATATAGAATACAATGCTCAGTTTAAATACCATGTAAGTTTTTTTATACCATTTCTTATCAACTTATCGTCAGCGCCTCTCTTCTCTCTCTCTCTCTCTCTCTCTCTCTCTTTCTCTCTCTCTCTCTTTCTCTCTCTCTCTCTCTCTTTCTCTCTCTCTCTCTCTTTCCTCTCTCTCTCTCTCTCTTTCCTCTCTCTCTCTCTCTCTTTCCTCTCTCTCTCTCATTTTCATTAATTTCTCTGTCGCACTCCTCTCCAGAATAATTACATCTCGACATCCAAGTACAACTTCTTAACATTCCTGCCACTCAACTTGTTTGAGCAGTTCACCAGATTGGCCAACGTTTACTTCCTCTTCTTATTAATATTACAAGTAGGTTACTGTGTATTTGATGCTCATTTATTCATTGACCTCGACCTTTTGTAATAATAATAATAATAAATTTTAATAATAATGATAACAATAATAGGAGTAGTAGTTGTGGCTGTTGTTGCCTCTATTGCTGTCATCGTTGTTGTTGCTGTTGTTGTTGTTGCTATCATTGTTGTTGTTTCTGTCAGTGTTGTTGTTGCAAGCATCACAGTAGACGCAATATCGTTTTTTTATCACAAAGATACAATTGCTGTTGTTGTTGTTGGCCTTGATATCATTTCAGTAATATTATTTCCGCGAACACGATCGCGTTGATGTTATTTTTTGGGTGTTTTTAACTTAGGTGTAACTTATAAGCAGTAAGCCGGAGTCACATGGAAATAATTTTTTATCCGACTAACTGCTTATAAAGCAGTTGATGTTTTTCCCCATAAATTTACGGAATGTTATACATTTCAAAACTTATTTCAACATTTTTCTGCTACCAGGACGTATTTTTTTTGATGTGATTATTAAAATTGTTTGTCTAATTAATGTTTTTGTTAATTATGACCACTCGACAACATTCATATATGTATGCTTTATTAGTTTTATATAAAAAATACATAGATTGATTAGTTGATTGATGGATGGGTGGATGGAATGAATGGATAGATAGATAAATGAAAAAATGGATGGTTGGATAGATGGATGGACTAATTAGTGGATTGATGATTATACGTAAAATATTTATTCATCGAAACTTTTGTAATTATTTAATATGACACACTGCAAACGTACAAAACACAGACACACACACACACACAAACACACACAAACACTTGAACAGTGTATTCCCTACGTTTCATCTTTGACTTTCTTGTCAACGTTGTTCCCGATTTTAGTCGTATTATCGATAACGCTGATCAAGGATTTGTATGATGATATAGTAAGTGTGAGGACATGGCCTAGAACAGCTAAACAACTCAACAATGTTCATTCTTTCATTAATTTTTTCATTCGTTCACTCATTCATTCACTCACTCATTCATTCATTCATTTTTCCATTCACTTAATAATTCATTCGACGATATGTGCCCATGCATTTTAAAACGCTTTTGTTCTGTTTATAGCCTTCTAGAGGTAAATAACATAGAACGCATTAACATAGTATGTAATTAGCTATAATCGAATCATCAACATCGTAGAAAGTTTTTAAATTTTTTTAAAATTTCATTATAAAATAAGTAATAGAGCTTTATACCAATTAAAATTTTTTAAAATTTCATTATAAAATAAGTAATAGAGCTTTATACCAATTAAAATTTTCCCAATTTTCATTATAAAATAAGCAATAGAGCTTAATACCAATTTCACTGAACTATAAATAACCTAAACACAATATGAAAATAATACCCTCGTGATAGCATAACATGATATTAATAACGTATAGGAAATTTTAACATTCACGTTATAGCTACATCAAATTAATGCACTAGTTGTGTTTGAGTTTTTCAATGATTTCCCTTAAACAGGTGAACAGTTTTATTCCCACTAAGTGTAATAAAACTAAAGAGCAAACGTTATGTCAGCAATTCTGTAGAGTTTGATGAAATAAATCAAAATTGTTTTATATTTTAGAAAGCATTCACTAGAATCATTTTATTATTGATTGATTGTTGTATTTACTTATTTATTCATTCATTTATTTGTTTATATATTTTAAAAGATGGTTGTCCCCTTGCTGTACGTTGAATGAATGTTTAGCAAATTTTTAACATGATTTAAATATATCGTCAGTCCTACACCATCCGTTTGATCGTTATTACTCTACGTATTTGAACTATTACGAAATTAATTGAATTAATTAATTATTTAATGAAAAATAATTAATTTATTTGAGGAATTATTTAATTTTATCTTAATTCAAACTTAATCTATGATTTAAATTTTCAGTTAATGATTCATTTTACGACCACCCTCCCAACCTGTCATTTTATAACCCTTTTACCAGTTGTTATTGAGTTATTTAACTGTGTTCCTGCTATTTTTAACCATCCATTTTTCAAAATATTATTTGAGTCTATCTACCTATTTGATGTCTTGGTCAGTTTTTCATTAATCAATCAACCAATCTTCTAATCAGTACGTGCTTATGCTGAGAAACTGAAAATATTCATTCATTTTTAACCAAAATTAACGCCCTAATGTTAGTAGCGGAGCCAGAAGTTGTCGTAATGGTTGTGAGGGAAAATATTTATGAGGTTTCGAGTTTTTTTTAATGGGTAGATTGGGTCCAAATTTCCAAATTTTTATGCTCCTTAAAAAATATTGGCAAGTTAGGGTCAGGGATTGCTGGAGCTATAGATGGTTGTGCGCTACTGTAATTCCATTCACAGCTTCTGAATCCGCCACTATCCATTACCACAATTCCTCAGTTAACACCATAACAATACCCCAATCAATTAGTTAATACACTGTAATGTTTAACATCCTCAATTACCACATAGTTGATACCTCAAATTTCATCGCTGAACTGGATGACTACCGTTATACCCCTGGTATTTGTATTATTAATAAGTGCTTTAAAAGACTCCGTAGATGACATAGTTAGTAGACTGCTGTGATTGTTATTGTTAACATAGTTAATTCTTTTCATTGTTTTTTTTATGTTCTTTTTTGGGTTTTTGTAGTTTATGTGTAAACTAACATTAATTCAGATTTGTTTTTTCTATGGCTATTTCATTCTAAATTGTAATTTTCATTAACCGTCAAAATATCATTATTATTTCTACCTGTACCTACTGTAACATTTTAACATAAATTATGGTCTCAATGACAAAAATACTTTCATAGTTAACATAAAAAATGTGTTAGTAATATAATTAATTTATGATTAATGATTAAATCATTAAAATCCAATTAATAAGTAATAAATAATTTAGTTCAGTAAGTAAAATCATGACAAAATAATGACACAAAACATTGGTGGTGAAATTTTGATGTAGCAAAGGCATAGAAGCGACAGTATGGTGAACAACAGACTTTCGTGGGTCCTAAGAGGTGGCCAGCTGGTCGAAGCAAAGTGGCAGACGGTCGTCGTCGGTGACATCATCAAGATGGAGAACGACCAGTTTGTTGCGGTCGGTAGCTCCTTTAGAATATCATTTTAAATAATTTTATTTTATTTTAAAATCATTATTAAACAAAAATTTCAAATTTAAAAACGTTCTACATTAGTAAATTTTTTTTAAATGAAAATTTGTTAGGCTGATCTTTTGCTGTTATCAGCCAGTGAGCCAAACAGCTTATGTTACATTGAAACTGCAGAGCTGGACGGGTTAATATTTAATTATATTTATTCGAATAAATCCATTTAGTTAGCTTCAAATTAGTGAAAATTTGTATTTCACCTTGTCATTTTATAGGGCAAATTACTTCAAATGCATCCCTAATATTACTTCTTAACAACTCTTGAACAGTGAGACGAACTTGAAAGTCAAGCAGGCTCTGGTTGAAACGGCTGAGATGGAGGACAATATTTCACTACTGTCACAATTCGATGGTTGCAACTTTTTTTCTTATTTTTTTGTTTCGTTTTAACTGTAGCCTTGTGGTAAATTTGTTCACGCTAAACAAGTTTCTTTATAACGTAATACGCAAGCAAATGATCTCGTTCATGTTGAAGAAATTTCTAAATAACTTTTAATACTTAAGACATTGACTCAATAGTTTTAATTTTATAATCTAATTTAGGCCTTGTGACCTGCGAGCCGCCAAATAATATTCTGAGTAGGTTTGAAGGGAGACTTGAGTATAACGGCCAGGTATACTCCCTGGACAACGACAAGATCCTTCTACGTGGATGCGTCCTCCGTAACACGGAATGGTGCTTCGGTATGGTTATATTTGCCGGGCGGGATACAAAACTCATGATGAACAGTGGGAAGACAAAATTCAAACGAACTCACATCGACAGACTCATGAATGTCCTAATTATAGGAGTGAGTGTTCTTTTGTATTTTATGTTTCAATGTTCTTTGACAAAACTAAAAAATGAATTTGTGAATGAGATGTTGTTGGAGAAATGTTACGATGATACTTTGCCAAATGAAATTCGACTCAATCACTTACATTTGATAGTTTTTATTATTACTTAAGAGAGCATGCATAATTTCTAAATATATGCTATCAGAAATGTTTTGTTTGGAAGTCAAAGCATATTTTGAGTGCTTCTTTTCGATAGGAACGCAAATTTTTAAAGTCCTTGCAACTGTTTCAAACTTTATGTAATCATTTGAATGTACCACAATAAATTCTTATTTATCCCAATTCGTTCAGTTTTCTTATCTTTTGTTCCAAATGCACAAGTTTCTAAATTTTAAAATCGTAAATGTTCTTAAACTTTCTTTTCCATTTCATTCCACCCAACATTAGGCGCATATGAAACAATTACAATCTCTCAGACACTATCACGCACAATTGTTCACATCTGAAATAACTCATAATAATACATACCTATGATTTAAATTTTTTAACAATCTGACAAGTTTTCTGATCAATATTTGCAATCTTCAAACCATCTGCATAAAATCAATTCTTATAAATAATTTCAAAGTTTACGAAAGTTGAAACGTATAATACAAGGATATATCACTGAGAATTATAAATTCAAATGCATATACTCAAACATTTTGAGAAGTTTTAAACAATCGTGAATTTCAAACTTCGATCTCTTATGTAAACCGCATACATTGCAATCAACATATTTGGATATTTGGATACTTATTTGAAAATGCTTTTGAAGTATCATCTGATGATACTTCAAAAGCATTTCACTATTTCACTAGCTACATAACTCCATTCTATTTAGCGTATTTGCCCATTTCACATGTTTATGCTTAATTCACGAACGCTCGCATGCACTTCGACGTGTAACGAACGCCAAATTTGCAAACATTAGCGAAAACAGTATGCCTGAATACCACTCACCGTTCAATATTTTGGTTAAGCCTACATTTCATCGAGCCAAATTACTCTTACGCATTGCGCCTGAAAGAACTGACAAAATCACGTCAAAATTGTTAAATCAATTGTAAATTAATGAGGATGGGTACATCGCCTTACTACATAAACGCTCAAACCAACGAAACAAATGAAATATTTTTTCTCTCACATTTGTTGTACTTAGTAACTTTGGATCATAAATCAATTCCCCATTGTGTCATATATTTATTTTTCTTCAGCACATTTCATCATTCATCTGCTGTTGACGCGGCACTATTTATTTCGGTTCAGTCTGCTATATTCTATTGCTAGTATGATGTCTCTTGTTTGCCTGAGAGAATTATTAAAAAAAATTGAGACCAAATAAATGAATTAAGTGTTCATTAATTGAACAAACAGAATGAAGAGTTTTTAAGAATTATTTGCTGCTAGTTAGCAAGAAGACGTCGATGTGAAGACAGGCAGACTGATAAATGCGACGTTCTTTCTTAAATCACCAGAGCTTTCTGCCAATTCATTCATTCATTCAATGATCCTCTGTAATCCCTTAAGGGACCGTTGAGGCCGATGGTATTCTTCTATCTCTCCAAAATCCTTTTCTTTCCCTCGCCATCTTCATTGAACCCAATGTTCCAACCCCCGTCCATTCCGTGATATCATCCATCCACTTCCTCACAGGTCTTCCAACTTTTTTCTTCCAGTCCCTCTTTCTCATCAGTACTTTTTTGATCAGTCTGTCGTCTGTCATTCTGCAGATGTGCCCAAAGATACCCAGCTTTCTTTCCTTGACACTTTCATACACAGTTTTTTGTCTTCCAAGTTGTTTTCTTATGGCATCGTTTCTTATCTTTTGTCTCCAACTGACTCCCAGCAACTTTCTATAACAATGCATCTCGAATGCTTCCAGTTTGTCTTTTTCTCTTTTTTTCAACGTCCAAGCCTCACATGCATACATCAATGTAGAAAATACACACGCTTCTACGATCTTTACCTTTGTTTTTGTGGTACATTACCGTTTTTCAATATTACTTTCAAAGATGCAAACATTCCTCTCGCGATTGCTATTCTTCTATCAATTTCTTTCGAACAATTATTGTCATCAGTTATGAGTTTGCCCAGATATATAAATTGGTTCACTAGTTCGAGCTTTTCATCATTGTTTCCACCTGCTTCCGAAATCATTATCTTTGTCTTACTGCTGTTGATGTGTAGTCCATGGTTTCTTCCACCATCGTACGTCAACTCGATCAGTTTCTGTAGACCCTCTGCACTAGATGCTAACAGATCTATATCATCTGCAAACCTGAGGTCCCTTATCACTCTGCCTCCAATGTCGATTCCCTCAATATCTGCATTCTCCATTTTTTCCAAGGCTCTTTCCAACAGTGCTAAGAACAGTAATGGTGATATTGGATCTCCTTGTCTACTTCCTATGTTTGCTTTGATCCAGTCTCCCAGCTCTGTACCTACCTTTACCGCCATTGTTGACTCCTCATAAAGCCCTTTCAGCACCCTTAACATTTTGTTGACACTCCCATACTTTCCAAAGCTGCCCACAAACCTTCGTGCCAGATTGAATCAAACGCCTTCTTAAAATCCACAAAACAATAAAAAGTTGTTTGACCTCTGCTTCCTGCATCTTCCAACAATAGTCTCAACATCAGGAAATCTGCCTGCTCCTCTCCTAAATGCTGCTCTATGTCTTTCTCCAATCGTTCTTTCAAGATCGTCAGCATGATCTTGCACATATGAGGGATCAGTGCTATCGATCTGTAGTTGTTGCAGTCTTTCAGGTCTCCTTTTTTTGGCAACATGATCAAGATTGATTTACACCAATCTTCTGGCCATTTTCCACTGTCCCAGATTTCTTGGCAGATTTTGTGAATCTCATTACATACAATTGGTCCTCCCGCTTTGATCAGCTCTATGGGAATTCCGTCTCTCCCTGTGCTCTTGTTGTTCTTGTTGTTGTTGTTTCTGCCAATTAGTGTTATATAATAATTGTTAATTTAATAAAATAAAAATAATAAGGGCAATAAATGTTATCCTATGGTACTGTTTGTTCATTTCTTTTAATTCATCATCTTGTGTTGATGTTATCTAGGGTTGTTTTCTAGTTTTCGATTGATTTTTATAATAATAATATAATATAATAATATACTGTAATACTGTTGTTGATACTGTAATTTCTCGATTTAAAACTTAAAATTTCTTATTTATTCTAGTTATTGCATATTTAATTTCTACCGCAAAACTGTTAATTTGTTAAGTCACTTCTAAAAATATAAAAAATTGTTTAAATTAAATATTTTCAAACTGTTCTACTGTTTTGTTTTCCTGTCCTGTCTTATTAGTGCTTCGTCATCATGGCAAAAAATGTCTCAGCCGAAAGTTTTGAAGTTCTTGTGTCAAAAATTTTGGACAAATCAAACGAAAATTTATTGAAATGTATAGATAAATTATTAGAAAAATCAAATGACAATCTGAAAAAAATTATTGATGTTTCCAATAAAAACCTAGAAAAATTGTTTGAAAAGTCAGACCAGAATCTAATTCTAGTATTGGAAAAATGTAATGACAACCTGCGCAAAATAGTAGCCCATTCCGAGAGCCTTATGAGCAAGCTGTTTGAAACAACAATAATCAGAATGGAAGCTCTAAGTAATAGCTTCGAAAACGCCGTTAAGAGCATGTCCGATGCCGTGACTGGTAGTATGAAAGAACTTCACTCCGCTATGTCAACACTGGCCACCAGTGTTACTGAGTGTCAAAAGCAGGTAACTAAACTTAATGAATCTCCCATGCTTGAGACAGTGACTAGGGCCCTTTGGTCAGTGGAGCAGGAAAAGAAAGATGAAGAAAGTCGGTCTAAAAATGTTATCATTTCCGGTCTCGAGTTGCAGCCAGGATGTAACGACAAAGATATGGTTTTATCGTTATGCGAGAACCACCTCACGGTCAAGCCAACAATTGCTAGAACTCGCCGTATCGGAAACCACAGGTTATGTGTCACGCTAGACAATTCATCGGCAGCTGAGGACCTGATTGCCTCATCAAGGATCCTCCGCTCTTCTTCAACAACAAAAGGTATCTTCATCAACCCTGACCTTTCCAAAAGGCAGGCCGAACAAGCCTTCTTGATCAGACAGGAGAGACGTCGCATCAGAACTACCAACAACAACTCTAAAAATGCCCAGCCCTTTCTTTCAGTCCTACAACAATAAACACATTCGTATGGCCTTAGCTAATGTTCGTAGCATTCAAAAGAAGCAAAATGATCTCAATTTATTTTTGTCAGTTTACAGACCAGAAATATTTTCTGTTATAGAAACATGGCTTACTCCAAATGATCCTGACAACTTATTTTTACCTAGCGGTTATTCTTTTGTTCGCAGAGATCGTGCAACACGTGGTGGCGGCGTGGCTTTCATCATCAATGACACTATTCAATACAAGATCGTTTCAATACCATTCCAGTTCTCCCACATAGAAATAGTTTCAACTGATGTTTCCATTTCAAAGAAAAATTATCGCTTCAACTCGTACTATCGAAGTGGTGGTTTTGATAAATTAGCAGAGGAATATGCGTTTGATAGTGCCAGGTGCATCAAAGAACTTAGCAAGGGAGATGTGATTTGCTTGTTAGGTGATTTCAATCTCCCACTAATTAATTGGAATAATTATTCTGCACCAAATAACGTCATCTACAATACTTTTATCGAACTTTTCAATGAATTAGGTCTCTACCAACTTGTCGATCAACCAACTCGTGGAAATAATATTTTAGATTTGATCCTATCTGATGATGCCAGCCTACTTGTCGAGTTAGAGATTTCCTGTCCATTTTCTTCCAGTGATCACAACTGCCTTACCTTTCAAGTTAACTGCATCACTCATAACTCAACTGACAAATTCTCTAACAATGATAACGACACTTCCTTTTATAATTACAACAGTGCAGACTTCACTAATATAAATGAATGCCTGAGGCTAATCAACTGGGACAATATTTTTCAGCACTGCTTCGACGTCAACACATGTTAAGACATTTTTGAGCGTTTGATAAACAACCTTATGGCAACTTACATCCCTCGATCTTTTCTGAGAAGCAAAGAACACAAAATACAGGTTCCCTATCAACTTCGTCAGTCTTATAAAGTAAAACTTCACTACTGGAAAAAATGGAAACGAACTTCTTCACCGGATGATAAAGAGCAGTATTTGAATATGTCACGAAAATGTTCTGGCTTAGCAAACAGTTACAGAATAGTCAATGAACATAAACTGCTTTCTAAATGCAATGTCAGAAGTTTTTACCAGTATGTCAACAAAAAAATGCTATCGCGTCCCAATGTCAGTAGTTTAAAGTTAGATGACAATAGCGTGACCTATGACCCGCTGATAATGGCCAATGCATTCAACAAATATTTTTCTTCCGTATTTACACATGATAACAACTCCAATTGTTCCAAACCTTGTCTAACCAACAACTTGTTAGAAGATATTTGTTTCACTCCCCATATAGTTTATATAACTCTGCGTAACTTAAAAAATTCAACCTCAGCTGGAACAGATGGTATACCGAATGTTGTCCTGAAGATGTGTGCATCTAACCTATCAGTTCCATTATGTCATATTTTTGATCTATCATTTAGAAATAACCAGCTATCAACTAAATGGAAATCTGCTATTGTTACTCCCAATCATAAAAAGGGTCCCACAAACCACCCCACCAATTACCGACCTATTTCACTCACGAGTTCAAGTTGTAGAGCAATGGAAAAGATTATAAACAAAGTAATATTATCCTTTCTTTTAGAAAACAAACTAATTACGCATTTTCAACATGGTTTTCTACCTGGTAGATCAACCTGCACCAACTTAATGCAATTTTACAGCGACTGGATATCACTTCGTCAGAACAAAGAAGGCTGTGACACCATTTACCTCGATTTCCAAAAAGCTTTTGATTCTGTGTCACACTCGAAACTGGTCGGAAAATTAAGATCCTATGGAATATCTGGTAATCTGCTTGCCTGGCTGTCGGACTTCTTGTCTCAACGTTCCCAGCTTGTTAGAATTCAAAACAAATTATCCAATTCAGTATCGGTTACCAGTGGTGTCCCCCAAGGCAGTGTCTTGGGTCCAACTCTATTCATTGTCTTCATTAACGACATTGTTGAACGCATTTCATCTATTTCAGTTTCAAGTTTGCTATTCGCTGACGATATTAAATTATACAGCCGTTCATCCAACTCAGTTCAACTTCAACAGGCCATCAACGATATAACAGCTTGGAGTATCAAATGGCAGTTGCCACTCTCTCCGAGTAAATGCTGTCATTGCTCATTTCTTCCATCTTCGAGATCAACATTAGTTCCACATCAATATTATATAGATCAACATCTTCTCAGTTGTACAAATGACTTCAGAGATCTTGGTGTGATAGTGGACAGCAAATTCAACTTTAATGCGCATATCAACAACATCACTCACAAGGCTTCTTTCCGCGCTCGCTTAATCGTCAAATGTTTCACATCTAAGAATAAGGATCTACTTGTGAAGGCTTTTTGCAGTTATGTACGTCCTCTACTTGAATACTGCTCACCGCTATGGAATCCGCACTACAAATATCAAATAACCAAGATTGAAAATGTTCAGAGAAGATTTACCAAATTCATTCCGTCAATTCGTCATCTTCCATATTTGTCTAGATTGCAAGCGGTAGGACTACAAACACTTGAGCGGCGTAGATTGGTTCTTGATTTGTGCTTGCTGTACAAAATACTACACAACCTCATCAACACAGATTTAAATGGTTTTTTCATCCCTTCACATTATCTGTCAACTCGCGGTCACCCATGTCGACTGCAAGATTTCAACGCTGGAGACAACGTAACAAAATATTTCTACTGTATCCGGATTATCCGAGTGTGGAATGCATTGCCGGCAGACGTAGTGTCTTCAACTTCACTTGCTGTTTTCAAAAATCATTTACTCACTATTGATTTAGATAGATTTTTAATTATAATGTGATTTATTGTTAAATTACGTTTAATATTTACATATATGCCTAACTAACTCTGTTGGCTAAAACTATCATTTACCAATTATAATATCAGTAGTACATTTTTTAAGTTATGAAGTTATCTTCTATGTTTGACTATAAACTTTTTCATTATTCATTACGATCGTTGTGCATCGATCTCTGTTATTATCCTATGTTTTTACTTAATTCATAGACGTACGATTCATTTTTCGAACATTTTTTTCATTTTTCTGACCGGATAAGTGGTTTTTTTTTAGCCCTCTGGTTTTGTGAATAAATAAATAAATAAAAATAATTTTTCAACCGTTGAATAATTTCCGTAAGAAGAATTTATACATTAAGTTTTATTTCAACTAATTATCGGAACTGTCATCAATCAGATCTTCCTCTTCCTGGTCGTCATCTGCCTAATTTGTTCGATCGGGGCCGGCGCGTGGGAGATGAACTTCGGCCAGCACTTCCAGATCTACCTGCCCTGGGATTACTACATTTCCGGAAGTCTCAAAGGAAACAGTGATGGCAATAAAGCCGGTGGTAGCACCGTCATCGCCATCCTCGTTTTCTTCTCCTACATCATTGTCTTGAATACCGTTGTTCCCATATCTCTATACGTCAGGTGCGTCGTTATTATGATTATTATTGTTTGTTATTAGTTGTTTACCATATGGTGTTGCTAATTTGGAAGTAGCGATAGAGGCGTTTTTGTGGTGCTGCTACTTTTTCAGTATCTATATCGACATCGATGTCATTTTTGCTAAATAGTAACAGTATTGTAGACTCGTTGCTTTCAAAGCTTAACCTTATGTAGTAGCGACTTGCTAGTTTTGAGTTGAAAGTACTTTTTGCTCTTGGATCTAATTTAAAATAAATATATAATTAATGATTTTTTGCCATAATTAAATAAATAAACATCATTATGTTTCTATATCCTCTTATCGCTTTATTCTCTCTCTCTCTCTCCCGCTAAGTATTTCTTTGAAACCTGGCATCTTGAATGATAAGTTCCATAAAATGAAGAGGCAAGCCTCTTTATGCATTTGTAATGTGCTGATATTTTGATGTGACTTTGCAACAGTAGTAGAGTACTTTACTAGTTACAATTCATCCTTAGGCAACATCGAATTGCTAACTAAGTATTATAGAAAGTTTACTAATTCACTCATTGTTATCATTTTATTCATGAGTATTTGTGCGTAATAATTTTATCTTTCCATCTACCTGTGTTTGTAGTGAAAACGAAATGAAGTAGTATGTAGGCGTGTGTGTGTGTGCGTGTGTGTGTGTGTGTGTGTGTGTGTGTGTGTGTGTGTGTGTGTGTGTGTGTGTGTGGTTTGATTGTTCGTTCGAAGAGTGCTTCATAACGAATGTGTACATGTATCGATTGAAAAGTCGATTGTTTCATAGTTGCTGGCTGTGCTGCCTGTTGGTTGTAATTTGTAGTTGCAAGTTATTTGATCTGATCTGATGGCGGAAATGTATTCTTTTTTCACCGTTAATGTTTTAAAAGAACCACCAGATCCTGAATGCTACCTAATATCTTTTCGTCATTTGATGTGTATGAATCTAGATTTAACATTTTATTAAGAAACATTCTTGATGCCGATAACACCGTTAACATTCTGTAAATTTATAAACAGAAAATATGTGACATGAAATTTTTTTATTTTTTTGTCTGTGGGCCTCTATAATCTTAATCTTACCACATCGTCATCATCATCTTTCGTCATCATCATCATCATCGTCTTCCAACATAAATCTTACTACGTTATCATTGTCATCTTCCACGTCACACATACACACACACACACACACACACACACACACACATACACACACAACCACATGCATTATTGCAACATCACCAGCGTGGAGTTGATAAGATTGGGCCACAGTATTTGGATAAACTTCGACAACAAGATGTACCACGATAAGACGGACACTGCAGCGAAATCGCGGACAACAACATTGAACGAGGAACTTGGCCAGATTGAATACATTTTTTCTGATAAAACTGGAACGCTAACGCAGGTGTGTTCCTGGTGATGATGCTGATAAAAATGATGATAAGCTTGGTGAAGATGTTGATGGTGATGACGACGACTATGATGACGACTATGATGATAAAGATGATGATAGCAAACTCCTGATAAATGTTTAAACTTGATTCAGTTTTTATGTTCATACTTTTAAACTTGAACTTTCACTCCAAGTGAAATCTTAACGAAACAACGTTACTAAGGAGTGAAAAAAGTGGCACTGAGTGCTACCCATCATTGCAATCCTCATCGTCATCATCATCATTACCATTGTCATCATCACCGTCATCACGTCATCGTAATTATGACGTCATCACCACCACCACCACCCACCTGCCAAACAGAACATCATGACATTCAACAAATGTTCAATAAACGGGATGACCTATGGTGACCTCATCAAGCACGGCGAAGCAGTCAACATAACTGACGTGAGTTGAAAGGGGGTGGTGTGGGGTGGGGCTGGGTGTTGTTTGTCGCGTGATCTTGTGATGATGGTAGTGATGATGATGATGATAGTGATGATGATGATTAATTATGATACACTACTTTTACTCTTCTCATCTTTTTCATCTTCATTCTCATCATCTTCATTATGGTCATCGTCATCATTTTTACCATTATTATCATCATCATCATCTCGCAACTTCAGCAACAACATCGTCAGCATTGACAGCATAAATAACAGCAACTACAGTAACGTTATCTGTATCTGCAACACAAACGACAACAACAACAACAATCATTCAACCAACTAAAATCGGATCATATTCATCCTAATCATCATCGTCATGTTGCGTTGTCAGCGCCATTATCATCATCTTCTTCTTCATCATCCTCATCACCACCATCACCATCATCATCACCAGAGAACGCCAAAGGTAGATTTTTCAAAAAATCCGTACTACGAAAAGACGTTTGACTTTTACGATGATCGTCTGCTGGGTGCAGTGGAGCAGGGTGTGCCGGAAGTTCACGAGTTCTTCCGGTTGCTCGCACTCTGCCACACTGTCATGTCCTCGGAAAAGGATGGTGGGTTGGGTTATAATAGTGATGACGTAATGATGTAATGATGTAATGTTATCATGTGGATATGTGATGTTATGACGTAATTATGTGATGTTATCATGTGACGATGTGCTGGTTTATTTGATGTGCTGGTTATTTGATGTGCTGGTTATTTGATGGTGTTATGTGACTTTATGTGCTCTTTCGTACGGTCATGTCTTCTAAAAAGGATGGTGGGTTATTGTGATGTTACAGTATGGTTATGTGATTATGTGATGTGTTTGTGTGATGATGTGTCTATGTGATGTGAAGTGTTTATGTGATTTGAGGATGTGGTTATGCGATTATGCGAAGTGTTTATGTGATTTGGTGATGTGTTCATGTGATGTGATGTGATTCAGTAATTTGAATTGTAAATTTGCGGCCAGGTGTCTTGGAGTACCAGGCTCAGTCTCCAGACGAAGCAGCCTTGGTGGGAGCTGCCAGAAATTTTGGATTTGTCTACAAGGTAATAATGGTGGTGGTGGTGATGGTGGTGGTGGTGGCTACGAAGATGGCGGTGCTGGTGATGATGAAATGTAGGAATTCGGTCATAATCTTTATCGATGTCAGATTTATTTCACTCATCATCATTGTCACCACCATCATCATCATCGTCACCACCATCATCCTCATCATTATCGTCATCACCCAACATCATCATCATCATCATCATCATCATGACCAGTCGCGAACCCCGACAACGATAACACTGGAGGTGATGGGTGAGGTGGAAGTGTACGAGCAGCTTTGCATTCTGGATTTCAATAACGTTCGGAAGAGAATGTCTGTGAGTCTTGATGGTGAAAACTGTGGTGAGGGTGATGAGTAAGATGATGATGATGATGACTGTGGGGATGGTGATGAGTAAGAAGAAGAAGATGATGATGATGATGACGGTGGTGATGGTTATGATGATGGTAATAAGTAAGATGATGATGATGATAATGGTTAAGATGATGACGATGATGATGACGGTGATGATGGTTAAGATGATGGTGGTGATGGTTAAGATGATAATGATGATGATGGTTAAGATGATGATGACGATGATGGTGATGGCTAAGATGTTGATGATGGTAACGGCCGTGGCGAAGATAATGATGATGCGAAATGCAATAATGACACTTCGAGAATATTGTACTGTAATAATGATAAAAATCATCAACACAATCCCCACCAACATTACTCACACCACTACCATCATCATCATCATCACCATCATCATCATCATTATTATCATGATCTTAGGTCATAGTACGCAAGGATGACCGCATAACCTTGCTTTGCAAGGGCGCGGACACCACCATCTACCAGCTACTCGATCCCAACAGCCAATCACGACTCAAGGATCAGACCACACAACATCTCGAGGTGATGATGACGACGTTGATGGTGATCATGGTGATAGTGATGATGATGACGATGATGATGATGATGACGATGAGGATGATAATGATGATGATGAGGATGATACCGTCATTGTTGTAAGATGATCACAAAAATTTAATTAAGGACGAGCAGTTATTATAACAACGAAAACAATTATGAAACGTTTGTACATCTCTGCAGAACTAATTTTTCTATAATAACGCTTTAAAAATTTGTCTGCTTATGCGCTTATATTAAATATAATTATTTAATAATAATTAATATAATTATATAATACACTCTTTTTTGCTCCTTATCTTTCTCTCTCTTTATCTATATATATCTCTCTCTCCTTATCTCTCTATCTCCAGACGTTTGCACAAGATGGACTGAGGACGTTGTGCCTCTCCAGTAAAGAGATCGATCCGAATTATTTCACCGAATGGAAGAAGAAACACCACGAAGCAAGGTCTGTCCGTGACGTCATCATCACTAGTTTTACGTCATCATCATTATTTATCCTTGTTTTATTCTCATAGTCGTTGTAGTTATCATCAGCGTTGATTGTCTTTTTTCTTGTTTTCGTTTGAAGCCTGTGAAACTGTTATGCATGCGCTATTGATTTTATTATCATTTTCATCAGTCCATTATTGGACTGTATTTCTCTCTTTTTTGCTTTCCTTTCTCTCTCTTTCTCTCTTTCTCTCTCTCTCTCTCCTCTGTTATTCTTTTTTATATTCTTTTTTTCATTTTACTCATTATCATCGCAAACATTATTCATTCAATTTCCACCACCACCACGGCCAGCACTTCCATGGAGGACCGGGAAGACAAGATGTCGGCAGTGTACGAGGAGATAGAGACGGGGATGAAGTTGCTAGGCGCGACAGCCATCGAAGATAAGTTGCAGGACGGCGTTCCTGAGACCATCGCTAATCTAGCTAGTGCTGATATCAAGATATGGGTTCTTACTGGCGACAAACAAGGTTTGTGTGCTGTGGCATGTGTGGTGTGGTGTGGCAAGTGTGGTTTAGTGCGGCATGTGTGATGTGGCCCTTGTGGTGTGTGTGACATGTGTAGTGCGGCCCTTGTGGTGTGTGTGGCATGTGTGGTGTGGTTTCATATATATATGTCTGACAATGTTCGCCCTTAGAAACTGCAATCAACATCGGGTACAGTTGCCAGTTGCTGACGGAAGAGATGTCGGAACACTTGTACGTCATAGAATCTGAAAATATGGAGGATGTGAAGAGGGAGTTGACGGAAGCCAGGGACGCCATGTTGAAGGTGGGACTGTCTGTTGGGAGGATTTTAACGGGAAACAGTTTTTGTTGCCACATTGCTTGATTGTGTTTTCATTGAGATTGGTAAATAACGTCAAAAGTTACGATAGCAAAAGATGCGACAATGTAACAAACAAAAAATACAAAAAACACCCCCACCCAGGTTCTTACGGGTGATCTCGGCATGATGAACCAGGGGCTCTCGGTCAGCAGCGAATCACTGAGAATGTTCTCGCAAGTGAACATGAGAGAGAACGGCAACAACTTCTACAACAACAACAGCAGCAACAACAACAGCAGCAGCAGTCCCTACAACAACAAAAGTTACGACAATTCTACGACAACGCAGTCCAGTTTTCGACCAATGTTGCGGCCGCCAGAGTTTGGTCTCATCATTAATGGACACAGTTTGGTTTGTCAATGCAAATTCCATTCATTTGTTCATTTTTTTTATTAAATTGATTCAAACTAATTAAGATGATAGGCTGTTTGAAACGTTGTCCGATCGGACAAACTTTCTGGTAGATAGCAATATAACAGTATATTACCAATTATATATCTATTAAACTCAACTATTTAAACTGTTCAAAATTTTCATACATAACTGACAAAAACAACGTAGACCCACGCCTTGAAGCCAGAATTGGAATTGTTATTGCTGGAAGCTGGCTGCATGTGCAAGGCGGTCATCTGCTGTCGGGTGACGCCGCTTCAGAAGGCGCTTGTAGTCAGTCTCGTCAAGAAGCACAAGAAGTCCGTCACCCTATCCATTGGAGATGGCGCTAATGACGTCAGCATGATTAAAAGTAAATTAATTTCGGGGTTTCAGTTTATTATTTTGAAGTTTAATTCAGATGAGTTATTTATAACCATTTCAACCATTTACATTACAAGCGTCGAAACGTTTTTTTAACTCTTCAATAAACCCAACTCCTTATTCATCCAACAACTGATGGACTTTATGTTCGATCTGCTTTATTTCTGTTACGTGCATGCATTCACACCTAACTGCTTGTTTGGACATTTTGATTTTAAAAATACTCAACACATAGTGCACTAACTAATTTCTAATTCTTCTTGTTTCCAATACTGTTTAGTATTTTTCTTATTTCTATTATTGTCTATGCTTTTTGTATTAATCTATCTTCTTATTGAAAAAATCAATTACCAACCAATCAATCAAACAAACAACCAACCAATCAAACAACCAACCAATCAAACAACCAACCAACCAATCAAACAACCAATCAAACAACCAACCAACCAATCAAACAACTAATCAAACAACCAACCAATCAAACAACCAACCAACCAGTGGCGCACATAGGCGTAGGTATCAGTGGTCAGGAAGGAATGCAGGCAGTTCTGGCTAGCGACTACTCCATAGCCCAGTTCAGATTCCTGGAACGATTGCTGCTTGTACACGGGAGGTGGTCTTATTTGAGGATGTGCAAGTTTCTCAAGTTCTTCTTCTACAAGAATTTCGCATTCACCCTCTGCCATTTTTGGTTTGGTTTCTACTGCGGATTTTCTGCACAGGTGATTATTACCTCTTTGGTGTCTGTTCTTTATTTTGTTTCGGTTGTCCACTTAAGACAACAGTAGAATTTTACACGTATGAGTGTAGTTTTTTTTTAAACTTTTTCGTTCAAAACTGCTCTAAACAAATTTATTTTAAACAACTACCAGACCTTGTACGACCCATTCTTCATCACATTCTACAATGTCTTCTACACCTCACTGCCTATAATGGCTCTTGGATTCTTTGAACAGGTATTGTAATATTAATAGTTTTGTTATTAATAATAATTATATATAATAATAATTATAATTAATATTTATTTATTTATTAAATTGTGACATAACAAAAGGATGTTAATGAGAAATTGAGTCTCCAGTACCCGAATCTATACAAGCCTGGCCATCTTAATCTTTTCTTCAATAAAAAGGTTTCGTACGTTTTGTTATACTTAAATTTTGGTTATTTAATTTTGATTGTTTGATTTCAAATTTTCGGTAATTTAATGTTTGTCATTTTTATGTTTGCCCATTGGTGATGATTTTTTTTAAAAACCTTTTTTTTCATTTTTAACTAAACACATGATGTTTTGGCGTCTGCAGGATGTAAGATAATAATTAAAATGTATTTTATTGAACTGGTTGTGTGGTATTTTTAAGTGTGGGCTAAAGGCACCAAGTATACCCATTCATTCACCGTCCTTTCTCTTTCTCTCTCTCTCTCTCTCTCTCTCTCTCTCTCTCTCTCTCTTTCTTTCTTTTTTTCTCTCATTTTCATATCTTTCCCATCTTTCCTCTCTCTTTCTCTTTTTTCTAGTTTGTTTTTCTCTAAATGTGTAAATTATGTAATTTGTTAGCTTTTTCAACCGTTACCTTGTTATAATTGTATATTTGTGCTTTGTTAAATACATGCAGACGTTAAAAATGTGTATAGGATATAGATTATATGGATTATATGTAGAACATCCAGCGATATTTATCAATAGATATAGTGTTGGTATCGGTTAAATTGTGATTGTATTGTGGGTGTTTTATGGATAAGTGAATGAGTAGGTGGCTAAATAGCTACATGATTCAATATCACGCACTCCTCATAAATATATCTCTCTTATCTCTTCTCTCTTTTTCTCTTTCTCACTCTTTTTCTTTTTAACTCTCTCTTTCTCTCTCTCTTTCATTCTCTCTCTCTTTCTCTCTTATGTGTAATAAAGATATGTATTTCATACGTTCTTTGAAATTTTAATAGGTAGAAACAGGTAGAAAAAATGTTAGGTATTGATGAAATTTGAAATTTTTCAAGATTTTTCATTTAAAATGTTTTCTGCTTGATCTCACTTGAGTAATTTTAGGGTGTTTTTCTCATTCTTCAAAACATTTTGTCTCCGTTATTTTCCATTTAACTGTTCATTGACGAAAATGTTGTTACACATAACCTACAAAAGCACACACACATATCTTTACATTTTTATATAAATACAATAAATACACAAACATTTACACACAAAAACGTACAAACGTTCAATAATCCCACACAAACCGATGAACATACACTTTCAAACCCACACGTACACACACAACACACACACACACGTACACACACACACAATACACACACACGTACACACACACACAATACACACACACGTACACACGCACACGTACACACACATTAAGATATTCTTGCAAAGTGTCCTTGAAGGATTTCTGACGTCACTGGTCTTATTCTTCGTCCCGTATGGAGCCTACCAGGACGCCATTGAGCCGAATGGTTTGGACGTTTCGGGACATAAATCGTTCGGTCTCGTCGTAGCTTCTTGTCTCATTGTCTCTGTCACATTGAGAGTGAGTGTGTGAATGAGTTGCAGGTTGAGAATGATTGCATTCATTTGAAGGTTAGGCGTTGAAATTAGCTGGGCTGTTGGGTATGACATGCAAGGCGATTTGGTTGGAAAGTTCGGACTTTTGACAATTTTTTGTTCACTTTTTCAATTGTCCGTACTTGGTCACTCACTCACACGCACACGCACACACACGCAAACACCTACACTCATTTCATTCTTCAAATAATTGATAATTGAACTGCCACTACTGCAGTGCGGCCTGGACACGATGTATTGGACTGGATTCAATCACTTCGTAATCTGGGGCAGCATCATCTTCTTCTTCGTCTTCACTACCATCCTCTACCTGGAGGCCTTCAATTATTCATACTCCGGAGTGGTGGCTACTGTGTGGAGCACAGCCACCTTCTGGTTTACTCTGCTCCTTACTGTCATCATCGTTCTTACGACTGTTGTTAGTCTTGTAACGCTCGTTAACGTTGTTGTTGCTGACGTTGTCTCTTTGTTGTTGGAAATGCCGTTTATGAAGGGCTGTTGCTAATCTATCAATTCAACAACTGTTACATTTGCAAAGGTTGCAGAAAGGTTCTACTTCATCGACACCCGACCAACACTCGTCGACAAACTCCGCTACCACCAGAAGATCGGACAGTTGAAGGTCAAAGTTCGAAAACCGATCATCATTAGGAGGGCATCAACGACGAGGAGGAGTCAAAGGTCAGTTGGACGAACGGGCTACGCATTCTCTCATCAGCAAGGCTTTGGAGATTTGATAACCAGTGGATCCATCATGAGGTTGGCTGGGCTTTCAATCAATCCTCTCAGTAGAGAATCACTTTTTGATGGCTTTTTCCATATCATTTTTTACTTTCTAATTAAAATCCTTCTATCAAAGTATAAGTAATATTTTTGTTTCGAAATAATTTATTTCTTGAGTATGAGTGGGTTGTTTATGAAGAAAATTTGAAAATTTTGAAACTTTTCAACTCGATGACAGACGCAAGCCGAAGCCCAACAACATTCTCCCCACCCCGCGTAAGGACAGTGCCTCCCTTGTTGGATTCACCGACCTTACAGGAGGAATAAACGCCGCTGTCGCCGCGCCCAACGCGAGTCGCATGTCCATCACATTTGAAAACATTCAGGAAGAGGCCAACGACGAGAGCATGAAACAGCAGCAACCACAACAGCCACAACAGACACAGCCACATCAACTTCAACAGCAGCAGCAGCAACTACAACAACAACTAAGAAATAAAAAACGTCAAGAAGAGCTTAGGTTGCAGCTACAAGAGGCCCAGATAAATAGGTCTTCCAATTATTCTCCTGCCAGCCAAGCAATTGTTGTTGATGATAATCCAAGAACTAGTGGTAGCAGTAGTAGTAGTAATAATAATAACAATAACAACAACAATAATATTATTAATAATAATGACAATAATATTGGTAATAACAATAATGGTAGTAGTAGTAGTAACGCTAACGAGTCACGTGATGGTACCTCGGATCCATCAAATAATGAACGGACAAGAAAGAAAAAACGAAAATCAGTTGAAATTTAGAAATTTAATATTTTATTCATTTATTAATCAATTTGTTCATTCTTTTATTCGTTCATCTCTTCTTTTATTCGTTCGTTCATACATTCGTTCTTTCTTTCTCATTTTTATCATAATTTCTTTTCAATATTCAAGATCATCCATATATCAACCCATTCATCATTCATTCATTTTTTTTATTCATCCATTTACCCATTCATTCGTTCATCATTTCATTAATTCATTCATCAATTCATTCATTTAGTTATCCATTCATTCATTTATTAATTCGTTCGTTCGTTCATTCATTCATTCATTAATTCGTTCGTTCGTTCATTCATTCATTCATTCATTCACTCTTCAATTGCTTTTGCAGTGACCCGATCCCATCATAAAGAAGATCACCGCTTATTACATGATATGTGTTATACACCTTGTTTCACGTGTATTTACATGCTCTGTGTGTATCTCTTGTTGTTGGTGCCTTTGAAAAATATAGGAGAGAGAGAAAGTTGTAATAAAGTTTTTTAATAAAAAAATTATGAAATAATAAATTAATGGTTATTATTATTATTAATTATTTTTTTAATTATAGTGTCATAGGGCTTTTTTTAATTATTCAGCTGATAAAACAATGGTGTTATTTTCATTCATTTATTTTATTATTTATTTCATTATTAATAAATTAATTTAATTATTTTTAGTTTATATAAGTATAACAAGTTTTTTTATAATTTGCTCAACACGTATTCTTTTTTTACAATGTAATTATTTTTTCATTAAATAACGGAAATTCTTTTTTTGCAATAATTTCTTTTCAATATTCCTAGATCTCATAACATTATTAATACATTTATGGCTGACTTTTACTGGGGTTCTTTACGATAAATTCTGCGAAATTAACAAAGTCCATAATGCTAATTATCCGATTATACTGCTTGTAATTCTTGGAAGAATTATCTTAAATATTGATATTTTAAATCGATAACTGAATTTATGAGCTGCTTCATCTACTACAATGTCATTTTTTTCATTTCTCATTACGACAAGAATGGTGTGTGTGTGTATGTGTGGTGTATGTGTGTGTAGGTGAGGTGTGTGTCTATAGGTGTGATGTATGTGTGTGTATGTGTTAATTCTTTAGCAATTTCATGTCAGTGTCACCGTAATAATCTAACCAAAAAAATGGTCTAAATTTTTCAATCAATTTTTTCTGTTATTTATAAGCATTTCTGTCCAATTACACGGTCTTTTGTCATTTGATCTTGGTTTTGACCTTAATCTGATTTAATTTGATCTTAAAGGTTGGTTAAATAACAGCATGATCATTTTTAAGCTGTACAATTTTGTACCTTTTTATATGGATCTTGAAAATAATTAAAACCTTGTTTAACAAATAAAATTTTTTTTAAATTTATACAAAACAATTATATATATGTATACAATGCGTGTTGGCTGTTATTTAGCTGCTAAACTTTGTTATTATCATGAAATATTACATAGAAACTATTTTATTTCTATCATACTTAACTATCTATATAACAATGAAGTATAAATTAGAATCAACTTATTTTAATGCACAGCTTTTAGAAGATTTTTTCATGTTTTTATATATATATATATTGCACTTAATTTTATTGTGCTGAGCTGACTGACTGTTTAATATGTTAGCTTGCTGAATCCAATGCTAAGCAAGTATTTGAAGTGAAGATTTTTGACAAAGATTATTGACAAAGATTAGTGAAGGTTCATCTTTTAATAAAAACTTCTGCTACTATTTTTATCCTTTTTTTTATAAATCTTCCTTTTCTTTTGCTGGTAAAAAAAACTTACTTTAAAAGCAAATCGCCTTACACGCAATGAAGCCTGCAAAAATACAAACACGAATATTAAATACGCACATACACGGGTACTGTACACTCACACGTACATACACTTATACAAACACGTACATATAGAAAACACAGTCTTCACAAGATTTGCATACATCATTTACACACACACACGCATGTGTTAACCAAATTACTTATTGATGTGTAATATAGCTATAGACATTTATATATATATTTATATGTATATATATATATATATATATATATATATATATATATATCTATATATATGTTACAACTGCATTGTTAACTTATTCATTCCATACTTTTTTCTTTATAAAATAGATGCGTGTGTGTCATGTATGTGTGTGTGCGCGCGCGTGTGTGTGTGTGTGCGTGCGTGCGTGTGTGGTTTTGTGGGTGCGTATCTTATTGCTGAGAAAATCCATATTATTCTTCTTCCTGTTGCAAAATTGAAGCAATATTCGATATAGGACGTTGTATGTACAATACATTTTGTCAAACATACTTTGATTGCATTTTTTGTAAAATTATTATTATTTTGTAAAATTATTTTTATTTAATATTGTTCATTATATACACTATTTATTATATATATATATATATATATATATATATATATATATATATATATATATATATATATATATAGTACAATACTGCTATTAATATTATGTATTTTATTTAAAAATACAATGTATATATGTTTATCTCCTATGTATAATATATATACATATGTAATGTATATATACATACTTATTTACGTATGTTTGCAAAAGAATATACGGTTGTGTAATTTTCAATTATCACTGTTTATATAGCATTTTTGGTTATGATGTCATCGTTACGCACTTTCATCATTCCAGTAATTTTGTTTGGATGTGTAATCATCTTCCGTCCATTGAGATATATTCATTCATTCATTTATTCGTTCGTTCATTCATTCATTTTTTTATTTATGATTTTAATTATTTTATTTATTTTTTTTGCATAAATTCGTTAATTTATGAAAACTTATGTAAATCATTTTTTTTTAAGAGTTACACTATTGCTCCGTCTAAACGTACATTTTTAATATTTAATGAAAAATTTGAAAAACTTGAGTTGGGCTTTTATTTAATCAATCAATCAAACAAACAATCAATTAATCAATCAATCAATCAATCAACCAATCAATCAACCAATAAAACAAATAATCAAACAAGAATCAACCAAACAATCAATCAAACAACCAATCAACCAAACAATCAATCAAACAACCAATCAACCAATCAATTAAACAACCAATCGATCAACCATTAAGGACACAGACGTTTGGTTCAACTGTTAGTTTAAATCGTTCATAAGTCTGGAAAAATGCCGTAGAAACCAGCTATTCAACCTTTGCAATTGCAAAATTTATGTTTACTGCGACAATTATATTTTTTAAATGTCAACTTGCAACCACATGATAACAAACTCAATGAGGTGTTTTCTTCAGGATACTGAACCGATCACCTCAGCAAGATATGAAAGTCGTCGGAATGCAAAATTCAAGTCAGGACACGGGCGAGTAGCGTTACCACTGCAACTGATTACAGCAAATAAATAAAAATGATGACCATTTCTAAAATGAGGCGCAACTCAACCGATAAGAATGATACAAATTAATTCGAAAATATGACGTCATTCAAGGAGGTAGTGGTTATTGCTCTATTACTAATGGTATAATCTGACGTATAATATAGAGGTTCTCACTTGAAAATCTTACCCTTCTCCTACTTGTTACTTCTTTAATTTTATCTAGGATTGATTCTATTGTAACTCCGCTCTACTATGGTCTTAGTGATTCTACTTCTATCCTTTAAGTGAATCTTTTAACACTGATGTTCGTCTAGTTGCCGTGCCCCTTTCTTTTCTCATATATCTCCATATCTTGTTCTCTTGCACTGGCTACTTATAAAACATAATAAGTTTTTAAATTTGCACATTTATGTATAAGTCTTAATCTAAAATCTTTCCTAAGTACTTATCAGACATATTAATTGAACCTAAACGGTTTACGATCGTCTTCTTGTTCTCGCTTCTTCTTAACTCGTGTTAAACACTCATGCTAAATCTGCTTTTGCTTTTTTCTTGCCCTTTTCTCTGGAACTCTATACCTCCTTCTCTAACTACTTCTCCGCCACTTACAAAATTCAGAGCGGATCTCAAGACCCATCTGTTTGCAAAATTCATTGAGGAGCGCTGTTGAACATTGCGGAAATAGCGCTTTATAGACTAATTGATTGAATGGTTGATTGATTGAATAAGTATTTATTTTTTTCCCAAAATAATTATTTTATTAGTTTCATGTCTATTGTCGTGAGCGATAATAAAAAGTTAGTGTACACCTTAATATCGTTCGGTTGCTCTGTTTTGGTTCAAGGGTTTTTTTTAGTTAAAACTAGAAATTTAGTATTTCTAATTTTAGTGAAACGGTCGCATATTATTGAAATATTTTTTTAGATGTTAATTTGTTCGAAATGGGTTCTTATTTTGAATATTTTCTTTCCTTTTTAACGTACACTAGTAAGTTTTTTTCATTTTTTTAACAAATATTTATGTTACTAAGATGTTTTTATCCATGGTTACGTAACAATTAACATTTATAATATACTTTTTTTATCCATTTCGATTTTGTAAATAATTTTTCACGGTGGAGTTGACTGGTCTTGCTGTAGTGTAGTGTAGTTAATAGTCTTTTTTTTTAAATTTTAGTTACTAACTTTGCTTTCTTCCATCCACTCCCAAGGTAGATCTGCTGAGACAAGGAGATATCTTTCAATAATTACAGTTCTCTTGTTGCTGGCTGTGGTCATCAGGTAAAAAAATTAACATTTAATGTATATATATATGTGGTCATCAGGTAAAAAAAATAACATTAATACATGCCATACACATACATACATATATATGTATAAATTTCTGTAATCTGCAAATCTAATTAGTAGTGTTATATGTTTTATGATAATTCTTAATTTAAATTTTAAAGTTATGAAATTTCTCAAGCTGCTTAGCTGCCAGTGAAAAAGTTTTATCTGTTTTCTACATTTTGTTTAATGTAACTATGTCTAAGATAAAAAGATCTGAAATTATATAACTTTATTTTAATTATTGAAATTAATTATATTTTTATTTGTAACTGGTTGTCATATTCAGTTATTTAGGCCAGGTATTCATTGGATTTATTGACTGTTTTACAGAAAAAGAATAAAACTTTTACACAATTTTTAGTTTAGGTCTAGTCTATTGTTCTAAATTATTAATTCTATATTTAAATTAGATTTAAAATTGTAAATGAAATAATACTTTAAAAACAAAACAGATCTTATGTAAAAACAAAAGTGAACTGCTGGTTTTGCAACTCGAATGCGTATGTGCCTTATCATAGAAAAAATAGTTGGATCTGTCCAAAATGCCAGCAATACAATGGATTCAATTCTGTGTGTTTTTGAAAAGATATTTTAAATCTTTTTTAAGATCTATTTTCAATAACTTGAGAAACATATTTATTTAACTGCATTATTATTGTTATTAAACCATTTGTTTTACACATATTGATGACTTTTTTTCATTTAAAATAAATTAATTGTCATAGAATTCAATTCTGGTTGTCTTTAATTTAATGATTATGATAGGTTTTCTGAATAATTTGTCCACATTAGAGATGAGTTAAGAATATAATTTAGTGTATTTTGCAGCAAAATAACATGTTTTGTTATTTTACCAAAAATGTTTAAAAACATTTTTTTCAGGATGGTGATTACAATCATGTTATCGAGGACCAATACTCGAGTAGTAACAAAAAATTGTACACAAAGTACAGTAGAAATGATGGCGTGAAGTTGAGATCAAGTAACTTGCTGTGTGAGAAGTGCAACAAGGAGCAAGAAAGAAAGATTAAACAGTTGAAATCCTTCAATCCTCTTGATGATGGTGTTAGTGAATCATTTTTTTGTTAGATTTTAATTATTAAAATGTTGGTCAAAATTTTAAAATTTATTGTTAGTTTCTATAATTATTAGTGACAGGATTATCATTTAGAATTGTTACATTGTCGATGAAGCCTTGTAGTATTATTCATGATGATATGAACTTCCTCATAGCAACTAAACTTTTTTAATGATTTTGTATTTTGAAGAAGTTTTTAAAGAATTAAGAGATAAAATTTGTTAAAGTTATCATTGAAATACCCGATTTCACTAGGCAAAATATGACAACCAGTTGGCAGAACTGAAGGAAAAACTTGAATCTGACCATGCATTGTGCTCTCAATGCTCAATAAATGTTGAAAATTATTTGCAAAGACAAGATGAATTCATCAACGCCATGTACAATTACAACAACAACAACAACAAAAACAATACTGACAAACAATTTCATCAAACAATGTTTTATTCATCTCTTTATAGCAACAAGAACCAAGAATACAAGAACAACGACAACAAATACAATAACATCAATGACTTTGACAAATATAACATCAGTAATTACGTTGACGATAATTATACTAATTATAATTATAATATATTTAATAATTTTAGTAACCTTAATTTCGTTGGTGGTGATAATTTTGGAAAGTCTCCAAAAAGCTCAGGTTTCTCTTACCCATATCCAACTGAATGCAGCTTATCTTCATCCGATAAAAAAAATATGAAAAATAAAAAATCGTTATCAAATATGCACAATATTGATAAGCCTTGTCAAAGGTATTGTATTAAAAGTAGTAAGACATCTCGTTTGTATAATAACATACAATCATGTCTACAATACATGAAGTATCGTGTTTATACTGACTTTAATGTTAAAATTATAAATGTTGAAACCATCAAAATGTTAAAAAAGTTTAAAAATATCATGATAAACATCATACATGTTTTAACGTCTGCAATTTTATTGAAACTCTCTCTACTAGCTCTGTTGTTTATTTTTTGGGATTGCAACGTTTTAAGTTATTCGATCTTGTTAACGAAAGTTAGTGGCTATAAATGGTTGAGTGAGTTGCTGGTACTTCTATATGAGAATGATGATTTGGTCCTTATCGCTGGAAACGTCATCAATTCCGTTGTAGAGATTTTTAAAAGGAGGAGGTTTCTAGTTTTTTAATATTTTATATTATTTATAATTATCTGTATTGCTTACTGATTTTTAATTTTCTTGTAAAAAGGGTTAAAATTGGATTTAGAAACATTTTAAATGGTGTTTATTTCATTCTTGTATTTATAAATTATGTTATTATATTAATTTGTAAAATTATATTTTGGCAAATTTTTTTTCATAAAGAACCAAATCAGACATATTGTCGTCATTTCTCTGGGTTATGACAATGTTCCTCATACACAACTCAGACACTATGTTCTGTGCTACTAACGTTAAAGTTATTACCAGACTCCTGGCACTAACCTTGATATCATCAAACTCTGTACTCTCATTTTTTAAGCTGGCAGAAGCCGTTAAATTCGTTTACGCACCAAAGATTAGTAAATTCAATCACTTTGGGTAGGTTTGTTTCTATTGTCTATGTGTAACTAGTTTTTTTTTTCTATTTATTTTACAAAATTAAGTTAAGGTTTTATTTTTTGCTAGTTGTGCAATTCTGAAAAAGGCAGGGTTGATTTCTAAATACTATTTATCAAGTTTATCAAGCAATATTTCTGTTTAGGTATATATCCACATGATACAGCATTACTGTCGTGTTTTGAATATATGTAGTCGTGTATGTATGCCTTGTGTGCTATATCACATGCATGAAGACGTTGTTATGTTAATTTTTGAGATTTGAAACCATTGGCACTTAAATTATGAATTTATTGAGGTGGTTATTGGCCTATGTTCATTACACGTACCTACCTATGTCCTTGGTTAGCTGTTTGATAACAGGTGCCCACTGCATGATGTTTTTGATTTATTAGTAATATTTTAATTTGTACTTGATGAAAACTTTAATATTCTTATTTATATTTTCAAAATATTTGTTTAATTTACCACAGGAATACGTGCAACTATAAGAATTTGTTTGAAAAGTATAGTACTCCACCTACAAATGTAGCAAATAACAGTGTGTCTAAAAGCAGTGTACTCACAAAAGATATTGGTTGTGAGGGTGGAGATGATGGTGAGGAAGATGATATCGTAAATGATTCTGGTAAAAAATTAAATTCACTTCGATTGTCTTCTGGGGGTAAAACAAATCTCTTCAAGTCAGAGAATAGTAAGAGTATTTGGCGACTTAGCCTAAGTCTTATTTTTTCCAAATTGCTTTAATGTTTGTTTAATTACCCATGACAAATCATTTAATGCTTCATTGCGGTTATCTGTCAAGAGATGTTTTGATAAATTCTTTGAAAATTATTTGATAAAATAATAATTACTTTTATTAAAGAATATATATCTAACAATTGATCACACAAATTTTTAGATAAATTCAGATTCTTTGACCAGCTGTTAGATGCAAGCGAATTGATAACAAAGCTGAATTCAACGTCGTCATCGTCATCATTCTACTCTGCCTCCTCATCGTCGTCGTCATCATCCTCACCGTTATCATCTGTTAATGTTAACAAACCTTTGATCTTACCAGCGAGATTTCTACCTAACCATCCTGTGAAGCAGAAATGTGATGACAGTTTTTTAAATATTAAAAGCGAGATCAAATGTTAAAAAATTATTTATATTCACGTAGAATGATACTTCTTTAAATCGAATAATTGTATAATAGCAATTGAATGAAAATTTTTTGTTGCATTCATTATTCTGATCTGACTTGTTTTTTACCTGTCTTTCCATTATTTAATGGTATTAACTATGTTATATTTAAGCTATATTTAACATGAACATGTTAAATGAAAATTTATTTTTATATCAATGATGTAGTAACAGCAAAGATAGATAAGAAAGGATGGATTTTTGATCTGATGTAAAATAATTATATATCGATATTTGTATTTATAGGTGCTCTCATGTATTTTAGTCTGGTTAGTCAATTATCAGAATATTGTATTATAAGTGAAATGAAATTAATTTTATTAGGATGACATTTTGCGTTTCAATTAATATATTTAATCGTTATATTTGGTCGTGGTGTTATTTAAGAAACTTTTTAAATACCCGTCGTTGGTCTGTGATTAATATTTTTAATAAAATCTTGTCATTCGTTTTGACTTAAACTTTCAAAAGTTTTTTGAAAATCTTAAGGGAGAATAAACTGAATAACAATTTTGGACAGAATAAAACTTCGTCAAACAGTTGTAGATTTGTAAAGGTAATTAAATTTATAAACAGTTTAAATCGAACACAAATGATTACTATTAAAAAGTTGAAGCTTCTTTGAATTGAAACAGAACCAGAAGAAGATAGTGAAAAAAATGTCAAAATTCAGGTATGAAATGATTGAACAAAGGAAGAACGCTGTTTCAAGTTAGTAGAAATCATCCATCAGTTCGGATTCAAGTCCGTTTAACAGGTCTTCAACTTTATCTGCAAGTATTTAAAAAATGTGGATACGCTTTTAAAATTTTATTTGGTATTAAAATTAATTTTATGATTGCTTAACAAGAATATTTACAATGGAGTTCATTATCGAAGTATGTAACGAAATAGTAACGTTTAGATTGTAAAGTACCAAACCTTCACTGTTAGTTCTTTCAATTGGAACCATCCTATCTAAAAAGTTGCTGTTGGATTGAAGCAGTGGTGAGAAATTATTTGCATCTTGTGTGTCATTCATCGTATCAGGGAGATAGTGAGGACGTGGTGAGGGAGGCCTGGTTATTAGTGAAACCTGTGTGTCGAAGATGTTCTGACTTTGTGATGGAGTGACGTCATCGTGCGCTGATGAAAATAAACTTTGTGTTGATGTATTGTAATCATTCTTATTAAAAAAAAATGTAGATTTTGATGTTTGTGAGGTCGTTTGTTGTCTAGCAGCAGACGATGATGAATCATTGACTGGATTACAACCGCTTGATTTTAACCTTCCATCTGATTCTTTCTTAAGAAATGTTGATTGAGTTGACGGGTTTTTCAACACAGGAACAACAAATTTCGGTCTTTTGCTCTGACTTTTTGTAATCTGACTTGAACTTCCATCGTGTGAACTGTGTTTGATTGGTCTTTGTACATTTGAACCAATACATGCGCTCGTGTTCATGGAGGTGGTTGTGTCAAAACAGGTATTTGTGACGGTATTAGTAGTTATGGTACAATCGTTACTGGAATGTTGCATGTATGGACTAGCTGAAAGCTGTAAAGTTGGCGTTTGTTCGTTGCTGGGAGAGTTAATTTTAAACAAACTGTCAAAATTATTAGATTTTTCAACAGCACTTACACTGTTTCTATCGAAATTTTTGGTGTTTCTCTTATCATTATTATTATTGCTCTTATTATCATTGTCTTTATTATTTTTGTTCACATTATTTTCAACATTAGCGATATTATTAACATTAATACCGGCGCATCCATTATTAAGACCATTACTCACATTATTATCATTATTATTATCGTCATCATCTTCAATGATATCATCAAGGCCTAGATCGAAGTTACTCACGTCAAACATGGACTCATCGACTTCATTAACTTTATCACCACATTTATTATTTCCACCATTATTCGAATCATCATTATTTGCACTGTCAACTTCATTATCGTTTTCACCATTTTTGAAATTAGCATCGCCAGTCGCGTCAACATTATTACTATTATTGTCGTAATTAGTTTTATTCTGATTGCTATCAGTCAGTTCATTTAAATTGATGCCATCCATATCATCTTCCAGTATCCAATCATCCAGTATCTCGGGTGGGGTGTCGTATTCGATGCTGACATCATTGTTGTTGTCGTTTGTCATGTTCGATACACTAATTCTGTCGTTATTGTTACTGGCGTAGTTAATGTTAATATTAACATTATTCATGTTACAACTGTTGTTAATATTATTATTACTACTACTATTACTGTTACTACTGCTGTGATTGTGATTAATGTTACTGCCATAGCTTGTACTACAACTCAGATTAATACAGCACCTGTTTTTAGTAGTAGCAGTAGTAGGAATATTGCTATAAGTATAATTACTTTTACCGCTAGTACTGCTACTGTTATTATTATTGTAACTGTTTGTATTATTATTATTATTGTTGTTGTTATTATTATTATTATTCTTAATATTCCACCCAGTGGTAACATTTATTGGATTGCAATTTTTCTGATTGATAGTAGCCACAAAGGTTGCAGGTATATCCTTAAGACAGCCGACGTCCCACAGGACATGGTTAGTGGGCATGCCAATAATTCCGCTGGGATTATCTCCAACTTCACCCTCGTACTCTGGGGATTTTATTATCCTCTCGATGAACTTGTACAAATCTGAAAAATTGTCATCCTGAATTTTCGTAATGGTCAGGCCGTTAGTGAAAGTGGGCATGTGCCCGGGAATGTAACTGCTGGTGTCCAGAGGTCTGGAGTATATCCTAATCAAGTTATTTGGAGTTAGGTTGAGATAACATTTTCGACTGTATTTCGGGTAATAAACGGCCACCTAGTGAAGTGAAAGTTTTGTAAGGTATTAAATAGTCGTTGAGGTAGATTGTGGGGTAAAATAATCAAATTTTTAATTAAAAAAACAATTAAAGGTGATCCTAAACATGCAATCAACCAGTTTATAATCGATCAGTCATTCAACTAACCTGTTTCATGATCATGACGCAGCCGACATGAATCTTATCAGCGTAGTCATCGATGATCTTCCTGTGGACAGCTCCCTGGAGGGTTCCAGAGGGATCTTTAAGGTAGATTGTGGCATCATCTGCATGCTTCGTTATGCTCTCCACCATGGCACACACCACGGGTACTTTATAATTTGGCAGAAGGTTGTTCTTTACCTTAGTTTGTGGTTCAATCATGTTAACCCTACATTTACAAACATATGTTGTACACAGAGAGAGAGGGAAACAAAGAAAGAGAAATAAGAGAGAAAGAAAGATCAAGAGAGAAGATAAAAAAGTAGGATATGGAAACAAAATAAAGAGGAAAACTAATAACACAAACACAAAGTAAACAAGCAGCAGTACCCTCTTATAAACAGTGGACAGGGAGAATCTGTCAAGAAGATGAAAGAGAGCAGGACAGACGTCGTCAAGGTCAGAGATGGCAGCCGTCCATAGGGAGCTTGAAAATGAGCATTTGTCATCCAGTTGTGACGCCAATGCTTGTGATTGTGACTGATGCTGCTGCGTGCTTGAAAGACCAACACTGCTGTCACTGCTTTTGTTGTGGCTTGTTAAAGTAGCAACTGCTTTAGTGCCCTTTTTTGAAATGATATTTTAATAAATTAACAGTTTATACAGCATTTATAGTTTATTTTACAAAGCAATCTTAGCCACTTTTTTCTGATTAATTATCAATAATTATAAAAATTTAGTTTAAATGAAAAAAGTATCTACTATTTTTAGAGAAACATCATCAATGTTCTGGCCAGGGCTCTGTCATTGTAGAATTTATACTTTAATATTTGGTTTGAAATAAAAAAAATAATAGGAAAAAAGAAATGAAGAATAATATCAAAAAAAAAAAAATATTAAACTAAATTGTACCAGCTTCGGAAGAGTACCAGCTGGACCTGGAAACTTTCTTCGAACTTTATTATTTTCTGTAGATGGCATTTTATGGAATATGCTGTCTGATAATAGTGAAGAATGTTTATATTATACTAGTTTTATTCATGTTTTATCTAATCATAAATTTATTTGCGATTATTGAAACATTGTTTAGCCTTTTATGATTAATCACCTATAACTGAAATGGCCAAATCAGGTAACAATTAAAATGAATGACTACTATAACAACGAATCATCATGATGAAAAAATGTTTGCAAGAAGTAAAAGGGTTAAACAAAATAGAATTTATAAAACCTTTTGATTTCCGAGCCATAGTGCCAAGCACAAAATTGAAAAGTCCGTTAACTTCAGCTCCTGATCTTGAACTGCTATTATCATCAGGCCTCTTGCTAGATGTTTGTGGCAAACTACTCAGATTTGAGTGTTGAATCCTGTTATTAGAGTTAGTATTACAACTATGGCTTTGGGGGTTGTAAGGTTTATTGAAAGCATGTGATTGGTTCCTATTTTTACTACAACTGCTTTCACCGAAACGTGATGTTGATGATGACTGCTGTTGTTGATCATTGTTGTTAATCAATACCACATCACTCAAAAAATTTGCAGATGAATCAACATATCGATCAAATAATGATCCAGTTTTCAATAAAAAATTTTCAGGCGATTTATTCAAAGGGTGGTCGTCTGCATCTGACAACCTGGTACAGGTTGTGGGGCTATTATTAAATGGCGTTTTGTTGTTTATTATATTCAGAATATTTTTCATGGAAGTTTGCTTTTCCTTGTTGGATATCAAATATTGTGGTGGTTGTGGCTGTTTAAAAAATCCGACATTTTCATTAGTACCACTGGCCGACGAAAAAAGGTTTTCTTCACTGAAATCGAAATGTGAATCCAGATCGGGTGGTTCCACTTTAAACAAGTCTGACACGTCATCTCGTTTCTCAGAGATTGATCGCAATTTATCAAAATCGTTAGACAAATTAAACATTTTGCGGATGTTCAAGACGTTAACTTTTTATCGAGAAAAATTGAAGACAAAAGTATTTAAATTTCGCTCACAAAGTTTATTACATTTTAGGTCCAGAGTTTTCGTCCCTTTTCAAATTTGGATGACCGAACAATGAAAGGACCGAAATGTTGGTCAACGTAATAGTTGTTGTGTCTAAAAGTGATTGGTGGTCTCCAGGCAGCGAACATTTGAAAAAGGACTGAATAAAATCAACCTACAACTTAATTCTCCAAACTTTCACTAGGTTTGTGTCACTTTATTTCAATAAGTATTGGTTTTATTTTACTAATTATTTTTGTTATTTTATTGAATGTCATTTTTATAATGTTGATGTTATAGTTAATAGTTCTTAATTAGTTAATTAGTTTTCCTTTTAAAATGTTAGATCTGATTTGCTCATCTGGGCTAACAAAAATAATTTGGGTGCCTATGCTAACCAATCCTCTTTACACTTACTCTTTCTATTTCTTTGAATTTGAACGTTTATATTATAAAACTTTACTTTATTATACGTTTTTCTGATAAATTATTCCATTATCCTTTAAATTAAATTTCAGCTGGTTTTTTGAATAAAGAGTGAAGAGTTGCAGAGGCTGAGGTAAAACTCAGAAAGAAATCATCATTGCCACAACAAATCAAGTTTAATTTTGAATGCTTTTCTGAAATGCTTTGTAAGCAGAACTTGATTGCACTGTTTATCATATCATTTTCTTCTCTCCATGAATTCACTGAGGCTGTGAAAGTGTTCAAAAATACTTCTGAATATTGTGACATCTGCAGGCACATCTCTGAAAAGTTTGAAGAGGTGAAGTCTTGGAGATATTTTGAGCCCATTTTTTTTTCAGATTTTTTCATAAAAGTGGTTCTAATAGTTATTGCTTCTTTTTACTTACTTACAACTTATATACATTTCTTCTCAACAAATGAAATACAACTGTGCTTTGCTTTGTTGGCAAAAGAACAAAATGTAAGGTGCATACATGTATATACCTTACATTAATCAATTAATGTATTTCTCAAATGCTTCAAAAACTAAGTTGACAAAAAAATTTACATATTCTTTATTAATCATAAAATTGTGTAGGGTATAAAAAACACAGCAAGGTCTAATTTTGGGGGTGGAAATACTAACTGGGAAGAGAGGAGTTTAGGAAAGTATGGGCAAAGGTTAGACTGATTATATTTAGTATTTAGTTTTGTCTAGTTATTGAAATTAAAATATTAAGTTTGTTAATGAAGTTATAATCTTACTTATTGTAAATTAATAATTTTCATGATTGATTTCATTTTAGTGAAACAAGGTTAGTTGAAATTTTAGAGTCCTGTTGTGATGGCCTTGATGATAAAACTGCCAAGTCCAGGGTATGCACACTTTTTCAATGTATTTGTATCAATTTAAAACATACATGAACACAAACAACTACACAAGCAACTACATAAACAACAACATCATAAAAAACAACACAAACGAGCACAACACAAACTACAATACACAAACACAAGTTTGTCAAACGACCCAACAGTGTGAAGGCTTGCTTGAGGAACATGATGAATGGATAGAAGAATGGTGGAGAACTGTTTATCACCAGGAAGAGGATGACGACGACGATGACGATAAACCAAAGAAAAATAAGCAGAATGAAACGAAGAAAAACCTTTATTCTGATTTCTGTGTTCAGAAAGTTGCAGGTATCATATAAGAGGGATGATTTAGAGGTTGTTGCAGTTGATAAAACTATGCATAGTGTGTTATATAAACCACAATTCGATTCTCAATAATAATTATGACTGCTTTAATAGTAATAAGAATAATAATAATGATAATAAGAATAATAATAATGATAATAGATAAAACAACAATGACATCAACTCTTCTTCAGCTTGCTGTGAAAAAGGATTTTATGGATCAGATTGCAAAGCCTGCCCCGGAGGTCCACAAGATCCTTGTAATGGGAATGGAATTTGCACTGTATGTCATTTTTTTTTTGCTATTTTGTCGTGTGGTTTATTTTGCTAATTTCCTATATTTTTTGTTATATTATTTTAGTTATATTTTTTTTTACAAATTATTCAACAACAACAAAGGTATGCATTTTAATACTCCAACGAGCGTGGCCACACATAAACACACACACAAACACACACACAAACACACACATAAACACACACACACACACACACACACACACACACACACAGGGTAGTGGATACAAGGATGGTGAAGGCACCTGTGAATGTTCATCCGGATATGAAGGTGAGGAGTGTGACAGGTGCAAAGAAGGATTCGTGTCACAAGATGGCAGGAAGTGCTTAGGTTAAATTGAGTACGATGTGCAAATCACCTTTTTTCTGTTTTGTCTGTTCATTTATGTAAATATGATTTGTCCGCTTATCATTTGTTCTATTCATTTTTTAATCCATTCATTCATTCATTCGTTCGTTTATCCATTCATCTTTTCAGTCATCCATCTTTTTATCCATCTTCTCATATATCTATTGGTCTTTTCACCATTCCTTCGTCGACCATTCATTCATTTATTTATCCATTTTCCCATTGATTCATTCATTCACTTATTCATTCATTCATTCATTCATCCACAAAGGTTGCCACAAATCCTGCAAATCAACTTGCACTACACCAAACGATCCAAAAACGTGCAATGAATGCAAGAATGGATGGAAGAAAGATGAAGATGGAGTGCTGGGATGCGTGGGTTAGTTTGTTGTTATTATTTCTATGTTACGATGAATGAATGAATGAATGAATGATTGATTGATAATTGTACGCTGAAAGAATGAATTGATGAATGAACAAATGAATTGGTGAATGAGAGAATGAATTAATGATTAAATGAATGAATCGATGAAGGAGTGGATGGATGATTGATTGAATAAATAATAAATAAATAATTAAAAAAACAATTATGCAAAATGTTCACGCACACATGCACACACGCACACACACACACACACACACACACACACACACACACACACACACATACACACACACACACACACATGAAGACGTAAATGAATGTTTGGATCCGGACAGATGTCCTTCTCACACATACTGCAGAAATGAAGAAGGAAACTCAGCATGTTTAGGTATCTATCTGTTCCTCTCATCATTCATTCATCCATCCATCTATTTATTCATCCATTTATTTTTATATTTATCCATCCATCCATCTGTCAACTCATTTATCTATATCGTTCGTCTAAGCATCTTTCTTCCTATTCATTCGTCTACCTGTTTGTCTGTCTATCTATTTGTCCATCTATTCATCTATCTTTCAATTTATACATCTATCTATTAATTATTTAGTTAATGAATTAATGGAGTAGTTAATTGAGTTATTAATTATAATGTTTATAAATAGATTGCGACAAGTCGTGCAGTGGTTGCTTTGGACCTCTGGATAGTGACTGCAAGCAGTGTGCCGATCTCCACTACATGCATGAATCAACTTGCTTGCGTATGCTGTTATCTGTTACCCTACACAAATTATTCATTTATTTTTCTGTGTGATTGTATTGTATCTTAATTAAATACACACACAAACACATACACGTACCGTACATACACACAGATATACACGCACTAACACACACACACACACACACACACACACACACACACACACACACACACACACACACACACAGCCTGTCACAAATCATGCAAGAACTCGTGTACTGATGGAACATCAAAAACATGTGACTCCTGCAATGATGGCTGGGAACATAATGGAGAAGAATGCATTGGTATGTACACACACAAACACACACACCACACACATACATACACCACATACACATACATGCGAACACACATATACAGATAAAGACGAATGTGAGATGGGGCAAGATGTGCATAAGTGTGATCCAATTGTGTCTTACTGTAAAAATAAAGATGGCTCATTCAAGTGCAAGTGTACGTTTCATTTTTATTATTTATATTGTTTTTATAATTGCAATAGTAATTTTAATATCAATAAGTAAATTGAATTGTTGTTTTTGGCTTTAGGTTTTGTTTACGCATATATGTTTTAATGAACAACTGTATCAATATAAATATCATTTAGGATCGATTACTTTGGCATATATATTTATATATATGTATATTATTCAAGTGTAGTAAGAAACCATTTATAGGATGAATGAATTTTATAAAAAATATAAAAATGAATATTATTATTAGTGAGTTTGATTCATTCACAATTCCGATGCCCATGAATATGCATATGCAGCCTGCCACTCGCTGTGCGTTGGCTGTCGTGGTCCAAAGCCACACCAATGCAAGGAATGCAAGAAGGGCTACCAGTTCAACGAGGACCATGAATGTGTAGGTTAGTCAGCCAGTCTGTCAGAGCTCTCAATTTTACTAATCGAATGTTTTATTCTAAATTGTCAAAATATTTATTTGTGTCTTTCTTATCAATGATCTTCAACATAATTCTGAGCAGAAATAAGTTAACTCAATAAACGTATTGTTAAAAACAGATATGAACGAGTGTGAACAAGAAGTGCCGGTTTGTCAGGAAGAGCATGAACAGTGTGTGAACAGAGTCGGTTCATTCGTTTGCGAGTGTGAGGATGGATACGTCAGGAGGAGAGGAGGTCCATGTCAAAAGAAGCACATCAGTTAGTATCTACTTGCCAATTTACGTATACATACTTAAAAGCTATCTGCAAACAAAAAATGAGCTGTTTACTGGTATTGAACTCGTTAACATCATTGTTATTAAATGAATAGAACTTGTACTACTTGTTAGATATTTACAGTTCATAAATTCACAATTACGTACGCACGGTACAGCTGCTTCTCAGTAATTAATTGGATGCATTCTTTCTGCACATTACTTAGTCATTCATTAAAAACTATTCTCTTGAGACTGCTGCATCTTTCTTTTAATATTACTGATTCTTGTCTATCTTGGTTTTCTTCTTATCTCTGTAATCTTTTTTCTTCTGTTGTTCTCAATAATTCTACTTCTAACTCCTCTACTCTTACTTTCGGGGTACCTCAGGGTTCTATCCTTGGCCCTCTTCTATTTATACTCTATACTTCTGAACTACCTCGTATTATTAATATTTTTTCTTTCTCTAGTCAACTATATGCTGATGATTCTTACATTTATACTTCTTTTCCTCCATCTAATCTCAATAGTGTTCTTCATAATTTATCTTTATGTCTTTCTTCAATTATCGCTTGGTCTGACTCTATGTGTCTTAAACTTAATCCTTCTAAGTTTGAATTAATTTGTTTTAATAAATCTAAACACTCTATTACTATTCCTCCTATCATTTTACCTGATTTTAAAACTCTTGATGTCTCTCATAAGTTTCGTAGTCTAGGTTTTATCTTTGATTCTACTATGTCTCTCTCTTCTCAGATTAATAGTGTTGCTAGAAGCACTTACTTTCATCTACGTAGAATAAAAAAACTTTTGCCTTTCCTTGATGATCCTACTCTTCTCCTTCTTGTTACTTCGTTAGTCTTATCTAGGATTGATTATTGTAACTCGCTCTACTATGGTCTTCCCGACTCTATACTCTATCCTTTAAGTAAAGCTTTTAACTCTGCTGCTCGTCTAGTTGCTCCTTTCTTTTCTCATATATCTCCATATCTTGTTCTCTTGCACTGGCTACCTATAAAATATAGAATAATTTTTAAAATTTGCACGTTCATGTATAAGTCTCAATCTAAATTATTTTCTAATTATTTATCAGATATATTAATTGAACCTAAACGCTCCGGTTTACGATCGTCTTCTTCTTCTCGCTTTTTCTTAACTCATGTTAAACACTCTTTTGTCAAATCTGCTTTTGCTTTTTCTGGTCCTTTTCTCTGGAACTCTCTACCTACTTCTCTGACTACTTCTCCATCACTTGCGAAGTTCAGAGCGGATCTCAAGACCCATCTGTTTTCAAAATTCATTGAGGAGCGCTGTTGAACATCGCGGAAATAGCGCTTTATAAGCTAATTGATTGATTGATAAACGAATTTTTCGCAGTCATCACTGATGATGAACCAAAAAGACCAACAAAGGAGGGAAAGCCAGCTGAGGCAGAGAAGAAGGGCAGCGCCAAAATTCCCACGCCCCGTCCGTCATTCGAGGATTTCAAATCAGTAACGCCGGGACCAAACGGCTACACGGAGGAAGATCTCAAGAAACTCGGAGAGCCTCTGCAAGGGAAGCTGAGTGACGAGAAGATTGTTATTGAGGGTAAGAGTAAAATGAATGAGAGAATGGGTGGTGAAGACAAGGAGAAAACCGAACTATAAAATATTGTATGTCATTTTAGTTAGGTTCATTGTTTTAATTTTGTTTATTTACGTGCTGTTTCGTACTGTTCACATACATATGGTTTGTCGTTACTGTTTCTCATCCCGTCATTTTTTGGCAACAGTTGTCATTTTATCTTTTTTAACGCAATAAATTAGTTTTTATGAATTGTTAACGTTCTCTCGAGTTTCATTCAATCAAACGCAACAATCTCTTGTTAATTTTAGCTATCTATAATAGCATAAAACTCTACCGCAACTTGCATGCAACTGAAGCGTTTTGTTAAGGTACATCTACTACAAGCTTTGCATTCATTTATCTGATAATTCTTTAGCATTTGAGTTAATAGCGTTAGCATAGCGTTGGCATTGAGTTAATATAGGCATACATGGATTATCACTAATAAGTATAAACAAATGAGCCTGAGATCATTTCCAAATGCATTGACGTTTAATAGACATTGAACATAAAGTAATTAATGCTTGCTTTTAATTATTTGGAAAGAAATGATGATGATAGATAATAATATCAATAAAATGAAACACTCCCCGTTTTATGTTGAAAACGTAAAATTATTTTAAAATTAATATGTTCACGTATATAATCCGCCCAAAAAAATACACATCAATAATATTATTCTTCATTCTCTAACCGATCATCCCATAGCTGATAAAATACCTTACAACTTAACTTCATCTGATATGAACAATTCATTCATTTGTACATATGTATATATATATATATATATATATATATATATATATACATATATATATATATGCCACTTGAAGTTAATCTTTCTTACAAAATAATAAGGAACATGGAGTAAATAGGTAAGCAAACATGATAGCAAATGTATTAATTAATAAACAATAATGAAATTTTGAATTGAAAAATTAAATGTATATATACGAACAAATGAAGCAAAGTGAAGATTCAATGTGCATCCATCAAACCCAATGTGTACAAACTTATCAATTTAAATAAAGAAATGAACATTTAAACTATTATCAATTATTATATTATATATACTTGCCCATTTTTTAAAAATTCTTCAAATGTTATTTGTAGCTGAATGTTTTTAAGACATTGACGCTTGGTGATAACAAAATACTTGCATTGGTGTGCATATGTGCTTCTGTTGAAATACTTGCTGTTGTATAAATATAATGATGGCTAATTAATTGGTTAACTAATTATTTAATTGGTTAATTAAAAGATACTTGATTGATAAGAAAGATGAATGGATGGATTAACGAAAAATTTAAATAAAAATATATTTAAGTTAAAATTAGGAATAAACTTGAAAATTTGATACTTGTTACTAAATTCTTTAATGAATTTTATTTTCAAAAAATGACAATAATAATTATAAGACAGATACAAATAGACAAAATTCATAATACAGTGGGCATTAATATATCAATTTCAAATGATTGACACGTACCAATTGATTTATTCATCATTTTCGTCATTAGCATGCACATCTAACTAGCTACCTAACAGCTATTTAGTCAATCAAGTTGTTTCACGTGTGTTTAGACACATCTCTATTATACAATAAATAGCGTTTGTCCGTCAACTGTATTTTTTAGCGTAATAAAGATAAATAACAACATAACAATGAAAAGAATAATGATCTAAATAAAGAGTTCTGTTGAATCAATGTATGAATATTTATCTATCAATATTAACCAATCGATCATAAATTTATAATTCTCTCTCTCTCCCATCTAATGGTAAACATAAGCATAAACATTCATTTTATAGATTGTAAATATGTATAAATAAATAAACAAACATACATTTATACATATATATATATCACCGCTTAGGGCCGAAATATGTATAAGTATATGCATATATATATATATACATATATAAATATATATATATATATATATATATGTGTTTGTATGCATGTAGGTGTGTGTGTGTGTGTGTGTAGTTAATTCAATAAATGTAATTCTTATAACGACTCAACATTATCAACATTTCTCTAAAGTCAGTCGATCATCGTCGTTATCAGGCTGTTTGAAGCACCCAATTTACAAAATTCTACATAGTCCTTTCTTCTTCTTTCTGGTAGCTAGCGCGGCCCTAGTAGCAGTCTCAAAAACTTCTCTAACACCATCCTTACTCTTGGCTGAACACTCGAGGTAAGCATATGCATTTATTTTCTCTGACATAGCTTTGCCTTCCTCTGGTCTGACTGGTTCCTGTGGAAAAAATATGAAAAGTATTTTTAAAAAAAGTATTAGTGATTTGAATCATGAATTTATTACAAAGTAATGTTTTGTCTCAACAAACCTGTTTCATTTTCATCAATTCTCGCCTGGTGGCCTCATCACCTCTCAAGTCTTTTTTGTTACCTACAAGAATAATGGGCACATTGGGACAAAAATGTTTCACCTCAGGGGTCCACTTTTCTGGAATGTTCTCCAAAGAGTCAGGACTGTCAATAGAGAAACACATGAGGATCACATCTGTGTCTGGATAAGAAAGTGGTCGAAGCCTGTCGTAATCCTCCTGTCCTGCTGTATCCCATAGAGCTAACTCAACCTAAAATGAATTTTTAGTTAGGAGTTTAAACTTAGAGATCAATGAAAATGCTATAAAAAGGTCAGATGGTAATATTTAATTTTAATGTTATGACAAATATTGAAATAATTCAAGAAAATAATGAAAACCTGTTTGCCATCAACTTCAATGTCTGCTACATAATTCTCAAAAACGGTTGGCACATAAACTTCAGGGAACTGATCTTTGCTGAAGACAATCAGAAGACATGTTTTGCCACAAGCACCATCTCCAACAATCACCAACTTTTTTCGAATGGCCGCCATTTTCTCAGCTTTAATTCAAATTGAAAATATCTGTAAACAAATGTAGGTGGGATATAGAAATAAAAATAATAAATTTGAAAAAGGAAGACAAGACGGACATAGTAACAAAATTGTAGTAGGAACTTAAATTGATGAGAACAAATTTTGAATAATCGTCAAAATACGAATTAGAGAAATTTTCAGATAAATAAATTAATTAAAACAAGTTTGATCTGACGATATATTAACTCAAAAAAATTATTAACAAGGATTTTTATAACTTTGAGTCAAGTTGAGTCACTCCCTATTACTCACGAACAATGAGAAATGCCTACGCATTTAATAAGGACCTTGGAATTGTTCAAAATTATGGAATAAATATTGAAAATTAAAAATACTAACTTTTAATGCGCTGAAACTTTTGTAAGTTACACTAAAACGATAAAATTATCTCAAATAAAACAAAAATGGACAGTCATTAGGAATTAAGAAAGAAGACAAAATTTAGGAAGGATATGCTTTAGTGACATCTACAAGTTTCAAAATGTTACAGAACATTCTGTAATTTTATAATTTTTGTGATTAAAAATTCTTAAACTTTCTGTTCAACCTTTATGAAGTTTTATTCAAATGAATAATAATTTAAAAAATATTTTTTTTATATCGCTGTATTTTATTTATGAACTAAGTGTCGAATCATCGGTCTAATATCAACCATGGATATATATCCATGATATCAATCACTAAATTGCATTCTGAAAATATGTATAATTCAATTGTTTATCTATCTTTAAATTGTAATTCAGTAAATCAGTTAACAAAATTTATGAATTCAATTCTATCCACCTGCTTATCCATCAGGCTTATTCACATGCTTCCATCTTCATTCATACAAATTGAGATGACATGACGAGCTATGGCGAGTGGACACCCTTTCTCAAAATAATCTTTGTATTAAAATGTTATTTAAAACTTTGTCTAAATAATAAAACAGCTTTGTCCAGTATTGAAAAATCTTGAAAAATAATCCATTGTAATCCATTACCCATGAGTTATAAAACGTAAAAAATACTGACTGGAAATGAACGTGAAAGTGTACTAATCGTAAGAGACAAAAGTCGTTAAACATTGTTTCGCCACTAAGAAATAACACAAAAAGCCTAAAATATTCATAATGTTCAAATGGGATAGTTGATGTTCAATAAAACAAAATCATATCATACCGTCTTTCGTGCATTGTGTTTTATCTTAATTGTGATGTATCTACCAGCTGCACAAAACGTGCTTTATTTTAAACTCTCAAACGGTATGTGTCCATATTCGAGTTTCGTCCTAATTCTGAGATATATAGATAGAGCAGTGCAAGAAAGTAGAACCTAAAAATTTTGAAACTTGTATGTCAGCGGCCAGGCATCCACACAAGTATGAAAATAAATTTGATGAAGTTTAACGCGCTCACTGGCTGCATGACTAAAGCCATCAAAGGATGCATCCGTCATCTGCCTCTCCATGGAATACTGCCTGCCACGGAAATGTTCAATAAATTGTAACTGAACGTTCATAGCTGAAGAGAGATCTCTATTTTTTTGTGTTTATTACGTTTTGTCAACTGTTTTGTTGGTCATTTATTAGGCTACGTGTTATTAATGTTTATAATTGTTTATATGTTGGTAATAGACCATAATTTTTACAATATTCTATAAATTCTACCGAATGTTTGGCGTTAATATGTTTGTAGTTCGTTTTTTCGATTTTTCTCACTAAAGTTTTTTGGTGAACGTTTAGTTTATTAAAATTCAAAATAAACTTATTTTTCGAATTCATGCTGCAAATAAGGCCATATTTCGATTCCGAATGATTCATCAGCAGTGGTGTTGTAATGATAGTTTTGTCGTAAATAGAAAATGGTGAAAATTGCGTTGTAATTATTGACACAAGTATGTAGTGCAGAACTTTTCTGGTCTCCCAAAAATTTAAACCGGAATAAATTTGCATAAAATTCCGAAATAAAAATCTCAAGTTTTCGGTGCCAACAAATTTTTCAAAAAAAAAAATTCTAAAAAAAGAAAGAACCAAAGTAAAGTGATTCCTCGTAGAATTGGATGATTTAAATAGTGGGTACAAACGCGTTTTTGTGTGCGTGTGTGTTTGCGTTCTTATGTATGTGTATCTTCGTGTTCTTGTGTGTATGTGTGTGTTGCGTGCTTGTGTGTATGATGTAAATTCATGTGCGTGTATGTATTAACGTGCGTTTTTGTGTATGTATTTGCCAGTGTTTATTTTCACGCCTATTTACGAGTGTGGATGACTGCCTTTTTATATATTTGCGTGTGTGCGTACGTGTGTGCGTGCGTACGTGTGTGCGTGCGTGTGTGAATGTGTATATATTTATTAATACTTATAACTGAAAGCATGTGTTTGTTTGGGTCATAAATTTGTTTAGTTTTTGAGTTTTCAAATCCTCTGCGGATTAAATGGCATAATATTGTATAAATATTTACTGCTCTTTAAAAGCAGACTTATTAAAGAAAAAATGACATTTTATTCTAGTTTTTTTTTCAAATATTTTTTCCAAAATTTATTTTCCAATATAATCTCCACCCCATCCAAATCATTGTAGTTTACAGAACATGTCAGACATTTAACTTAACATGTACATACTTGTATGCAATGTACACAACTTAAATTATTCTAATTAAACTTTATATTGGGAACTAACAGTAACAAATTTTCTGTAATGAATGAATAAATAAGTGAATTAAACTAACAAACGAATGAAAAATAAACATACACACATGTTAATAATTATAGGTAAGCATCCGCGCAATTATATAACGCATACGAGCACACGTAGATATCTAGATACATGGATATATGGAATATACAGCTGTTTGACATGGAAAGTCAGTATTACAATAAATTGTATGTGTTGTATGTAGACACACACACACAGTGTGTGTGCACACACTGTGTGTGTGTATTTGTATGATTTTTTTATTGTATGTATGTATGCATGTATTTTTCTATTTTCCAACTTTGTTTGCTCTATGTCTTTCTATCGTAGGTAGATTTCGGAGAACCTCAGAAGAAAATGAATCGATCGCATCCCAAGCAATTTTAGATGTGAGCATTGCCTTTACTATGTTTTCTGTTTGAGAACAGTTTCCAGATTATTCCTGGACCCATTGAAACGTGGGCATTCAAAAAATACTTGTTCTGCATTTTCATTAATTTCCGGGCAAGAAGGGCACTTCGACGAATCATCATGCCCAAAACGATAAAGATATGCTCGGAAGCATCTATGACCAGAGAGCATTTGTGCCAAGTAGTAATTTACCTCACCATGATTACGGTTCACCCAGATACTTATTTGTGGTATAAGTCGATATGTCCATCTACCAGCTGTTGATGAAACCCACTGCATTTGTCATCGATGCATGCTATGTAGTCGTTCTTCCATTTTGAGTTTTTCTGTGCTCAGTGCCGTGGTTTTTTTTCGCTGGTATAAAACCTTTCTTCCTTCAGCGAGCTCTTCAATAGGCTACGTCCCAGCGATGACACAAACCGCATCATCGGAAATTGTGGGGAAAGCACTGGTAATTTTCAAAGCATTTTTCCGATACGTCGATGTAAGTTTTTTCTGTATATCTCGAATTCTAAGAGTATCGGACCAGATAGAAATTCCATAAGTCAATACTGACGTGACAACGGATGACAGTAATATTTTTCTATTCTGTTTTGGGCCTCCTGTGATAAGGCTGTTCCCACTCTGGTTGCTTTAATGCTAACATGTTCTACCTATTGTTTAAAACTCAGTCGAGTATTAATCATTATCCCTAGATACCGAATAAATGGTTTGGATATTATTTCGTGATCCCCAACTGTCAGCCTAATAGTTTCTACTCGTTTCCTTCCGGTAACTAGTACTGCTTCAGTTTTATGTTTTGCTAACTCCAGGTTCACTGCATACATCCATTCACTGATCTTTGCAAAAGTGATATTAAACGCTAGCTCTATTTCCTGCAGATGTTTTGCAACAATAGCCACAGCTACATCATCTGCATAAGCCACAAGACTGACTTCCAACGGCAGTTTCAATTTTAGTAGGTTATTGTACATTATGTTCCATAAAAGGGGCTACAGAACGGAACCTTGTGGTGCCCCTCCCGTTATGTTGTATTCTTTTGGTCCTGCATTTGTATCATATTTTAATTTTCTCTGTGAGAAATAGCTTACTACTATTTCCTGTAAATATACTGGTACGTTTAACTCATGAAGGGCACGCAGGATGCAATTCCAGTTTGCAGAGTTGAATGCATTTTTGATGTCCAAGGTAGCCACCAAACAGTACTTCATTTTTCCTCTTTTCCATCTTTTTCCTGCAATAGCATCTCTGGCTTTATTAACAACAAGATACACTGCATCAAGCGATGATCGACCTTTTCGGAAACCGAATTGATTGTCCGTAAGCTACGGATCCACAACTCCTTCAACCCTCTGATGAATAATTCTTTCCAATATTTTACATATTTTACATACATACATACAAAAATATTGTATGTATGTATGTATGTATGTATGTATGTATGTATGTATGTATGTATGTATGTATGTATGTATGTATGTATGTATGTATGTATGTATGTATGTATGTATGTATGTATGTATGTATGTATGTATGTATGTATGTATGTATGTATGTATGTATGTATGTATGTATGTATGTATGTATGTATGTATGTATGTATGTATGTATGTATGTATGTATGTATGTATGTATGTATGTATGTATGTATGTATGTATGTATGTATGTATGTATGTATGTATGTATGTATGTATGTATGTATGTTAAAACCAAAATATGATGAGTGACACTGAACCGTCAAACATCAAGTAACAAATGGATTAACACTTTGATTTGTCGTTAATTGCACATGTCGGCATTCAGTTGGATATTTTCAAGCACATAGACACGCAGGAACCGCTGCAACAAGCACGAAATGTGGTTAGTTGCGAAAAACAGTTACCTGCTGTCGCCTGATCTGACGCTGATCATTTTGCATATTTCCTTAAGAAATTTAAGGGTGTTGGGGTCCATCGGGCCAAGAACCTCGATGCATATTTGCAAGAATTCCATCGAGGGGATGGCGTTCCCATATCTTTTCATTTTCTCGTCCGCTGCCCTGGCCGCGGCCAAACCGCATTCTTTACTTGTCAGGTTTACGTATCGTTCGGCGAGGGTGCCAGGGACCGTAACATCCCACGCCAAACATCTGCTGGCTCTCCAAGGTATTAGCGTGCATCCGTCCGGGCGCCTACCATTATGCGCAGAAATGCCGGATGGTTCCTTGAGAACCGGGATTGAAGCCTTGGAGAAGAGCCGACAAATGTAATCGTTTAGCGCTGAGTGACGTAGTTGACGGCCCCCACCCAGGCGACAAACCAAACCGTGGTGCCCAAACTCGTCCGCCTCAGCGCCACATCGGCACGTGTATTTATTCTGAATGACCAGGCCAAGTCTGAAGCCAATGGCAAATCTCACAGACTCGTCGTCAAGCCTGGTGCCCACAGAGGTGTTGGGCCACGATCTCAACCACCCACAGCTGGCAACGCTGGACATGGCCAACAAACGAGCGGTGGAAAAGTCGTCGCCGCATGAAGACGACAAATTTTGAAAGATTTTTTTATATTCTTCGTTCAAAATTTGGACGTGCGTACGGTCCTCCGGGGCGGACACTGGGGTAAGAATATCGTGGCAACGAAAAAACCGGTGGAGCAGGGAAGACTGCAGGTCGAGAGTGGCAGTGGCAGAAGAATTATAAACAACGGGAGCCAGCTGAACCACGCTAAGCTACCCCAGCCCACCAAATCGCACCGGCAGCTGAGCCTGGGACCAACCACTGTCGGTCACTTGAACATTGCAAATCGACGACAGGGCGGTGCGCAGGGCTCCGTCAAATTCGTCCAATTTAGAAGGGTCAATGTGTTTAGATGTACGCAGGAAGTACATCAATTTGGGCAAACTGAGGGCATTGCGGATAATAGTCAAGGCATCATGGGCCGAAAGACAGGAAAAATGACCCAGGGCGAATTTAAGCCCAGAGAGCTTTTGGTCAAAAAACTTTATTTGATAATCGCCCTCGACCAAGGGTGTGCCTAAAAAACTCAGTTCTGATGCACCAACTCTGGGTATTTCAGCCAGCGCATGTAATACCTGAAATAAACTTTGGCAGTGAAGTTCGCATTTTTTAATGTTTAACTCTAAGCCAATTGCAGCGGAGTTATGCTTCAAATATTCGTAGCTATCGGCCAGAGTTGGACCGTCCTAAGCTATGCTGATATCATCCAGATAAGCGCAAACGAAAGTGGACGAAGCTTTCTCTAAGAGTGGATGAAGAGTTAGTGCGAACAACAAAGGACCAAGGGGATCACCCTGCTGTACCCCCTCGGACGATTCTACAACCCAAGAGTGGTAGCCAAGGGAAGAGACTCCGCCATAGGCAGAATGGCAAAAATTATAGATATTGGGGCAAAAAAGTTTGACAGCCTCCAACATCGAGTCTCTTCTCAAGGCATTGAAGGCATTTTTAAAGTATGTATGTATGTATGTACGTACGTACGTACGTACGTATGTATGTATGTATGTATGTATGAATGAATGTATGTATGTATGTATGCATACATGAATGTATGCTTCCATATAATACACATTCAAACCTTTTGTTTAGCATTTTCACAGAATGGTCGAACGCATTTGTTTTAAAAAAAAATTAAATAAATACTTAAACGTCAAAAAGTTGTAAATGAAATGGAAATAAATAATATAAATATGACAAACATATAAATATAATTTGAGAGTTTTTTGTTAGTAAATACTTAAATAGTAAATTGATGTCTTAAATTTTAAATGAATTCAACGACAGTTTAATGATTAGAGGAATTTATAAAACGAAGAGAGTAATTTGAAAGTAATTTCCTAGAAAGGGGCTTGAATTTGATTGCGAAAATGTTTCGCTTGTTCGTTCGTTCGTTCGATCGTTCGTTCGTTCGTTTGTTTGTTCGTCCAGTTGTTCGCATGCTCTGTCACGTGATGTGATAGGTTAGTCCATTTTGTATTTTGTCATTGATGTTTTCGCTTTCACTCGTTTGTTCCAGCTGGTTTGTCGTTGTTTGTTTGTCGTTGTTTGTTTGTCGTTGTTTGTTTATTGGTTTGCTCATGTCTGTGGGTGTTTGTTTGTTCGTTCATGTTTGTTATTGTCTGTTGCCATTAACGTTGTTACAATTTTAAAAAATTCTTCGACGTTTCTATATTGTGTTTTCATCTTTCATTTTTATTGTTCAAACATCAGTATATTTTTTTTCTTGTCAATCCATATTGCAGGTTATAATTTAATGTGCCTATTTTTGAAGGTGTTGTTGATGAATATTTGTGGTAGTAGAAGCCACAGCAACAGAAGTATCAGTAGCAGCAGTAGTAGCATCAGTAGCAGCAGTAGTAGCAGCAGTAGTAGTAGTAGTAGTAGAACTACAAGTGAATGCATAAGTAAATGACCACTTTAAAAGAAATTCAGTTCGAACTTTCCAGATGAAGAAATTTGTAAAAACGACTGCCTTCTTATTCGGTTAATATAATCAACATGTTTCTACTGCTAAGCTGCCTAGAGAAAATTGAACTGGAAAAATTGCAAAAAAATGAACGATTTTTTGAAAAAATTCAAAAGTAATAACTAATAAAATAATAATAACATAAAACATGAAGATAAATTAATTTGAAAAACAATTTTAAAAAAAGTGAAAAATATCCATTTAAACTTATTCTGCCCTTTTCAAAATTTTACATGGTCAGCCAAGAGCCAACACACTTTCTGGCAATTAATAAAATTTCTTTTCACGCCGTTCGGTTTCGTTTCGTAGGTATGTGAGTGCATATTAATGCCTGTTTGTAAAGTTGCGTTTTACAATGAGAAATTTTTTACCGCAAGGTCATGACACGATCATAATGTAAAAAAAAACCATACAACATTTGATGAATATCACACGCTGTGCATTTGTCCGCGCGTCTATGTAAACATCATTCGTGTGTGCGTGCATTTTGTGTCTATGTATGTGGATGTGTGAATGTGTGTCTACGTGTGTTTGTGTGCGTGTGTGTAATTTCATCTGTATATAATTACCCCCTTGAATGTTCGCGAGGAAACTACCTTTGAAATACGCAAATGTGTGTACGCTAATTTATGGAGTTTTGTATATAGGGCAGTGACTACTTTATTGTTTGTCCCTCCGACCATCTACTTCCCATGCTTGGCACGTCTGTAATGAGATCCAGCGTATATCAGGTAATCTTTCACCTTACATCACCACCACCACCACCACCACCACCACCACTACTACTACTATTACTTCTACAGGTTCTAGTACTACCCTGTTTTTTTTACTACTTTTATTATTTCTACTACAACAAAATTGTATGTTTTTTCAATCAGGGGCTAT